GTACTAGTTATAGACCATGATTCGTGTTGTTCAAAAGTATATATTTTTTTAAAAATAGTGTGTTTACTATAGTCTTTTGACAATCGTTTTTTAGCATTTCTGGGCTCCATGATAATCATGTTAGAAACATTCACGTTGTGATCAGGGGGTGAATATCGATGTTTCAAGTGACTTGCTGTCTTGAAAGCCTGGGTTTGTCAGTGTCAAGTTACAGGCATGAAGTCTCGAGCTATAAGATATTTTGTTAGCTCGTCTCCCGTGTTGAAACACATTCATGAAACAGATCTGGTCTTTACTACACACTATCGGTTTAAGATCTGCTCTTTAAGTCGTATTCAGTTTTAACACTCTAGCAGTTCAAGATCTGTCCTCTAATACCTATTCAGTGTAAACACAGTACCGGCTAAAGATCTGTTCTTTTATTCCCATTCAGTGCCAACCCAATACCTGTTGTATAGGCACCCTTTCATGTCATAAACTGAGAACGTGACCTGTTAACGCCGAACTAATTTCATTCTGAGACCCATAGTTATCCGAATCTGATATAGCTACTACATCTTTCGTTGTTTTTTAAAATATCATTAACGTATCATGCTTCGTCTGCCTTCGTAATCAGCAGCTTGACTTGGGTGTAGTTAATTAATTTAATTTCCTAATTGAGGCCGCCGTATTTCTCGCGTGAGATATTAACGTGAACATTTTTATCAATGCACACACAGGTTGGCTTCTATAATTAAGGTCGTGGCGGTCACACACGTTTTACCTCCGTCTTGTCTCTAGATACCATTTGTAATTAATAAACTACTGCCCCCCCCCCCCCCCCCCACACGTTTTACCTACCTCCGTCCTGTCTCTAGATCATTCGTAATTAATAAACAACCCACCCACCCACACGCGTTTAATCGTGCACTTATTTATATCTCAGTCAAATCGCTCACCCGTAAACCCCAAATGAGGGTGATAATTAAATATTAATGAAATGTCATTTTGAGTAATAGAGTGCTTAATTAAGTTGTTCACCCATAACCGTAGAATTTATTAAAAATATTTTTTTTTACCGGTAAACGTAAATAAGTATAATAACTAATATATAGCAATGCGCGGTACCACGTTTTCATTTTCATATAAAGGCTTCGGACTTTCACCATTCTAACAAACTAGTTGATCCGCTCCCACTAAACCCCAAAAGCGTGACATTACTTAAGTAAGCCGTCTAATTAACGTAATGCATAATGACTCCAGATGTGATATGTTGGATTGCCAGTGTAAAAGAATGTGTGTGTAGGGGTGGGGGCTGAAAGCAAATGTAATTAAAAACTCAATTCCATTTTTTAAAGTGAAATATCAAAACGGTTTAAAAAGTAATCTGTTGTGTTGTGGAATTTTACCAATTATTCTCTGTTGGGACGAACTGCTGTGCTAAACTTGCGTGCGTCATGAAATGGCCAATGTGAAAGGGGACCAACACTTAGCCTGAAATAAATGGGTACACAGGTGGGTGTACACACGCGCTTTTACACTGGTTGCTGCATAAACTGTGGCATACACTAACATACACACGTGTGTTTATCATATGCACATAAAAAACACAGAGAAACAAGTTCACTAAGTCACTCATTTATTTCGAGAAAACTTCAACAAGACCTAATATGTTAGTTTTTTACCGCCTCTCTTAAAGCTTAAATTTTTTTAAACGTAACGAATCATCCTATCGATCAGCTTGAATTTACAGTGTCCAGCTCCAACAATAGAGTTTATTTAGGCGGGGAGGGGAAGTTGAGCTAATGTTTGTACACGTAGATGCTTGCTAGCACCATTAGAAAGCTCGAAGCTTCAGGCCTCCTGTTGTTATTAATGACAGTGGCGTGGATGGTTGTAACTACTAATGTAGGGGATAGTGCGACCAATAAACCATTAGCGCTACACGTTGCACGACTTCGTGTAGTTCGAGACTCGACAGTCCTGTTTAGTTTTGGCGACGTCGTGTCTACACCTACAGCAATGAATCCTACCATTCATTATGTCTTCAAACTTCATTGCTGCCGTGGCATGCCGAGTGTTAAACTAGTGCTGCTCCGCGTTCACTAATTGATTGCATTTTTTCACAGCTTTTTCAATGTAAGTGTTTTTATAAGACGGATATTTTACTTGCTACATTCTCCGTGAGTGTGGAGGGAAGGTGACGGGGTATGCGTGTCGATCGCATGAAATAATTGTTTGTTCTACTAACATATTTGTCAGTTTTAGTCCGTATCGCTTGTTGGCTGTTGTAGGTACTGATTACCCTACTTTGCTATTAACGGATGCCGGCACTCAGTTTCTTTTATCGATAAGTACTGTAAGCCGTATTTTATAACGGAAACATACATTAGACGTCTACCAAAAGATCACCTTAAGCAGGTACGCAGAATTTTTTTTTAAAAGTACTATCCGTTTGTTTATGTGTTCATTAAATACCTGAAAGATATAATTATTAAATAATAACCGAAAAGTGCAATTAAGACATTGCAACAGTTTTTTACAATACTGTTTTGTTTTTATTACACTATTCAGCACGTTTGTTCCTTATTGCGCAACAGTTTGTATTTGCATGTTTGTCGGCGTTGTAGTGTTTAGTACATTTCAGCAATCGTATTACTAAACTCTTTAAATGCAAATGACATGTAAATTAATTAGTATCTTGTACTTTCCTAATGGACACACGCCAGTATTTGTTGTTGGGCGCTTTAATAGTCGACACAGTGGCGCCACGCCGTGGCTTTTAAATATTGACATTTGCCAGGTGATCGTCACAAACTCGGTTACCTTAGGCCTACCCAAATTAGCTTTGTTCCCATTTGTTTTTACGGCGGCTCATTACACTCGGTCGTTTCTTATCCCGGGACATGGCCGATGCAGTCAATTAGCAGGATGGCTTTTAATAAGCCGGATTTGCTCTTTGAAACTTGTTTTCTGCTTTTGAGTCGACTCGCCCCGGAAATGTACGGGAAGAACAGGTAGACCGTGTTGGGAGGGAGGGTGAAGTTAGCCAACACGTGAGTCAGTGCGACGTCACACTCGTAGATGGGAGGGGTGGGGGGTGGGGGTATGTTTTGGCGATGACGAGGAGGGTTCAGAGAGTCTGGCACACTAACTTTTCAATAAGTAATGTTAGAAATGGATTTTTAGCCGCTATTTCTCGATTTTTTAAGACTAAAAAAACATAATAAAAATTAATTAATATATTCTATGTTGACCGAACTTAGAAATTGTATTTTTGAGGTTGATGCTATAGGATTGGGGGGGGGGGGGTAGGTTGAGGTGTGACATGGAGTCTGGCTTTTTGTGACAGTGTGACGATGGTAGGGGTAGAGATGTTTTAAAAAGAATGACGTTGTTTTATGAATGACCCCTTACCGAATTACAGCCCCTCCAAAACAACGCGTCATTCGAAAATGTCCGCACTTTAGACGACTGTTACAATTATTGAGACCGTACTTTGCTATGAAATATTCATCAAACTATGCGAATTAAAATGACATTTAAATAACAGTTCGAGTTTATAAGATACCAATATCAGGATATGGTTTTAAATGTGTCGGCAAATACACGTCGAATGTCTGGGTGTGTGCTCAGTTTAAAAAAAAAAGTTTCTTCGCTTTAATTAAACCGTTTGCTCTAAATTAGAGACCTGACCAAGTTGGTGATTACGGTGGAGGGGGAGGCGGTGTTGTCATCCTGTGATACACAGCGGCTTATTTTCCGTTATCCCGTGCCTGCCTTGACGATCAGCCCGGAGAGGCGGTCTGGGGGGAAGGAAAACACGGGGAAAACAATAGTATTAGTCATTAATTGACATTCCATGCATAGCTGTACATAGGACACTATTGATTCTTTTGTTTATTTTTTCATCCGGCCACCTAAACGTAGCTGTGCGGGGTTGGTGGGGGGGGGGGGGGGGTGATGGTGATTATCCTGGTTTTTTTTTTTCTTCTGGCTGAATATATCTACTCTATTTAATGAAAGCTTTTACATCAAGAACTTCTGATCCAGTAACATGTTTTACCGTCCATCCATTCAATACTTACCATGTTTGGTTTCTTAGTGATGGAGATCAGATAATGTTGTTTGACAATAAATACAACTTTTTTTCCCCAGGCATGTGGGGGGGGGGGGGTTTGCCTTCCTTCAGCCTTGAATTTCCTGCTCTGACCTTACCTTTCCCCCTCCCCTCCCCAATAACTTAAAATTATCTCTGGAAACGGGTTAAAGTTATACAAAATTGATATTCTTTGTGTGTGTTTTTGTTTAACCTGGGGAAATAAATGAAAAGTTAGTTCATATTTTACAATTGCGGCAGTTTTAATTTTGCAACCAATTTCTGAAACAACTTTGTAATATGTAAAAACATTGTCTTGAATCACCACCCATATCACCTTGTGAAACACATTGTCTCCTACCTTTTAACCTTCATTCTGACATAAATTAAGTACTGACTGAACACATTTCTTAATTAAGGATGTTGTAGTGTGGTGACGCAATGAATATAAAAAATCTCAGCCATATATTATCTACAATTTCTAAGGCTTAATAGGACAGTTTTATTCTTTTCTTTATGAAGCCAGGCTCTATTAGTAAGGGATTCTCCATTTTTATTTGTTATATGATATGTAATTAAATTAAAATGTTTTGATTTAATTATTTTAAATTATTTTGTGACGTGATTCTTTTATAAGTATGTATTATTTAAAATCATGTAGCCTACTGCAGATATATTATTACAGTTAACTACTATCTGAATATTATATTCATTATATTAGCTGTTAACTTTAGTTTCAAACATTGTTTAAAATATCAGATTAGTGAATTTAAAAACAAACCAAAAATAGTTAAACTTTTTATAAGCTGTTATAACCTAGCTGTTACATAGTAATGAGACAGATGTAGTGAATTACTTCAGTGCAATATAATTATACATTGACATTAATGAACATCTTTTTACATTTCATTTTTTATTTCAGGTATAGAATATGATAAGTTAGTTGGTTAGAAAACAATGGACAAAATAAAGAATCTAATTAGCCCTCGAACGCGAAGAAAAAAACTGGAGTATGCTGCTGGTGATACAGGAGTCAGTATTGTGCAAGCCCCTCGAATCTTTGGAGTGTCTCTTGAAGACCTCATGGAGAATGCACCGGAAGATGCCAAAGTGCCACCGGTGGTTAGCAGAATTTGCGAGTTTATTTACAAATACGGTAATTGTGCAAAAAAAAAGATTTTCTTCTAATAACAAGTACAGAATATTTTAGATAAATTGTTCATAGCCGCTGTTGGCAGAAAGTTAGAGTTAAAATTTAATGTACTGAACCTATCAATATTGCATCTCAAGAACCATATTTGCTAGTGTACTTCTACTAAACTTAAATTTTAAATAACTTGAAAAATTTGATAAATTCCATTAATGTTATAATTTAGGTCTTATATATAAATAAATAAATATATATATATATATATATATATATATATATATATATATATATATATATATATATATATATATATATATATATATATATATATAATTTCCTGATGTATACTTTGGTGTAGGTCTGGACAATGTGGGCTTGTTCCGAGTCAGTGGAAGTGTAAAAGTTGTGGAGAAGATGCGCATGCAGTTTGAAGAATCAGGCGACGTAGATTTGGAACAAATGAATGATGTGCCTGCTACTGCTGGTCTGCTGAAAGTTTTTCTCAGAGACTTGCCTGATACACTAGTTCCTGAACGGCTGACACGCACATTTTTTTCTCTTATCCAAGGTAGTGTTTAGTCTTCATTTTAAAAATAATTTCATACTTAATGTAACTTATTTAAACACTTATTGTTATGAGAAAATGCAGTTTATAAAAGTCATCTCAGCAAGACTGCCCCAACTCTGCCTCCAGTCTGGGTTACTTGAAGTCAGCTGTGCTTAGTGGAAGCCACATAAACTATTTATAAGTAGAGCTTGCAGAAACATGTTCACTCTCCTCTATTTGCCCTTTTGACTGATAGGTGAAGGGCTTTTTACTGCAACCTTTACATAAATATATGTGTTTACTTTAAACAATTGTATGCTTCATTTATGTAGGTCTATTATTGTGCATGGAATGTCAATTATTTTAAATTCCAAACTTCTTTTCCTTTAATACCATAAATGTTTGAATTGAAAACACATGCATTGTGTTTGTCAACTAAAAACCATATCAGTTGGCTGAAAGCCAATTCTCAACACAAGGACATGTCTTTATACATTCCTTCTACCTTGTTATGCAAGCCAATGACATTTATTTGATTTACTCATATTTACTGGAACTTAGTGTATATAATATGAATCAATCTTGATATAACTAGATCTATTTTAAGATACAAATTTGTGTAACAAAATATTTTAGCCAGATTTTTTTCCACAAAGGTTTTTAAAAGAAATGTGTGGTATATAAGCGTCAGTCAACCTGCTTCATTAGGCCATACTCAAGGGCTGTTTAGCCATCATTTAACTGACCGTCAGATACACACACCAATAGTGCTTGGAAGAACCACTACATTTAATGAGATTTATTCACTATAAAATCTTATTAAACCAGAATGTTGTTCAAACAAAAGTAATAATTAACACATGACCTCTACTATTTTTAGATACACAAATTAGTAAGGAGCAGCTTTTGAGTGATTTGAAGAAAGTGCTTGCATTGATGCCATCAGAAAATTACAACTTACTCAAGTATATCACATCACTGCTGGTTATGGTAGCTAAAAATGAATTTGACAACAAAATGTCCGCTTACTCATTGGCTATTTTATTTGGACCCAATGTTTTCAAGTAAGCTCTGTTTTAAAATCAAGTTTAAATTTCAAATAAAGCGTATTGAATCAATATAAGTTATGTGGAGCATTAAGTAAAAATTATGTTTGAATTATTTCTTCATAGGTATGAGCTGACATCAGGAATAGATGGGCTTAGAGATATGGATTCAAGCAAGGACATCATGCAACTTTTTATCTCAGAGTTTGATAAATTGTTTGTTGAGAATGGTCAACCTAGCCCAAAGGATTTCTGGGTAACTAAGTTCAATCATTTACTATTGTAGTTGTTGATGGGATATATTTTTGACATGTAGTTTGTACAAGTAAAAAGGTATTGTATTTTTAAAAATGAAATATTGATATAACATCTTGTTATTGTAAAATAGCGTCACTGATTATATGGAATATTTGGAAATAAATAAATTTAGTCAATTTTATATAATTGCAGAAAATGGTGGGGGTAGGAAGTTGTTTATCAATTAACATTTTTGTATTCTTATACACAGATTTCTGACCATAGTTAATCTACTCTAATGAGATATGAGGGCAACTTAGATATATGAAAATCAGACATTGCTTAAGAAATATACTTGTTTTAAAGTAATTATTTTTTAAAAATTATGATTTAGGAGAAACTAAATAAAAAAAAGGTGCCGCCTCCAAGACCACCCCCACCTAAAGTCCAGTCACTGCCAATATTCTCTTCACCGTCAGCAGAAAGTATTACTTCGATGACTTCCTCAATTTCATCTACAACTTTGGACTACAGGCCTATTCCTTCACCGAGAAAGGTTTATATAGAATTAAGTTTTATGCTGAGCAACATATAAAATTTAAATTCTTTCACTGTTTCCGCTCTTGTGTTTCACAACCATGTATTTAAAGAAATGTATTTATATTTTTCTAGATGAAAAATTTGTATGACAGCAGTTCTGGTTCTGACATGGAAGGCCAAACTCCTCCAAAATTTTCACTGCATGGCTCAGTTCCTTTGTTTAGTCCACGAGATTTTGAATATACTAGGGCTCATTCACCTTTCACTCTTGAGAAGTAAGTTTAGAAATATACTTCATATACTCTTCGGAAAGATGTTAAATTTTTAGAATATATTTACTGGTTTTTTTCTCTGCATAATTTTAAAAAAGTAATAAATGTCTATTTAGGGGATTTTTTTTTAATATGATGGAATATTTTGCAAATCCATTTTATTTCTTTTAATGGTTTATTAAAGAAAACAAAAGTTTTCCACTTCCAGAAGATTTCAGGCCAATAAAAATGTATGTAGCGATAGATTTGAGTGTCATAATACTAAATCACGACTTCCTGATTTCAGTGACACTCACAGCATTATTGAGTCCCCTATGATTACAGCTAGAACCAACGAGTAAGTAAAAATACACAATTAAAAAAATAAATTACCTTATGTTGTTGTTAGCACGAGTAATGAAGAGTTTTTCTTTACTGAATTAATTTTTCTTGCTAACCCCTTTAGATTTGTTGAAAAGACCATAGTTGAGACTATATCTGAGCACATATTTGGAAGGATTGACTTCAATCAGAACTCTGGAGTGCAGTGTAAGTTTGATGTTTGTTATGCTGCTTTTTTCTTCTCTAAAAATATATTATTCTATTTTAAAATGATCTTTATTTTTTAAATTCTATTTCTTTTAGCTCCTAGAAGCAACTCGAATTTTTTTGACGACATTGAATTAATAGAAAGGTGGGTATTAAAGGAATGTACTACAGATTTCCCTAGGCTAATTGTAGCCTATTTACCATTTATCTATTAATAAGTAACATATAATATGTAAAAGACTTTACATTGCTAATAAAGTTAACTTTTAATAAATAATTTCACTTTTCTACAGCTCTGTTGATCCTCATTTAGATGCACCAGATACGATTAAACGTAAAAAACATCAAATATCAATTAGAAATTCAGAAATGGTAAGTTACAATTAATACTATATACAAATAAACTGGTAGTGATCTCCCCTAAACTTTCTCGAATATTCTTATATAAAACAACAGGGGATGGTAACTGGGGATATAGTTATGATTTTTAATCCATTTTAAATACTGAAACTTTTAAAAATAGAATAGAATCTCAGTAAAAAACAATTGCGCACCAAGCGAACGCCTAATAAAGGTGTGTATAATGGTGCGCAATAGTATTAGTACTTTAAAAATTTACATTAGTTTTTTGAGAAATCGGAAGTAGCGTAAATTACTACTTCCGGTCAACGGAAATTACTCAAACTTTAACAGAAGGTAGAGAATTAGATCTTTTACTTACATGTGAAATTTCATTTATCTATCTGAAATAGTACTCAAGTTATAGGCTTTTGAAAAATTCAAAGTAGAAAAAGTACCACTTCCGGTTGTCGGAAATCGCTCAAAAGTTGATACGGATCTACGATTTTAATATAATACTTATATATGAAATTTCATCAACCTAGCTGTAACGGTACTCAAGTTATCGTGTTTACACACGGACAGACACACACACAGACAGACACACACACACACAGACATACGGACAAGATTGCAAAATTATGTTTTTCCGTATCAGTGAGGTGTAAAACGTCGAGATTTGTAAAAATCTCGATTTTTTTTTTTGCACGATTACAATACTTTCTCTATACTACGTATATACGAGAAAGTAAAAATGTTAGCTATTATTATTGATTGTGTATTTTTAGTAATTTTATAGGAGTATAGTTATCAGATGAACATTCATTAGCTTGTTTTTTTTTTTTAAAAATCATTTTGCTCTTCTGTTATAACAGGATGAAACATCTGAGGAAAATAATGTGTGAGTATAAAAGTTTTAGACTTCATCTAAAAATAAATAATATTTAATTATTAGTTATCATTGACTTAATGTTATTTCTTTCTTATGTATTTTAAAATATAAAAACTTATCATTTTTAGGCAAGATTTTGATGACGTTGAAAGGAACAATATTTTAACTGGGGTAAGGTTATAATTTACCTGTTTCTTTCATTATTTAAATGTACATTCCTCTTAAATAGACATTAAGACTGTATTGATGCTGCTTAAGTCACAACTTACAGTGAGATTAAGCTAAAAAAAACTGAAGATGATGTTTCATGATAACAGTAGAATTACCATCAACAGTCTATATAATTATGAGCCTATTAACCCTTTTCCGGCCGGGGCATCCAAACTATTTTACTATGAAAATGAACCATTTGAGAAATAAAACATATTATTTTGCACTTCTGCCAGTATCTTCAAAATATCATTATCAATGAGACTTCCGCTAATGCACGTGAATAAACATACTATACATAGTTGGGCAACCCCTGGTGCACCGGACTGCACTATACAAAATTCACGGGCGACCACTGGTGCATAGGTCCGTAAAGGGTAAAGCTATTAAAAAAGTCTCATTTTGTCTGTTAAAAATGGCTCTCACATGACATTTATAGAGGTGGTGTGCACAAAACATATAAAAACATATTAATTAATATTTCCCCCCCCCCCCCCCCCCCCCCTATTTTAAATTATAGCCTTTCTTGTGGCAATGTTATGATAAGGTTTTATTGTCCAAAATAAAAAGTCTATTCATCAGTACTTATTTGTTTCGAATAACTTTGCTACTTCTCATTTGTTATAAATACTATATTGTGTGTTTATTTTAGATTTTGTATAAAATGATAATTTCCTTTAAATAGCTAATGAAGTAATAGCTTATACTTTACCTATAACTTTGCATCATTGTGGGCATCTAGCATAAGAAGCCTCAGGGTCCACCACGGCGCACGCCCAGTCGCAAACATAGAAGAAGCTGGGAAGCTGACACTAGCAATGAAACCCTTAGCACCTCTCATCCAAGTTCCAACACTAGTGAGGTCACTCAAACACAAGACCTGAATCATTCTCTTAACCACTCGCAGGCCGATAGGGACAAGGAGAATGAAGGGAAAAAACAAGAGGGTAGATTGGACAGAGGAGATGGGAGCCCTACAATTAAAACCAAAAATATGCGCAGGAGTGACAACAAGGCATTGTTACCCCAGTCACTGAGTTTACAGAATACTCAAGAGTCTTCCACAAACCAGACTTCCCCTGTATCAAATGGTGTGATGGACCATTCACCAAGTAATGGAATTAAACTATTTATACCACCATTAGATCTCTCAACCCTGCATGAACATATCGATGGAATAGGTAAGCACTGGAATGCTTTCTGCCCTTTATACTTTCGCTTATTTTTTAAGTTATTTTGTATTTTATTATCAAAAGTAGGAGGTGGCATTTCTCTTTTAATGAATTATGTTATTAACCTTAGCTGTTGTTTTTTTTAAAATAATAGCTCATTCTGTATCACATTTAACACTAAATATCTTAGAAAAAATGTGTTACATTGTGAAAAGCTTATTATTGGTTGTTTTATTTTCATACTATTTAGAACCTATACCTATATCCAAGAAAGAATGTTCTGACACTCAAATCTGGATCAAAACAAATCACCTGATGGTTTCAGAAGACCATGTTGCAGTAATATCACCTAGGTCAAATAAATTGAAGAAACAGCATGAGTAAGTAATGTAACTTTACATTTGATTGCTCAAGGGTGGGTTTTTTTTAATATCTCAAAATATACTTGTTTTTATGCCTGTAACATATCAATTTTTTTTAAAATCTTTTAAGCTATTGAAAACTTGTTTGAGTGAGTTTTCCCATTAAACAGAAATCTCTCTTTTTAAAATATGTGGATTAATTATTTCTATTAACTAAAAAGTTTCTGAAATTTTTGAGTGGTTTTACCTTTTTGTCAAAATTATGATGTATGTTTTACAAATTTTAATTGAATCAATATCTTGTATAAATAATTTTTAAAAATAAAAGTATGATATGTAAATTTGTATTCAACTTATTAGATTGATTAAGCTAGTAGTTTTCCAAGAGCATGTCCAAAATTAAGTCATTTTTTTCTAGTACTAAACTTAATTTGTTTTTTTAGTGAGAACTTTGAATAGTAAAATGTTCTTTCTAAAACTTTACTAGACTTATGAACTTTTTAAAAATACTTGAAAACGAACAGCCCACTGAATTCACTTAGTTAGGCGATGTATATCTAACTGGTGTTTGCATAAGTCACTTATCAGATTACTGTAAACCATTTTCTAGCTGGTGTGAACCAGATTCAACAGCACCTGTTGTCTATGAGGCACCAATGTCACCTAGTGCATACTGTAGCAGTGGTCTGTTCAGGTGACATGACCTTATTTTCCTGTCATTTAAATATATAAATAATTAAAGCAGACATTGCCAAGGATCACCTTATGATGGAGGTTTCCAAAATAATGTCATGCCTCACTGAGATATGATAAGATTGCAGTTTTTATCTAAATTTGCACACTGTTCGTTATTCTCAATAATTTGATGATTTACATTTATTATATTAACTGTTGAATTACAGGTTTTATAGCTAGTTGGCTTAAAACATGTGATTAAAGTAGCCAAAACTGCATGACATTATTTAAGGATGGCCCCTTGGTTGCTTACATTTTGATATTTTTAAGCTGACCAAATTTTTAGCCATTACTTAAAAGTGCTTTTTAAAATTAATTGACCATTTTTTAATTGCTTTATTAAAATTATGTGTCTGTGATATTTTTTTAACTTATTGTGTGATCCATTGACAATGAAATATTTTAATATATTTGCTTTGGTACTGGCACCTCTTGCTTATACAATTGTTACACTATGTAAGCTAGAAAGCAACTTAAAATTATTGCTTCCTTGTATAACTTGCATGTTTCTTATCACTAAATCCATACTTTGTGACAAAGATTTGATATCAATTTACAAACTGTTGTTAATCTATTTTAGAATAATTTCTTGTATTTATTCAAGCACTTTGGTTACATATTTTCTACACTGCAGTAATGTAAAATCTGTAACTGTTCATGAATGGCCATGGTGTCTTTAAAATACTGTGTAACAAGTTTAGTGTAACTAAATTCTCTTACCACAGTTCAAACCGAAACCTAGATATTTTATACTGATGTTTAACTGTTCATAAAAATTATTTTTTTTTAATCATCCAATTTTCATTTTAAAAGATTGATTTAACTTTTGGGAACAGGACATAACCCATCCTCAGTTGACTTTTTTCATTTTCCCACCTTCAATTACTCCTTCCCTCCTCATCTGGCTTATAACAAGAGTTGTATACCATTTTTTCATTACTTAGTTAAACTGGCTGAGAAAGATTTAGTATGAATTTAAAATATTTCTTTATTATTTATTTTGAAATCACTGTCTCTTTTAAATTGTATGTTGCCCCAATTTATTGTGTTCTTTAACATACATAGTGGGCGTGAGGGGTGTGTCTTATTTCACCATCATCTCATTCTAGACATTTTACCAATGCTGCTTCATTCTGTTTTTTATTTAATGATGGAAATAGGTACATAGGAACTTTTCTGACAATGTATTTTTTAGACTGCAGAAATTATTTTATATAACATTAATAGTGTAATTCAGACTATAGATTATGCTCTAACATCTACCCAGCATATCAGACAAATAAGCAAAAAATGTCAGTGTACAACAAACATCAAGAAACAATTGTTGAAATCGGATCAGTATCATTTAAAATGTGTTTTAAAAATGAAAAAGAAAAATTGAGGTTTGACCTTTATTGTGTAACAATTTTTATAGTAAGCAAAATCTTACATTAAATCTGTCAGATAACAGAATTAATGAGGGGGGGGGGTTACCCAACCCCAACTTTTATAGTAAGGCCAGATGATTATTGATGGTCTCATATCATCACTCTTATGCCTAATGTCTTAGTTAATTAATTTTAATATTAAATCCTTTTTTTTTCTGAATTGTATCACCCTTTTAATTAAAATAAAATAAAAAGTACCTAATAGCATGTAATTTATCTATTGTAATTGTAAAAAAAAGTAGCACATCACATGATTGTATTTCTGTTGTAATATAGTCACTCTGCCCACCTAAAAAGGTTTTGTCAACAGACTGTTGTGCTAATCTGACTAAATTGTTTATTTGGGATCTTCCTTCTTAGGGCTTATTTTATTAAATTTGTGCTACTGCTTTCCTATTAGTACTTATTTGTTAAAAAAACTTTGTAAATGAATTAACTTAAATTATTTCAATAATAAGTTAAAATAGTTGTGAAATATAAATTGTTTGAACCCAAATTTTTAAAACTGAGATCATTTGACTTCTGAGGTAGTTAATATTTTATCAGTAACAATTAATAATCAGAGATCAATTTAATAATTTGATATTTTATTTTTGTTCAACAGAGCATCATTAAATACTGATATCCCTCCTTCACCACCTGTGCAGCAAGATTTATACAAGAAATACAGGTAGTTTCTGATATTTTTAAAGTGTTCTCATCTATATTCTTGTATTAATAAATTAGCAGACTGAAATATTAAATTTGTATTTCAATACTAAATGCATTAGATATCATTAGTCCTTAATTTTCATCTAATTTTTCAGTGATGATGATGGTACTTATCGCCACCGACAAATTACAAAGAAAATCCAAGGTACTCATTTTCTAAAGTATGTTAGAATATGATATAGTTATTGCACAGAATTTTGCTTAACTATTGCGTTTTACCAGTCATAACATTGGTTTGTTTTACAATGTAGACAAGTAATTCGCTGTTGTTAACTTTTATTACACTAAAACTAATTTTCAACAATTCTGAATGACTTATAAATAATTATCTATTTTTTTTTAAAAGGTTTGAAAAAGAAAATAAAAACATTTGAGGAAAGCTTTGAAAAGGAGCATGGCTACAAGGTAAAACAATTTGTATTCTAACTAATGAATTATAAATGTATTTTTTTTTAAAAGTAAATTTTGGTAATGGAATTATCAACATAATTTCTTCTTAAAGCCAACACATGGAGAGAAAGCAACCCAGCCTGATATTAAGAAGTACATGAATGAGTTATCAAAAGCTAGAAAAGACCTTAAGCGTGAGTTGGGCTTAACCACACACTTTAAACATTATCTTTTTTTCCTCTTAATAACCAAAGCACTGATAAATTACCTTTTTACAAAACTGATCCTCTGTTTTTGAAAATAATTATGTAATTAAACTCAGTGTCTAATAAGAATATCAAATATCTTACAAAATGCATGAATTGCAACTGAAATAATACAACAACAAAAAATCTTTAATAAATAAATCAGGTTTAAAAGAGGAGACTGAAAAAGGTAACAGATCTCGTCACAACAGTGGCGCGTCATCATCTGGGGTGGAACAATCTCCACCAGTTGTTCCCACTGTGTTTACAACACTGGAGTACATCCTTCAATGTTTGTCTGACAAAAGACAGGAATGTGGAAGACCTGAAGAAGTTACAGTAATGAGAATAAATTTAAATAAAAAAAAATTTTAAAAATTTAAATCGGCCTAAACCATCAAAATATATGTAACTTTTAGTGAAGCTTGTTTTAAACTTTTGCAGCAAATGACTAGGGATCAAGTTCAAGAAGAAAAACTAGCTGTACAAAGAGCTCTACTTCATTTTGAAAGCTTACATGGAAGACCAGTAAGTACCAAAAATATTTAATTTTAAGCAACATTCATCATCATCATCATTCCTTTGTGGCCCCTGGGGAGCAAAGGGCTGCAGCCACACATCTCCAGCGGACTCGGTTTTGGGCTGCTCCCCTAATTTGTGCCCATGTGAGCCCAGCTGTTTTCGCCTCTTCTTCAACTGTTCTCTTCCATGTTTTCCTTAGCCTGCCCACCCTCCTTTTTCCCTGGGGATTCCAGTCCAAAGCATGTTTTGCGATGTTTTCTTTTACTTTTCTTAATGTGTGTCCGATCCCTCCCCATTTATGGGCCTTGATATCTTTCTCTATTGGCTGTTGCTTTAAAATTTCCCACAGGTGAGCAACATTAATCCAAGTTTACTGTAAAATCTGTAACATAAATTATTTACAAGCTTGAAATTTATATACATGTACCTCTCTTTACAGACGAGCAAGGAAGATCGAGACATCATGAGACCATTGTATGACAGATATAGATCTGTCAAAAGGATGCTGGCTAAACCCATGTCTGTAAGTTTTTTTAGTGTTACAATTTTACAATTTGAAAGTTTCTTAATGTTAATACAATTTTATAATTTAAAACTTCTAAAAAAAAATTTCATATATAGAGGGTCGTAAAAAAATATATTTTGAATATTTTAGCCTCGAAATTCCCTTGAACTTCAAACAGTTCCTGAAGATCAGATGATGGAAATACCTCGTTCTTTCGTTGTAAGTATTTTGTACATCTTAAAAATAATACTTCTAAAAGATGATTTATATAAATTTATTATTTGCTTTACATAATGATAACTGACTTACAAAGATGATTAAACTATCACCTCTTCCATCAGCGGAACCCAATACATGTTCATGTGCCTACTGCAGACAGTGAAGAGGACAGCAACAATCATCAAGAATCTGGTACCGTGGATTTTGGCCTTGTGTCCCGAGACTTTAATGTCATGAGAGATTTAGATCTCCCTGCATCTTATAGTAAAGGCACTGATAAAGGTCTACAACAAGCTGGAGGAGGGGGGAATGAAGTGAAGGAGGATTATGGTGGAGGAGATGCACATCTTCATGAGCTATCTCTGTAAGTTAAATTTAGTTCTATTTTGATATTAATAGTGTCTTTCTGTTCTAAACAAAATCCACAATACCATTTTTTTTTTTAATTTTTGTGTGCGAACTTCACTAACACATAAATAAAGGTAGCTGCATGTGGACAACACAAACTGTTTAGTAACTAAAGTAGTATGTTTTAATAACACCCTTGAACTTCTTGACAAAGTTGGGTTTTTTCAACTATGGCCTGTCATTTGTTTTAGGACAGAGTTGCATGCTGAAATAGAATCATCCAGAAAAATGAAAAAACATCTGAGGAGATTGCTTAGAGAATTTGAAGAAAGTTTTCTCCAGAAGAATGGAAGGTTAGGACTTATTGTTTAGAAATTGTTTTTAGTTACAATTTTTAAGTTTATGTAATACTTTCAGAGGTCATAAGCTTATTCTAACAGTTATTATGCATGTTCTGTGAGTACAAATTGGTACAAATGAATGTTGGTGCTGGTGTATAATGAAGTGTAAAGTGCATAAAAAGATAGGGATGTGAAGGGTAGAGAACGTTGTTGCTATAGAATGAATGCTAGAGAGTTCGGGTTATGCTGCTGATGTGTGAGGTAACCTATGTCCTGTCAATAATAAGTCTACTGGGATACTAAACTCACAATGTTAGCACTTTGAATAAAAAACCCAAAAATAGAAAGAAATAAGTATCCTGTCTTGTATATTCTCGTTGTGTGACCAAGAATAGAACGCCCACAGTAATGGTATCATAACACTAACTGATGTGAGAAGATCTGATTACTGGTGATCCTTAGTGGATATTGAAGTACTTTGATGGTTTCAGGTTTCATGTCAGGATGTTCTTCCATTGCTTCATCTCAGGATCTTCCTATTTATTTGTAACTTGAGATTATCTTATATTACTGAACATCAAATGTTTGTTATAAATATTAGGTCTGTATGACTACATCATTTCAGTCTATACTAATTTCAATATTTTTTAAATTTTGATTTCAGGAAGGTTCTTAAGGAAGACAGACATCCTTTGCAAACAGAATATAAAGATTACAAGGTTGGTTTGCTTTTTCAAACCAGTACTAAAAGTACAAATTAAGAACAAAAAATTAATATGTTGAAATTTTACCAATCATAAATGTATTTTATTTTTTACAGAAAGTAAAAGCAAGACTGCGATTGCTGGAAGCTTTGGTACTTAAACATCATGAATCACTCAATTCTCCCCTCAGAAGTTAAAAGTTGTTTTTAATTGTGAACATCTAAATAGAAGATTTTGTTGGGAAAACAGACGGCAGTTAAATAAAAAATATATTTTTGTTAAAACAAATGTTAAGAAAAATTTTAAAAACATTTTTTAAATTTATTTTAAGAGGATGTATAGCATTCAACATTTTAAATAAAAGTATTGTATGCAATTGTTTTAAAGATGGCTTTCTTTTTTCTATTTTTCTCTTTTTTAAAGTGAATTTAGAAACTTTTTTATTTCATATAAAAAATCTTAGCATGTATTTAAAGATGCATTTGGAATTTTTTATTTTAAAGTGTACATTGTGACTAGTGTATGTTATTGTGGTATCAGTTCTAAAAAAGAAATTGGCAAAATGCAAAATTTTTATATTCCTTTGCAAAATTTAAGTCAGTTATTGTTTGGAAAGTTTATCTTTCATTCTTTTTAACTTCTTAAGTCTGCATGTTAAATCCCTGATATTTATAATCAGTGAACTAATCAATTTCACTCTTATAGTTAACCATTTCACAACTTGCCTACCACCAAATGCCAACAATTGCATTTTATGTGTATCTAAATAAAATTAAAAATTTTTTTTACCTATTCATGAATTGACCAACCCAATTTTATCCTTACGTTTTTAGATTGTTTATGATTGAGTGTACACTTTTAAAAATTTCAGTAAGATTTTTTTTTCCATGTTACTTAATAAAAGAAATGGCATATCAATAATGTGAAAAAGTTTTTCGTCATGAGTATCAAATACTCTTGTTGAAATTTTGTTGGATCTTCTAAGTGCCCATGTTGACCTGTGCTGAGCAAACATGCCACAGGTGTTGTATTGGCTGTTGGTTTATTACTTTTACAGACTTTGTAAGTAATATGGGGACCAAACCAAAAAATAGCTGATTTCAGAGAAAATGTTGGTTTATTAATTTAAATTATTTTTAACAAAAAAAAAAAAATCACAAAAAGTTTATTAAATGGCTTTTTTCTTGTCTTATTTTAAAAATTGCTATCTTAAAGAAAAAACATTTTGCTACTCTGATTACTTTTATCTTAGACCCCTTTTATACCGGTGTTTTAAAGACTGATGCACATGTTTTCTAGTTGAGTAAATGTGTAAATATTTTTAAGCTGAATCATTTAGCTTCATATATATATAAATAAATATACTTGTATATATACTTTTGTACTTGTCCATGTTTTTTCTATTGTGCTGGTTGATGTTGTTTTTTTATAATGGTGATTATACTTAAATAAGCAATTTTAAAATGTTTTGAACATATGCTTTCTTCTTTTATTAAAATAGTCACTTTTTAAAAAAGAATGCTCATGCTTTTTTTTCATTTTAGTAGGTAGTAGTTCTTTTTATAATTAGCATTTTATAAAAAAAAATTATATTTTAAAAAATGTTATAATTTTTTTCAAAAAGTTTTTTTTTTTTTAAATTGCATGAACTATTCATTATTAGAACTGTCAATCACTATCATGTAAACACACCTTTAACTTTGCATGTATCACACAGACAAAATATAATTAGGTGGCATGACATTTTTTTCATCATGTTCTGTTATTTTATGTTTACAACTGCTACCATTAAAATACTTCTTGAAAATATGGCAGTGAATATACATTGTTTATAAACACTCATTCCTTGCCAAGCTTTTTTTTCTATTAATGGTTGTGCTATGTCTATGCTAGAAATTATTTTTCTGCAGATTTGTTTTTATCCAGTTCACAGTATAAAGAATATTGACATTAAAAGCCCCAGTTTTTTCGCAATCTCATAGCTAAATTAATTTTCAAATTAAAAGCACTTCTAGTCCAAATAGATATTTATTTTTCTTTTATTAATATCCATCCTGGCCTTATTCATACTGTCATAGCAACGCATTATATAGCTTGTTTGTGTGCATGTATTCCGCACTTTGTTGTTAATTCTGCCTGGCCATTTCATATATTTATTTCCTTTTAGGACAATGTGGGAAGACACTGTCTGTTGATCTGTTTGGTCCATTGTTCATAGTATACTATTGAAATTAATCAATAGATAAGGAAAATTATTACTTAAAAGTTTGAAGGTAAACTTTTTCTGAACCATAACTGGAATTGTGTGTTTGATGTCTTTTTTCGTCATTTACAAATAATATGCATAGATTTATAGAAAAAGTTTACTAAAAATATTGTAATTAAGATAAAATGTTGTACTTGCCTTATTGTCTATCATATACTTAAGCATGATTGTTTTTCAGCCAACATCTTTGGTTGAGTGTAAATACATTTAGTTTTCTGTCATTCATCGATTCCTTGACACTACCAAACGAACTGAAACTTGATATAAACAAGGCTGGTCAACTGCTAATTGTGTGCTGCTGTCTCCAGTGTTCAATGCCAACACTTCCTTCTTATCAAATCCAGTATAGCTGAAAAAATAAAGACACATCATATAGTAAAAAAAAACAAGTTGTGAAAAAATATGTTTAACCCTTGCTTCTTAATCTATTGACATTGGCTTCCTGAAAATTTTTTAACTGCTCATTGTTAATGGGGATTTTTTTTTTTTTGGAAACTGTTGAGAAAAAGACAACTGTCCAGCTAAAAGCTCTGTTGTCCTACTTGCATATATACATATCGACATTTTTTTGCTTAATGAAATCTTTGTTTTCATATTCATCTCAGGGCATTGTTGTAGTTTTCAGGGCATCATCATATTAATAATCACATAAAGTGCAAATGATCAGAAATAATATTTTAGCTCATAAAGTAATCATAAAGTGCATTTAATAAAATCTGTTGTTTAGTGTATTGAGCTGATTCTTTGTGTACAATTATTTTCACTATTAACATATACATCATATTCATAGACAATCATTACCTTACATTAGCATTAACTGTCACTGAGTTATTTTTTTTATCTTGTTAAAGAAATTTCATTCAAACTGTCACTTAGAATTGTCTTAATAAAAATTAACTCAGAAATAGAATATTCATATTTGTCCATGTAAAGAAATATTCCCCATTACTGCCGCTGTTCGCTGTTAGAGGAATACATTAGCTGTTAAGATTTCATTCTTTGATAATGCTCTTAAAATATCAAGATAGTTTGAGACATTAAGAAACAGATTTGGACTTTCTTTACTTAGTGGACACTTGTAGACTTTGTGTTGTGACCTGAAGTAGTTTCAACCTGCGTTGACTTTGAGTATAGAAGTTGTTTTTTCTTTTCATTTTTACCACCTCCTATAACTGGAGTATGTATATATTTACATTTTTTTAAAAATCGCCTAAGCTGACAGCTAAGAATGGATTAGGAGAAAAACTCCAGACATTGGCTTTGTGTTCTGTACAGAAACAACTGCTTGCTGTCAGTTCTGGGGATTTCTTATTTTGGATATTTTTGTTGTCTAGTTCTAGATGATTTAGTGTTGGAATAGACCAAACTAGTTCACATGTATTAACCAAGAATGCCCTACTTTACACAAACTATGTAGGCCCATGCTTTTGTTGATCGTGTTTGATTATAAAACAAGTATCACATTTATACCTGCATATAATCAAAACATTTGTAATCTTTGAGATTTGAAAGTCTTTATCTTGAAGAAAACAGGTTTTATGTGTACTCCATATTGTTTGCTAATGCATAAATATGTATGTATATATGTGTGTATATATATATATATATATATATATATATATATATATATATATATATATATATATATATATATATATATATATATATATATATATATATATATATATATATACACACATATATACATATTCTTCAAGTAAATAGGCACCATTGGCCACTTTTTTAATGATGTAAAAAGTAAAAATTTTGTACATGTTATTAAAAACAATTTTTCTTCTACTTGAATGACTGTGATATGTAATAATATACAACCTTTTATTTATGTTTTAAGGTAGCTTGGTATAATATTATGTTTTTAAAGAGGGAGGCTCTTGTCAACATTTACTATTTAGGTTTTAAATATGGAAATATGGCTTGATTCATTCATCCAAAATTTATTGACACATCAGTTAAGAAAAACACATTTCTTTTTGCAAGTGATAGATTTTAAAAATAGCAAACATTTAACAAAATGTATCAGCAGTTGTTTTTTTTTATTGATAAACCTATATTGAAATAAAAACTTTTGCACTGCAGTTAATACATTAACAATTGTTTTTTTTAAACATTATTTTTGTATTTTCTAATCATTCCTTATTGTTTTAATGTTGATACTTTCTAAAAAATATTGAGCTTAAATAGTGCTTTCCCTTTTGATTAATGATAAAAATTTAACTTGTGAAATCCAACTAGTCAGATACAACTAATCCACTTGGGGTAATATCTAGTTAAATACATTGGTTTTATGACCATTGACATTTTGTCATTTAAGGCTCTTATTATTATTATTTTTCTTTGATCACAGTTTTTTTAAAATTCATAATACTTAAGTTCTAATTACAAATAGGCAGCAAATGCTTTTGGTTAGGAACTATAAATAAACAATGTTCCATATGTTGTCAATAATTGGGTAGAATATTTACAGTGAAATTAAACATTTCTTTAAACTTGTGTTACACACACTAAATAAATTATTAGTGTTATAACCTTAATGAGTAACCTTGCCCTGTTGTACAAGTGGCTGTATTACTGTGTGTAGCTTGTAGGTCATCAACTGGAAATTTCTGAGTTTTTCATAGGTTAGATTATACTTCATTGTATTATATTGTTTGGTAAATCATGGCAATTAACTCCAATGATTTGTTGTAGAAAATGTGTATATAGATAAAATGTTTTTTATAAACTGAATGAGGCACATATTGTAAGTGAATTTTTGAAAAATCCAAGCCCATGATTCTTCAATTGGGTACTTAAACATATAGAAAGAATAGCTATTTAAAAATACAAAAATTGTATATACTAGCAGTATATTTGTACAGGTTATATCAATTACTAGTATTGAATGAATGTAGCTTAGAACACATTTTGTAGAGTTGACAATTTTTAATGAAGCTATTTAAGAGACACCCATACAACAAGCAATACAACTCAATAAAAATATCTATTTTTTAAGTATTTGGTAAAAGCCTTATCTCTTGAATATTGTGAGATTTAAATTATTTTGTAACATGTAAGAGACATTCACACTAATCCATGTTTGTATTTTGTTGTTTTATATTCAATGGTAATGGCCTACTGTACTGTAGATTTTTTAAGTCCTAACTTTTTTATAACAACATTTCTTTTGGTATGTTTCTGTATTGGCCAGATACAAGTACTTGATGAAGTCTGACAAGACTTTGCTTTATGCAGAAATGTTATTTAGGTGTTAACCTGCTTAGTGTATGTTTGAATCACCATATTAAAGTTACTTACAACCCTGCTTTTTTTAAAAAATCATTTATAATTCCTTTTAAAGTACAATAATACTGATACAATGAGAACGATTTATAATTTTTAAAAAACACTGATAGCAAAATAGCAAGTAATCTGGGGGGAAAGTAACTTTATTAGACTCCATTCTTGAACATTCTAGGGTAAAGAAATATGTTACTCATAAGTAATCTTATTACCATGCTAACGCTAGATAAATAGGGTTCTTTCTTGTTCATTTAAAGTATATTTAACTGTAATATATTTTTTGTGTTACACACCTTTATAAAAAAAATTGTGATTACACACCTCTATAAGGATCAATTGATAAAATTATCAAAACTGGGAAAAAACAACTCACACTTTTTAAAAGTATACCTTGGTTAAAAATTGTTAGGTAGAAAACAGCTGCAGACTATTTGTTAGTGGTACATATTTGTATACTAAAGCTTTGTGCTAGTTGAAATATTGTTTTAAAAAAAAAATAACACCAAACAAAAACACCTTATAGACAATACCCATCCAAATTACCCAAAAAGATGTTTGACAGTAATTTATAAGTTTTGTTTTAGTGACAAAAGTACAATATTCTGCATAACTAAATGTGCATACAAGCTAGGGAAAAATCAATTCAAAACACTTTATTCCACAGAGTATTTAAGTATATATACAGATAAAATAACTTCCTGCTATAATCAAATGGAACAGCTAATATTTAAAAAAAAACATTTGAGTACACTTATCTTTTGTAATGTCTTGAAAGAAGCACAACCATCAAGAGCTTATATGGTTTACATTACAATTTTAAAAAGTAATAAACAGCATTTAATGATTTTTGCAATAATTTTATTGTATTGACAGTACTATAATTTAGAATGAGAATGAAATAACTATGTTGCTGCTTTTTTTTGTACAAATTGTATAGATTGAAACAAAAGTTGGCTACACTGATATTGCAAAAATCTCTGCTTTAAAAAATAATGGTTTTATACACAATATTAGATAAGTGTTAAAACATCAATGGAACAACACAAAAATAGACAAAATTTATGACATTCAACTGTAGTTTCAGATTATTTTTTTATAAACCCATTACATTTTTTTTCCATATTTCAGTTTGCTTATTAATTTTATAGGTTATTATCTCTTCAAAATCTGCAAAACAAACTGTGTAGTCCATTAACAATTAGTGAAGGGGAAAAAAATTGAAATAATATTCAAACCATGCATAAAAATAATTTTGAAAAAAAAAAGATGAAATTTAAAAAGTGTGATAGGACATTTAGAAGAAATAAATGATAGCTTTGTATCATTCATAGGGTACAATAAAAAAATAGAAATACTGCATTGCAATATGTTTGCTGCTTTTTGATGTGCTTTGACACTCATTTAACTATGACAATATCATGGGGTGACAACATGACTTAGGTATTTACAGGTGACAATTTTTTTTTTTTCATAAATATTATTTAGGTAGCAACTCAGCACAATTTGAACTTACATACTAGAGATAATACTTGGATACCTTAGGAACGAGATTAATCAACAATCTATTTACAACTCCGAATGTTGCATTTATGAATGGAAAAAAACTTGTAATTCTTTAATGCTTTTTATGATCAAAGCTTTATGAGATATTGATCGGGAGAAGCAATGTTCTTTCTATGCTGCATTGTCAAGCAGTAGCTGTAAACCTGCCACGTTGTCATTTGTAATATGCAGATAACATTGTGTAAGTTGTTTCAGAGCATCGCGCACAAAAATACATGCTGCAAACAGGTATTAGCTCCTCACTGAGTATTTAGTGACAAATCTTCAAGAACACTCTTAATTATGGTCAGTGGGATTGTGATGAACCAAAATGTATCACATGGAGTTATTTCACTTTGGCTAAAAAAAAATCATAATTCGTAACTTTCTATAATCTTCAATCACATTTGATGTTTATAAAAAAAAATTATATATACATTTTAATCACCTTTTAGCCACCATTTTGTTTTACATAAAATACACAGCAATTAAAAACTATATTTACCACCATTCTTAAACCCAACAGCATAATCAAGTGTCCCAAATGTACTGTTTTTTTATTCTCTTGCAGAAAGGATATGAAATTGATAAAGGATTGGATTTTTTAAAATGTTTACAGAAATCTTTTGAAGGTTAAAACAATACAATGTGCACTTGCAGATTTATTAAACAATAATTTTGAACAACTTTAAAAAATGCAATCCATTTTTAAAGTGTAAGATGCACTTCAACAAAAAAAAATGCATTTTGTTCTTATTACAATAAAATTAGTGAAATAGTGAACTCTTAGATAAAAACATTAAGAGAGATCACCATTATCAAATAATACACCCACAGAAACAATCTAATTTACAATGTAACATTTAGTAGAAATGTAAACAATTAAGGAAGAGGAAAATACTAAAAATCTTTTATTTTTTTAATTCAGTATTTAAACCAATACCATTCATAAGCCAATTATGTAAGTTAGATGGTGTCCCCTTAGAAAGTGTTTAAAATTTAAAAGGAAAGAATTTGTTTAAATTATATAAAAAGTTGTATAGATGCAGAATAAAATTTGTAACATATTTAGAACAATCATATATTGAAATGTTTTTACAAGATTTTCTGTTGTATGCTTGTTAAATAATAACATTTGAAATCTATTAATGAGTTTGGTTGTAGAAAATCTTTATATAGCTACTCAGTCTTGTAAAATTTTAAGGAAATTTTAATTACTTTTATCACAAGCTTAATCAGTGACCATTCAATTAGTCGGCAATCATAAAGTGGTTATCACTTTCTGATATTATTTAAACATAAGTAAATTTGACACAAGTGCTTTAACTTTTGACACTAAGAGTTTAAAATTTAAGACAAAATAGAAAAAAATAGAGAAGTATCTACACATACAATAGTATCAATAAACACAAATAACACCTTAACTACAATTTAAATTCTAATAAAATATCTTAAAGTACAAATATCTTCACTGTAAGTATGGTGCTTGTCCAATTAGCCTTTATTGTAATCAGCACATAGCTAATTAATTAAATTTAAAGAATCACTTTAATGTTTAACTAAGTTTTTGCTTAATTTTCTATTTGATCAACAAATCTGCGCCTTTAAATTTGACTTCCCCGTTTAACAGTTGGAAATATAACCTGATGTTGTTCCAACAAGTATGTCTGCTGAAAACAGCACACACACACAAAATAATCAACTGATATGCTATGAGGTAAATGGTTTCCCATCATTCTTTGAGCAGTAAGAAAGGAAGTACACGTCCAAGCCCCTGCAATTTAAAACCAAGGGCTTTTTGGTTTCCCTGAGTTAAAAAGCATCATCTAACTTACCACCTACTTTTTAACTTCAGTGATGCAGAGAAAAGCACTATACATAGATCACACGTTTTTCTTAAAAGACACTATGAGGTAGAATGCATTAAACAGTATAATTATTTTATTACTCTCCTTAAATATTTCTCTATGACATGAAACAAAATTATTTATAGCTTAATAGTTAGGTTGTTTTTTTTTGTCGTATAAGGAAATATTCCCTTAATATACTGGGCTTTTTAAGCTTGAATTATTATTTTTAATCTACCTCCAGTTAGAATGAAAGTTTCAAAAACTTTATACAGAAACGTTACAAACAATAATAGCTTGTGGAGACTAAGCATTATTTACACAATCAAGCATCATATTCAATAGAATTATGCAAAACACCATTACAGAGGTAGCTACAAAATGTATATCAATGTTAGAGGTAGCTACAAAAAAATATTTTTTTTACGATCTAAATAAAGAAACGGCACTCAAATTTCCAAAGGTGACTAAGAGAGCATGGAATTGGGAGGTATATTGTTTCAAAATTAAAATGTAAAATTTAAAAAAATAAACTGATTTTAGAATGAGGTACCTTAGTTCTAACCAGATTAGAAGACAGTAGTTTGAAAGTGGTATACAAAAAGTACAATAGGAATTACCTTAATTCTCTAAAACTAACATGTTTTTTCAAATGTTTTAAAGCCATGTTAAATAAAATTAGTAAGGTTGGTTTTTTTTTTAAAATAATAAACTAGTTAAACTAAACTCCAAGCCTGACAAATTTTGAAAAGAATTAGCAAAAATTTTTATAAGCTGAACAAAAAAATAGGCAAGATTTAATTTTCTTAGAGAAATTAATAAAGATATGACAAAGCAATCCCAGAATACATGGAACAGTACATAATTGCTTGAATCTTAATTAAAATAGATATAATTTTAAAAATGCACAAGCCAATAAGAAATTTTTTTTAAAATTGAAGTACCACATGCAAAAAAGTGTCAGTAAAATACAAGGGTAGATAAAATAGAATAAACATAATCCCAGAAATTAGTCTTAAAGATATTTACCATATTTTAAAAGTATTTCACTATATGAATGTAAAAGTGTGTTTATTTGTAAACAAATACATAATACATTATTAAACCTTTTCTAAAAAAATGCTCTTTTTCAAACTTAAAGAAATTTATAATGCAGCCTGAATGATGGTTATATTTATATGCTTGGGTTCACTGAAAAAATGTGAGGAACTGTGCAGCAACAAGCTATCAAAGGTTAGTGGATATAAACTTTCTGTCCCTATTTATATAAGCAAACTCATGATGTTGCCACTATGTTACCCATATATAATTTTAAAGAAAAAATACCATCCCTAACAAGTGACTTTATCTCTTGATGGATAGTTTTAGAATAATGAATGAAATATTTAAAAGTACTTTATCGACTGACAATATATACTCTTCAAAAACTGCAGGAAGATCAGTAATGCTTGAAAAATAACAACTTCAGGAATTAAACTTTAGTACCACAATTATATTCAATAACCATGGAGTGTAAAACATAGACCAATGTATATTTTATTACTTTAGGTACAGTTTATGGAATCTTTCAAATATATTCTTTCAAATAAAACAGATGAATTATTTTATTATTTGTTTCAAAATGTTATTGTAACAAATAATTTTTTTTAAACTTTAGCGAAATTATTTTTTATTCTTAATTATATTTGCGAATGCTAATAATTTTTAAACATAAATTTAAGTGATTTGAAATGCTTACAATCAAAACTTTTATTGATTGATCTATTAAGAAAATGAATATATCAGAATCTGTTAACTGTCTTTAAGAACTAGTGTTTAATGCTGGTAAAGTTGACCCTGATAGTGTTTAGCACTTATAAAATTGACCCTGACTACCTTAAAAAAATCAATGGTGGCTCACACAACAGTTCTAAGTAAAAGTTTAGTAATGGTTTACTAATTATTCCCAGGAAAGTCAGGAGTGTTATCAATAAAATGTGCACTCAAGTTGTGCCTGACAGCAGCTACTGCTGCATGAGCAGAATCCAAGCATCCATCAAAGGTGGAGGTTGTGAAGCCATCACCTGCTAGAATTATCAGAGGATTTGTGTGTATGATCACACATCCTGGCTGGTCTTCGTATGGCTGATGGACCTAAATAGGAAAAAAAAAATAGTGTTTACTTGGTAAAAATGTTGAAATCCTTTACAAGTGAAGCTGTTTATATAATTTTTACTTATGTTGTTAAGCAATGAAATGAAATTGATTAAATCTCATTCATCTGTCTAATGGACAATACTGAAAAGGAATTTTACTTAATAATTACCTGCAGGGTTAATATGTGTTTCTAAACCATTTAGTTCAGTTAAAGTAGGTTCACGTTTAGATTGAATATCAAAATTGGACACTTTTCTTATACAATTATTCTGTCCATGAATTAAGCATGTTTTTACACCCTCCTCCTCCACACCAGTTCTAAGGCCTGTTGTCACAAATCTATCTCATCACTTCCATTCCCCCCCCCCCCATCCCTAAAGAAGAAAATTCTACAGAGATGTAAAAAGACTTGATAATAACACTGACAGCCCTTTTTTATGCCCCCCCTCCCCCAATGATCTGTTTTGCACTATTGTTTTCAATAAAATGATTACTGAAATTGTGAGAGGCCATTTGAACAACAATTGCTAAAGCGCATGTAAATGTTTAATGTTAAGGGCAGGCCTACCTAGTAAGACAGATATTCTAGATTTGGACTTTTAGATCTAGAAATTAGCGTGTCATTAGTCACGATTTTATGGTATTTTCCTCCATACATTTATTTATAAGCATAATTTAAATCTACCAATGCCAAAAAGAACATTTATTTCTAAATACTTCCACACAAAAAATATTGTGTTCATTTTAAAAGGTGTCTAATCTATGCTCAGCAGCTAATTTTTTCACATTAGGCCTATCTATTCTTAGACTATTCTACCTATTATCAAAAATCAAGAAAACGGAAACGTGGCAAAGGGTAGTAATCGCTTTTCCCTGCTCTTTTTTTCAATTCTATTTATTTATTTTTTATAAATCAATTCTATATGTTCACTTCTATTTTTTTTTGAAAAAGCAGGACAAACTCCAACTAAAGCAGAACGGTGGAACAGGACAGAATTTTTTGTAAAAAAAGAGGAACAATTCTGCTTTTGGCATGTCTGCAATCATTTTAAAAAAAAACCCAACTGAAATCATGTCTTATCTTTTAAAGATAGACATGGTATCATGATTTAAATGGAAGTCTTCAACAGTAAATAGCCTAACTGTAATTTTAACTTTTTATCATGTGATGGACAAGTAAATCAACCTGATTAACTAAAATTAGGTAGGGCCGACTAAAAATAAACAGCATTTTGGAAATAATACTTGAAAATACAAAACATTTGAGCCAAAAATAGTCATTCTGGTAACTTAATAGTGTTTTTTTTTTTTAATTGCTGGTAACATATTTTTTGCCCCAGCAAGACACGGTCGTGGGGTCAGTTTGAGTTCATTTAAGCTTAGTTTGCCTGTATTATGCGACACAGGGTAAAAAAGGTACTTGATATTGATGCTGACATCACTTATTTTTCTGGTGGGTCACACAGAGCTGACTGCATAGACCCAACCAGCGATCCCCTCCCCTTGTGAGAAACAGAAACTGAAATGCTTGATGGAAGGGTTGCAGTGGTACAACACGCTTGTAAATACAAAGTAGATCTTAGACCAAACGGACAAAGAAATCAAATTAGCTGGGCTAAAACTAGATCTAGGCCGACTTGAAATTTCCAATTTTTTTAGAAAGAACTTCAGATCTACCAAAATCACCCGCACTCATAGGAAGACGTGAGAAAAAAATTAAATTAAACCCACCGGGACACTAGTCAAAGTCTGCTATATATTTATATTTTAAAGCTTTTGTCTTGTATGGGCAGAATAGACAAACATCATTAGCGAAAATTTTTACTGGGGTGGCCATAACGCACAAAATAAAAATACACTAAGGCGAGTAAAATTTCAGGACATTTTACAAAATTTCAGAAGAAATGTTCAAATTCCTGAAGAATTCCAGAACACCCTGAAATATCAGGACATCTCGGGAGCCCTGCTTTATGTATATAGTTAGTACTCATACAAAGGAAATATAAAAACTTTTCTAGCTAAATATCTTTTTTTTAAATACCTGGGAATATCTCCATCTCTGGGGTTTGATGCTTATAGGCTTTGGCAGCTGTGGCAAGATGTTGCGGGCATGACCAAGTATTTCATCTGTGACTGAATTCAAATCTTCTTCCAGGTGAGCTAAGCCAAATGGAACACTAGTGTGAAGAACTATTGACATACCCTGGTCGGCTTTGTCTACAGAGAGGAGTATTGGTAATGGCAATTAGTTCTACATTCACCACATACAAAATAAAGATATGTATTAAACTATTGTGGCTAAGTGACTTACTGACTCCTCGTTTGTTCTGGTCAATAGCAATATATCTAAGGCAAGGATTATCAGAGATATACTTGGCACACCAAGAGTAATTCAGCTGGGTTTTGGGTGGGAAAAAAAGTCCAAGAGCGTATCTAGATGAGTAGGAGACATTCTGCAGTTTTTTCTTTACATCTGGAAGGTTATCTATTGGAGAAAATATACATACTTTATAAATGAACATGCTTCTGATTTGGATAGATTTTTTACATTTTAAAATATAATTATTCTTTGATTAAACATAATCATAGCCTTTCCAAAAAATCCCCAAAGTGTAGACAAATCTATGAACTGGGCAAGTAGCATTTTTTGTTTGTTTCTGGTTCACTATAATAATGCAAGCTAATACTTTCTTACTAATGCTTGATCTGTAGTTTGGCAGATCTACTTTTCTTATTCCTTAGAGGGCTGGGGAGAAGGGGAAAGGAAGAAATTGGGAAATCTGATATAGATCTAGTGACTTTATATAATCTTTATAACTGTTTATATTTTTTTCGTAAAATTAATGGTTGATAAGATTTATTCTGGCTACATCTGCTAATGTTTTTCATGTTGGTAATATTTTTTGCAACAAGCATCCATAACAGAAGGCCTATAACTTAATTTGATCTTAGTCATTCAATAATTCTTGGAATGATAAAGGAAAAGTTTTGTACATAATTTATTTTATAACTCTCAGGTCTCCAGATGTCTAAAAACAATGAAGTTGGATGTTGGTCCCATTATATGAATAAATATGAAACAAATGAGTTTATTGAGAAAGTATTTTTTAATGTTATATATTGTATCACATTAATAGTTAACATTAAAAGCAAATGTTACCAATCAAGGTAGGAAGTAAACCCTTCAGTTGGAGAACTTGTGGCACTGGAATTGTGAGAATAACAGCATCAAAGTTTTCAAATCTCATTGGTGTTGAAACTTCTACTTTTTCCCCTGTCTCATCAAAGCTAATCTCACTGACTGGCTCCTGATACTTTATTGTTGCATCTGCAGCAAATATAAAAATTGATTAATCAATGAGGTTTTTTTAACAGTCAAAATATTTGAGAAAGTAATGGTGCATTTTCAAAGAATAAAAAGCATTTTAATTATAGTTATACTTAACACCATAGACAAGTAAATTTAAAATGTAAACTTTACCTGAGTTTGAATTATTAACAAATTTATGTGTTTTTATTAACATAATTTTCTTCATTAGACAAAAGATATTAACTTTAACATTCATAGAATATACAACAATTAACAATAAAGAAAAAGACTTACTAGCTTGGTCTAAATAAAACTTGACTAATGAACTCGATCCTTGAGGGGTAACAAAATGCTGAGATCCAGGCTGATTAAGATCACTGCCTTCAATTTCTCCAACAAGCTTGGCCAGAACCCCACATTCAAGAAGTTCATTATATACGCTAAAAGCAGTAAACATAAAACTTGAATAAAATATAAGCTTACTTCATGCATTTTAAAACTGATGCTTTTATAGAAGCAATTATAGCCATTACATTGCACAAAGTTTTACTAAATTAAAAAATGTGTTAAATATATAAGTAGCGTTAAAAATAAAGGAAAAAACAATGAAGGAAGCAGAGTAAAAGTTTTTGAAAACATAAGTTTCCATTGTCTATAATAGTATGTTAAAGAAAAAATGAAACTGGACAAAGTGAATCACCCGCGTCTTCGTTGTTCATATTCTTTTGTCAGAGTAAAGTACTGAGCTCCAAGATCAACTGTTATTGATCCATCTTCTGGACAACGTGTAGTTGACATACGGCCTCCTATTCCATTTGTGAAAAAAAGTATATTAAAGTCATTATTACAAAATTAAAATTAAACTTGTGATCACAATAAATGGAAGCTTCAGATGCATCTGCTATTAAATTACAATTAAGATGCAATTGTTTAATTAATTAGCTAACTAAAATGAGCCTAATTTTAAGTAAGTTGAATTTAAAGAAGAGCAATCCAATAATAACAAGTAGTAGTAGTAGTAGTATAATGGTTATTAGATAGTCCTGCAAATTCAAACATAAAATAAAAATGTTTTCTGAATAAATGTTAGGTCAGCACTGACCCAAATATTAAGCATTTTAATTGCCTTTTTTTTTTTAATGGCTGTGTCAGTGTGGAGGAACAATTAAAATTTTGATTAAACCTTCAAATTCCTAAAACAATGACAGAAAAGACTTAGGTATTTTAACATAAAATATTAAAGAACTGCAAAAAGGGTGTACACTAGTAAAATGTGCAAGCAATTCTCAAGTGCAATACAATAAAAAAGTTGTCGTTTCATGCAATGCATTCTGATGCAGAACGTCAACAGGTCAATAAATGGCAGGCATCAATATTTCAATACTCAACCTGCGCCTCGAGCTTTGTCCCATATATGAATACTAGTCCTCTCAGGAAGTTGCATCCTTAAATACGCTGCTGTTGCAGCGCCTGTTATACCGCTCCCAACGAGCAGGATTTTCGCCATATTTTTCAACATAAGCAATGTGTATGTTCACTTTATTAAGTTGCTCATTATCACTGAAATTATTTTATTTGTTATGATTCCTATTACTTTATAAACTAGAGGTCAAAGGACAATACGATGCACGAGCTGTTTAATGTCATTAATATCCAATTTATATTGGTCCATATTTAAAGTCAAGCGTGTTGTTAAAAATTAGCAATCATATAATAAAAGTACTTGAAAAGAGTTAAAATGTAAATATGTTCATCTCTGTAACTTACATTTTTTAATGTATCCTTCTAAAGACTACATTTTATGTGTTTTTTTTCCCATGAAAGTTCCAACAGTGGCGCAGACAGCGTACGTTTGGGGGTTCAAACCCCGCCCGTTGAGCCCAAAATGTCAACCATCTCATATTAAGTTTATCAACTATATAGCTAGATCTATATGCATTATTTATATGGGGTAAAAAGCAGTGTTTCTTCCAGACTTTTTTCTCCGGGGGGGGGGCACTTGAAATTTTCGGGGGGGGGGGGGTAAACTTTCTTCAGGGGGGGGGGGGGGGGGCGGACACTGTTAAAAGTATATATTTTCTATATAAATTATATAAATTTCATTTCGTTCGGGGGGGGGGGCGGTAAAAAAGAAGAGATGCCTGGAAGAAACTCTGGGTAAAAGTTTAATTCCCCGCTTCCTCCCCCCTAACAAAATCCTGCCCAAGTCACAGCGTTACACCACTGTGTTTTGATCCCAATTTTTTTCAACAAAGGGTGGTTCACATAGCTTCTTCCAGGCATCTCTTTTTTCTTTTTTTTTTTGGGGGGGGGGGGGGGGGGGAGGAGGAGGGGGGGGGGGGAGGAGGAGCAGTTAGAAGAAGACTATTATATGATTGTGTAAATGTGCCTATGGGTTAGGGTTAGGAGAAAGAAAGCTGTTGATGATGAAGCCGCTTTGGTATGCTTAAGTATAGAAAAGGTTTTAAGTTGTTCAGTCCTAAACATCGATTGTTGTTGTTTCATGTTGCCACATAGACCTACTTAAAATAGGCAAAAGTAAAAAGTAAGGATATTGTTTCATTTGGCACGAAGGGATCGCTAGCACGGTTGCCAGAAAGATGCGTAACGGAAAAAAATGCGCAAATGAAAAAAGCGCTAAAAAATGCGCAACGGCAAAAAAAACGCACACAGAAAAAAGCGCAAACACAAATTTGCGCACACAGAAAAATGTTCAAAGAAGCAAATGCGCTACCAGAAAAATTGTCAAACAGAGAATTACGCACACAGAAAAATGCGCAAAGAGAAAAATGCGAACACGGAAAAAAGCGCAAACAGAAAAATGTGCAAAGAGAAATGTGCGCACACAGAAAATCACTGGTTGTTTGAATAACTAAACCTGCACCTGCACCTACGCTTACATACATACCTAAATTTACAGCTATTCTTACACGTACACGCACACCTACCGCCCAACAACGGACCGAATGGTCCACACACACACCCTGGATACCTGGATGTCTGTCCATACCTCCATAAATATCATGCAAATTTTATTGTTATTGGAATAACAGTTTTCCGGTTGACTAAACGAGAGATGTGCAATTTCACGCAAAGATATCAGTGCCTCTATTTGAACATGTCGAAACATAAGCAGGATGAACGAATGGTTAGCTCATGTAATAACTTACAGGGAACGCCACTAATGGATGACTTCAGTTTATTAGAGACTGCAGTCTGTGATAGAATTCTTAGAACAAATGTTCATTCTGCTACACAGTAACCCATCTGCAAGACTCGTGATTTTGACCTAGGTACAGTGCCGGATAGACATATTAAGTTAACAAACTCTTCCTTAGCAGCGTTTTTTCCAGGCAGAGCCCCCCCCCTCCCCCACAAAGAAAGTCTACCTCCTCCCCGAACGAAATGGAATTTATATAGAAAAAAGTCTGGAAGAAATACTGTTCCTTAATGCTCTTATTTTCTTAGCTGCCCACCCCCCCCCCCTTCCCCCCGAATTTTTTAATAACTGTAGAAAAAGAGAGAGAAAGAGAGAGAGAAAGAGAGAAAGAGAGAGATGGGTTGACTGACGGACGCACGGACAGACAGACAGTCAGGTGGGTGGGTCGGCTGGTCGTTCGGTCGACGGTCGATGTAGATGTGGGTGTAGGCGTAATCGTGTAAACCACGTTTGGTCATATTATCTGTGAATAAACAGCCCTGGTTGACAAACTGTGTGTGGTCAACCCTTCGCTGTTGTCAAGCAACGTGTGGGCGAATCATCTATGGTCGAAGCACCTTCGGTCAGCAGCATCTATGTAGGTATATATGATCGGAAAATATTAGCAATTAATATGTCTATGCATTTCTATGCATTTTAGAAAGAGCGATGGCATTTTTTAGATAAAAATATACAGGAATGAAATATATATGTCTATGTATACACACATACACAGACCAACTAAAACATGCAAGCATAAACACACACACACACACACACACACATATATATATATATATATATATATATATATATATATATATATATATATATATATATATATATATATAAACATTGTCACAATCATAATTGATGAAAGAACTTTATGTCATTTTCTGTGTGCGTAATTTTCTAAGTTGCGCATTTTTCTGTGAGCGTAATTTTCTGTTTGCGCTTTTTTCTGTTTACACATTTTTTTCGTTGCGCATTTTTTCTTGCACTTTTTTCCGTTGCGCATTTTTTGTTGCTCATCTTTCTGGTCACCCGCTGGCATACGTAATGGTAAAAACACACGTAATTGGTAAACACATTTTTTAGTGTAAATTTGGTCCACATATGGCCTACAATAAAAGTTACAAGACCACGAAACTTCCAAGCTCTTTATTGGGAAAATACAACAACAAAAAGGTGGAGATAAAAAAAAGTCTGCTTCCATATCTAGTGAGGCGAAACTGTTATTTAAGGACGACCCTAGCCTTGAAACTAAAAATTAGTTTTAAACGGCGCGAACAACTTCCCGATAATCGATAAAAAAAGGTCGTTATTATTTTATCAAGACCAAGGATATTAATATTAGAATATTAGAATTAGGCCTAGATCTAGAACTTTCTTTTCTTGTTCTTGTGCAATTTTTGTTTACTCTTTAAAACTGTATAGGCGGATAACTTTTAAAAAGTTAATTTTGTTTATGTTCGTTCCGTCATTCAACAAACGTCTGTAAAAATCGCTTGTGGTTCAAAATTACTTAAAAATTAGGTCATACTTATTTGCACAAAGCACAAAACTATACTACTATAGACTACAACTACAATCTACTATCTACCCATCCACCATTCATATTCTCAATCTGGACTGACAACATCTCTCCTCCTCACTCTAGACTATCCATAATCAGACCAAGTATATTAATATATTATATTATTATTATTATTAGTATAAACTATGTGTCCAGACGGGTAAGAAGATATGAGCTCAGTGGGGGGAGGGGGGGGGGGAGAGGAGGCGGCCTATGCTATAGTCATGTATAGTGAGTGGCAAGTTGGGGACTTAAGTAAAGCTCAAATAATACAAATATACTTAATTTAGCCTATGTGTAAAATATAATATATATATATATATATATATATATATATATATATATGATATATTTGCTATGATTAAGGGCTTTCGGTCATTTAGTACAGTATTTATTTTTTTAGTCTGTGTATAAAATTTGGTTGTGACATGTAATTATGTTTGATGTAGAAAAGTTGGTTGGTCATAGTGCAGAACAACACTTTTCCTTCATATGCAGGGGTCTCTGAAGCAGATGAACTCTACTTCATCTGCTCTATGTGTCTTGGTCACGAAGAGTAAAAGATGATGTTTGATGTTTATTGTGTAATTAAGTGAAGAAATAGTAATTTAGATGTTGAGACCATACAAACAGTAGCCTACATAAACAAAATTAAGGCATTACAAAGGGGCTTAGCGATTAGGGATTTGTCCACATGGGGGTCAGCCATAAATGCTGACACACTCTTCCAAACTTTTATTACTTCCAACCCTTTCTTTCCCATTGTCTAAAAAAGCCAGACCACTTCCCCCTCCCTCTCCCCCCAAAATTTTTAAAATGAATTAAAAAAAACCAGCTGTACTCGTCAATATTTATCTATTTTTATTGCATTTTCACACACATTTTTTTAAAAAATGCGAATAACTGTTAAAATTAAGTTTCTGAAATTAGGCCTACTTTTTTTAAAAGTTTGTTGTCAAACTTTCAAATTACCCCCCCCCCCCCCACCCCCCACAAACACTCTCCATTAGACATGTGACTCAATGGCTGTGCTTTTATACTTTTTAAACTCTCACCTAATGTAACTAGATCTAAATTCTATTTTCAAACATATCTATGTTTTCATTATAACAATATAAGAAAAATGTATCAAAAACCTTTTTAAAAATCAAGTGAAACTTAATAACAAGATCTACATTTTTCAAGCTTTTTATTATTTTATTGGGCAGATCGTTGGAAATAAAATAATCTTAAATGTCAACTAAAATAATTAAAATGTTAAGTTATTCAACCTTGTTTATGTGCAGATTATTTTATCAACGAATGCCTGAACATACAAAGTGATCTTAGAAATTAAAAAAAATTAACAATGCACTTGTGAGTTATATCTCACTCATTATTGACATCTTTAAAATTACAGTAGTGTTCATTGTCAAAATATTTTTTAAATAAAATCAAATAGAGTATACATATTGAAGCTTTTCATGTCAAATTGAGAGGAAAGTTCTGTAAGACTTCTGATCTTGTTTAAATATATACTTAAAAAAAACCCACCTGTAATGAAAATAAAATAAACTAATTGTAATTGGCACCAAAAGCAACACAATTTTATAATACTCCTCACCAGCACTGATAGTCCATATACTAGAAGATTACAACAAATATTTGCAAAGTGACACAATCAGTGTGTGAAGTAAAATGTAAGCAGTAACTAAAGTAACAGAAAATGTAAACTGTAAGTAGACGAATATCGAGATCAAATTACATCAAAAATATTTATATTATTAAAGCTCTAGAAGCATAATAGCATGACTTTTTATGTAAGTGGTGTAGGTATGAATTTGTCATGAGGAAGGTTCAATTTTAAACCACATGAAAATAAAAATACATTATATAGGCCCTATATATATAATATATACATACATATATATTTATATATACATACATATATATTTATATATATATATATACATATATATTTATATATATATATAAATATACATATAAATATACATACATATATAAATATGCATATGTATATATACATATACATACTTATATATACATATACATACATATATATACATATACATACGTATATATACATATACATACGTATATATACATATACATACGTATATATACATATACATACGTATATATACATATACATACGTATATATACATATACATACGTATATGTAAATATACATACGTATATATACATATAAATATACATACGTATATATACATATAAATATACATACGTATATATACATATAAATATACATACATATATATACATATAAATATACATACGTATATATACATATAAATATACATACGTATATATAAATATACATACGTATATATAAATATACATACGTATATATAAATATACATACGTCTATATAAATATACATACGTCTATATAAATATACATACGTCTATATAAATATACATACGTCTATATAAATATACATACGTCTATATAAATATACATACGTCTATATAAATATACATACGTCTATATAAATATACATACGTCTATATAAATATACATACGTCTATATAAATATACATACGTCTATATAAATATACATACGTCTATATAAATATACATACGTCTATATAAATATACATACGTCTATATAAATATACATACGTCTATATAAATATACATACGTATATATAAATATACATATATATATATATACATATATATATTTATAAACTAGCCGGCCAGGCCCTGCACTGGCAACACTGAAAATGTATCTGTAAAGGACTATAAGTATAACTTAGTAATCAGCATATACCCGGCATTGCCCACCCTAACCACAACTAAACAAAACGCAAAACGCAAACATAACACAAACACAAATACAAACGAATACACAAAAACAAACGCTAAGACAAACCCAACCACAAACACAAAGAAAACACAAACACTAACGCAAACAAAAAAGCAAACAAAAACAAACACAAACCCAACCACAACCAAACACACCAAAAAAAATCAATGCCAACATAACGCAAACCAAACCCAAACTCAAAGAAAACACAAAGTGCTCACAGTCTAGCCCAGGGCGCCAAATCGCACCATGCTGAGGCGCCGGCGTAAACGCCTGATTCAACTTAGTAAACGACTATAGTACCTCAACTTATTCATAGTCTTTTGCACTCACTTTTAAACGAACATAGGTGCCAAACCGAACACAGGAAGGCCCCAAATAGCACCCTGTCTGGGCGCTGGAGGACGCCCGGATTCGATTCACTTAAAGACTATAGTAACCTTTCTTATCCATAGTCTATCGCACTTTATAAAGCGAAATTATGCACCATAGCGCTCACAGGATAGCCCAGGGCGCCAAATCGAACCCTGCTGGGGCGTGGGCGAACGCGCCTGTTTCAATTTAGTGAAAGATCAGTAAATGAAAGAAATCAACATATTGGACATGTAGGACCTGGCTTATTAATTGTTATTGATTATAAAAAATAATTTAAACAGTACGTTCAGTTTATAGAATAAATAAAAGGCAGTATTAAAAAAACCAACAACATTGCATTTAATCAATCCCCGCTAATTATGTAATTATTGTTTTTTCTAACACCAAAACGAAGTAATAAAAAGTAAATCCCCCCCCCCCCCCCCGATAGAATGTTTTTTAAAGGGAAGTAACTGTGTTTTCCTAATCAAGGGACGTAATGAGCGCTAAAGGACTAAATGCAAATACTTTTCAGACACAATTAGAAATGTTATAAACGTCGATACATTTTTATTTAATTGTATGTAATGTACATATTGAAAATTATTACTTTAAGTACACAAAATGAAAATTGTTTTAAAACACTTTCAATATTAATTTTTTAACTCATAAATTTAGACCATGAGCACTTTAATAATCTAACTCTTGAATCCATAGAAGTATTGTGTGTATATATATAATAAATTGCATTAAACTGTGTTTCTCAAATTATTTTATGAAAAGGCCTACCCTAATAAAAAACATTCCATTTAATCAGGTAAACCATTGCTACATAACTAATCTAAGCAAAACTAGTTTTGCTAAACAACAGTCAAACACTGAAAATTAGCAGAGCTTTATCCAATTCTCTACATCAAAATTTCAAATACCTAATTTTTTTTTAAAAATGTGAATACTTAAGGTTAGTTCAAGTAAATTTCTGAAATCAATCAATATTAATCTTCTGCAGACAAATTTCAAGCTCATAATATAATCTGCAACAAGATAAACCTGATAAAATTTTAACAGCAATTTTTATATCACATTTAACTTGGGGAAAAAAACTATCAGTCTCTGTAGTACATTCTCATGCATATCATAGAAGATCGTGCATGAAATATAAACACTACAACACCCCCAGCCTTTCCTTGTCTTGGTTTTAGTAACTCGTGTAGAAAAAAAACAAAACATGATCAAAGTTTGGTCCTCTGAATTTCAGGTTCATCAACATCATAATGACTGGTGCATGGAAAACAACACATACAACATCCTGTGTCAATATTTTTAACTTTGTCTTGGTCTTCTTGCATGCGAGCAAAGTAAATAAAAACTTGTTCCAGTGAGGTCTGACTGACCAGGTAATCTTCTATGCCAAGTCTTTCTCTGGCCCTCTCCATCTCCCCAAACATTTGAGACCAGGTGAGCTGGGTGTCAGTGATGTGGTAGTTGATCATGTTCTCATGAATGTCTGTCAGTTTACTTCTAGGAAAGGTGCTGTTTATAAACTCCATCAGTGGGGCCATGTTGGGTGGGCCCCCATCTGGAGGGTAGGCCACTTTGGCAGTAAATGTGTAGCCTTCCCCAAATTTGTTCTTCAGGTGTTGTATGCTGCCCAGACATTTGAACTGCCCATTTACCATGATGGCTAATCGTGTGCATAGGGCTTCACATTCTTCCATGCTGGAAGAATTGATAAAGCAAAGTTAACACTAGTGAAATCGAGTCAATTAGTAGGGAAATAAAGAAAAATTGATTCGTCTCTTTTAGAATTGTGCACAATTCGAAAACAGATTATTTTTCTTTAAGACATTAGTGGTTGTTAAAAAAATTAAAGTTATTTTCTTTGTAAATTAGTGTTTAAACTAAAAGATAACAAAGTATACATTTACTTTAATTGAAAAATGAATAACATATTTTTTACAAAGAAAAAACCAATGTACCTGTGTGAGGTGAGGACTAAAGTTCTCCCGCTGTCTCGAACATCAGACAAAACTTCCCACAACATTCTCCTGGCAACAGGATCCATCCCAGTGGTTGGCTCATCAAGGAAAACAACATCTGGGTCTCCTATCAAAGCTATGGCTGTGCTCAGCTTTCTTTTGTTGCCACCACTGTAACATCATACAATGGTTGATTCATTACAATGGCAAGTAAAGTCATGCAAGAAACCAGATAAAAGTAAACACTACATGTTGAATGAACAAGTACCTGTAGGTGTCACACTGCTTGTCTGCATATTGGGTCAGTGTCATTGCATTCATCAGACTGCTGACAGCTTCAGGTATATCTTGTTCTTTAATCCCACGCAGACGTGCAAATAAGGTCAAAATTTCCTTGCCTGTCAGCTGACCAATCAATGCGTCAAACTGAGGGCAATAGCCTAAGCGCTTGCGAGCCTGGGTATAAAATATTCATCATTACTACACAGATTTCAAGTGACAACGACAAGGAAAATATATAACTAAATAATCAATATATACATGCTCTGTGTATTAAAATCAAAAGAAAGAAACATAATCTTACCAATTCCCTTTGTGTTTTAAGACTATAAGTGTCTAAGAAAGCTTCCCCACTACTAATTGAAGTGTCTCCTGTTAACATCATAAAGGTACTAGATTTTCCTGCTCCATTAATTCCTAGAAGACCAAAGCACTCCCCAGCTGGTATTCCTACACTCAGATGATCCACTGCCCGGAAGTCATCATAATACTTTGTTAGGTTTTTTAGCACAAGTTTCTCAGAGCTGTAAACAAAAACACATACTTTTGATCAGTTGAAATATTTTGCTTATCGAACTAAGAATTTTTTTATTCAAGAAATTCATTAAACCCTGTAAGGTCATAAAATATAATTTTATAGTTGTAAAATGTATTTTAATGACATTTTTTAAAAACTTATCTATTACTTACTGGTACAGCATGAAGACTGCACCACAATAAACAGATTACAATAAACCCAACTCACCTGATAAGAGTAGATTGGGGAGTGCTGTCAATTCTTTCTCTTTCTTTAGCCACATCTTCATCTTCTTGTATAACACTGTCTCTGCTCATTTGTGAGGTGTAGTTCTTTGATGACACATTGATAGCTTTTTGACTTTGAAACATCATGTACTGAAGCTAAAAAAATAACACTTTTTAAAATTGAGTGAAAAAAGTACAACTAAAAAAAATTCTCTAATTTAAACCCTATAGCTACTAGCAGATGTTGAAGAATGTATTTATTTTACCTTCTGTAAGATTCCATACTCTGAGAGAAAGATTAAAGTCCACATGACACAGCCTTGGATAACAAGAAAAACCAACATTCGACCAACGCCACTTTTTTCCCAACCAAAATAGTTTTGGTTGTAATGAAAACAAGGAATACCACAGTCTCCTGTAAATTTGAATTGAAAAAAATGTACTGGCAATAGTTGTTGTAAAGATAATTTAATAATAAGGAAGAATAAAAATGTTTAGTTTAAATAATTACATTTTAAATGAACAATACAGGTTTTTTTAATTTTAACATTTAACTTAATTTTCTTAAATAGCAACACAAAAAGATAAAAGCACTTAGCTTATTGTGACACATTTTTTTTAGTTAACATTTATGATTTCTAATCCTTTAAAGTTTAAAAAAAATGAGATTTGTTGTTATAAATCTTACCATGACTGCACCCCATATTAGCATAGATCTGCTGACATAGGTCTCGAAACTGGTAGTTTTGATAAAATTGCAACATTCCTTGAGATAAACAAAAGTTTGGGAATACAGCCAAGAAAATCCACTCTAGAACTATTGACACATCTTCCAAGTCTATTTGAGGAATGCTTAAAATAGCAACAACAAGTAGGGTGGCCACACCTGAAACAAACACATAAACCATGCATGTATTGAACAAATAGTGTACAGTAAGATCTATATTATATTGGGATCTAAATTATATATATTATAATTATATATATACTATAGTTTTATTTTGCACTACACCTTTTTGATCATAAAAATGGGTGTTAAGTGATATTTTTACCCATATCATGTTGTTTTCAATAAGCATAATTCACTTAGCTTTAGAGTATTATTGTTGAAATTTATCTTACAAGATAGAACCATTAATTTTTAAGTAAAAAAAAAATAAGTGTAAAATTTAAAAAATGATGGTAGACAGAAATAAAACTTACCAGTGAGAATATTGAACACGGTAATCCATACATAAGCTGTAGCTGGTACAGTAAAGGCAAATGAAAAGAAATACATGAACGGCAACATCGCCCAGCCATATAGCAGGAAAATTAATATCAACTGAAGCCAATGCAGATCTTCAGTAAAGTTTTTTACAGAAAAGGCAAAGTAAGATGCAATGATTAACAGGCAAGGGATGAAGTAGTTGATGAGGTCCCAGCAGAAGGTTGACACCCAAAAGTTGACTGGGTGAACACCACTGACAAACTGAATGTGCTTGGCCTTCACTGTGCTTTCTCTCACAAGGAACACAACAAAGCTGCTGGCTAAGAAAGCCATGCCAAAACTCAAGTTGAAACTAAGTGTGAATCCTGTAAAGTCTTTTCCACTGGCTTCATCATTAGCCTGTTATAAAGCAAGAAATTTTTGCTCAAAGGGTTGATTTAAAAATGCTTTAACTCATATCAGTGAAATCAAATGGTTTTATTTTAAAATTCTGCTAATAAAATTATTAAAAACAGGTAGATCTAGTGTTAATATTTCATAATAAATATTTTAACAGCTGTTTCGAATTTTCTAAACATTTACTAGCATTGCCCATAGAGTTGATAAAAAAAACCCCAGTGCCATTATAAATATATCGACATGTTTTTCAGTGTTATAAATTGTTTTTGAAAACGGTTTCTATGTACTGAAGTTAGAACGAAAGATATTTTAGATTATAAATTGATTGTTATTTACCTTATTAACAGCTAGTCTAGGCAAAGGGTGATTGGCAGTCTCAATGTTGTAATCAGAACTGTTGGTAAAATATTTGACAAGGCCATTAAACATGGTTGCCAGAGAGATAGCAATGCTGTGGTACCCTTGGTTGTTGAAATAAGATGTCACGGATGAGTGGTTGAACTCCCAGGCAAGCATGTACCTCAGGTTGTATGTTCCTATCCCTTCCTTCCCTTTCTGTAATAGGTAGTCTTTAACATCAGAATTATTTTGAAAACCAGGTTCTTTAGAAATATCCACTGGTATGGAAGGGGATTTTGGCATAAACTGGTGGGCAAATGTTTGAGCCATGTCCTCATCAAACAAATCTGTGCTGTAAGGAATATAGTTTTTCCCAAAGTCCTCTGGGACAAGGCGCAGAAGAGGCATGTCTATGAAGGATGGGAGAGTTTTAAGCACTGTTAAGCCCATGACAGTGAAGAAGAGAGGAATCACAAGCTGGCTGATGGTGACGAGTTTGTTGCGAAATGTGTGGATGGCACGTTTCATGAACATTGCCACAAACTGCTGCAAAAACAACTTCATGCCCGTGTTTTTTTCCAGCCTGTGACTTAAATCTGAAATATAGTTGGCTTTGATTAAAATATTTTAAAAGAATTTACAGGACAAAGCATTTATTCTATGAGGGGGGGGGGGGGGTTAGGACGATAGAATATTGTGATAGATTGGCAAACACTGACGAGGAGCCACATCGGTTGTTAACAGTCTTTATTTACAGCCATGAAGGGAAGAGGAAGAGGAAGTACGATACACAAGGGACATCACTCAAGATAACAATATAAATATAATACTAATACAGAAGAGTGAGTTCCCTTGACCTCACAATTATCTCAATCTATTACATCCCTTTACCCTTAGAACACAATAACACATCTCTCAATAGAACAATTGATAGTATCCTAAAATCACCAATTATATTGTAACATGAACACTATGGTAGATTACATCCTTACAAACAATGCACAATATGCTACAACATAATCAAGATACAAAACAATGATGTCAAAGTCCTTTTGACCTTTAAAATCATAGGTCTAACTTATTTGGGACTTTGATTGTCCTGCTTGACCTTCTCAGTGGTTTTTGATTTGGTGACTCAAGATTCTGACCATCTGGATTCTCTATCTCAGGAGGTCTAGGATTTAAATCATTAACTCCAGAATTTACATTTTCTGACTCCAGACAACTTGGTTCACTCATATCAACAGAACTTGGTTGTGGAACAAACTGAGTTGGTGTGAACTGATCAGACTTGGTGGGATTGATAGATTCACACTTATTATCTGCACAAGTTATTTTTAACTGGTCTGCATGTCTACGGACAATAAGTCCATCATTTGTTTTTACTTTATAAGACACAGGTCCTGTACATTGAACAATTTGACCTGGTATCCATTTTTCCTTTCTCCCATAATTTCTTAGATACACATTCTCATTAACACCAAATTCTCTTTCAATGGATGATTTGTCATGATTTACTTTTTGTGTATGTTGATGTTGGGAAACAGACCTTTGAACAGTTGGATGTAGTAGGTCAAGATGAGTTTTAATTTTCCTACCACATAGCAATTCGCATGGTGCAACATCTGTTGTTATATGAGGAGTTGTGCGGTATTTGGCTAATAACCTGTTTACTCTTTCATTGTCACATTTAGCTTCTTCTGTTTGGTATTTACTTTTGATGTTACCCTTTTAGTTTCTGTAAGTGCTAATGATGTTAGCAAGGTTGTTTGATGATCACATTCCTTCTTACTAATGTATTTGAAATAGCCATATCACCATAATCATTTATTAAGTTACAAATACTTTGTTTAGGCAACTCTGACTGATAATGGACTGCATCTTCTCCATCTTTTATATTATCTTCACAAAGGTTTTTATTTCTTATTTTATATGGCCTTAAGTCATCATTCACAGACTCTTCAGGCCAACCATTCTTACAGTACTCATATACTTTTATTAAGCACTCATCTTTTTGTGTTTCTCTTTTAATATCATTCACATTTATATTTGAGTTATCCATGATAGTGAAGAGAACAAATACATCTTCTGGTATATAGCTAAGGCTTTGGTTTTTTAAAGGTAATCTACTAAGACTATCTGCACTATTCTCAGATCCAGGTTTGTATTTCAATTCATAATTGTATGCAGTTAGTGTGATAGCCCATCTTTGAATTCTTGGTGAGGCATGCTCAGGTAGGGTTTTGTTTTCTCCAAATAAACCTAGCAATGGTTTATGATCTGTAAAGATGGTGAACTTCCTACCAAACAGAAACTTATGAAATTTCTTAACACCAAAAATGATGCCTAAGCCTTCCCTATCTAACTGAGAATAATTTTTCTCAGCCTGGTTCAAAGATCTACTGGCAAAAGCAATGGGTCTGTCACCCTTCTCATCCATGTGGGACAAGACTGCTCCTACACCATCTGGTGAAGCATCACATGTTAATATAAGTCTTTTCCCTGGGTCATAGTGAGTTAGTAAGGTGTCAGCAGACAAAGCCTCTTTTGCTGTATTAAAAGCAGCTTCTTGTTGTTTACCCCAGTGCCAAGTTGCATTTTTCTGTAGCAGCTTGTACAGTGGTGATAGTTTACCAGACAGATTTCCTATGAACTTTGCATAGTAATTTATCAAGCCCAAAAAAGCTCTTAGTTGTTGGGTATTTTCAGGTTTGAGTGCTTCTTTAATGGCTTTTGTTTTCTCAGGTTGAGGTCTGATACCTTGCTTGCTCAATATATAACCAAGAAAACTAATTTCTGTCAACATGAATTGACATTTATCTTTGTTTATCTTTAAACCTTTTTCACCAACAATTTTCAATACTTTATCAAGTGTTTTAAGATGTTCAGTGTCATTCTTACCAGTTATGTACACATTGTCAAAGTACACACAAACATTTGGAATGTCCTTAAAAATACTGTCCATGACAGCTTGGAAAATTCCAGGGCTAGATGATATGCCAAAACATAGTCTTTCATATTGGTAGAGTCCTTTATGTGTGTTTATTGTCGTATAGACTTTTGAATCTGGATGCAGTTCTAGTTGAGTGTAAGCATGACTAAAGTCTAATTCAGTGAATTTGTCTCCTCCTGCCAAATTCAAAGAAATTTCCTCAATGTTAGGTATAGGGTACCTATTTAGCTCTATTTGCTTATTCAGTGTAGTTTTATAATCTCCACAAATTCTTATAGAACCATCCTTCTTTAACACTGGCACAATGGGCGACGCCCAATCGGAATAGTCTACCTTCTTTATGATGCCATTAGATTCCAATCTACTTAGCTCATTTTCAATTTTATTCCTCATTGCATAAGGTGGAACTCTAGCTTTGCAGCAGCTTGGATTTGTGTCTTTAATGCTTAACTTCACTGTTCTATCATTTAGTAAACCTGAATTGCCAAAAACACTTTTATTTTCAGATATTACTTTATCTAGTGAAGTAAGACTAGATTCTTTTCCATTGTTCAATGAACAAATACTCTCCCAATTTAACTTAAGATTACTTAACCAGTTCCTACCTAGTAATGGTGGTCCATTTCCTTCAACCACAAGAAGAGGAAGTTTAACACTTTGACCATTATGACTTACATGAACCATACACTCTCCTATTACCGGAACATTGTCACCAGTGTATGTTGTTAGACACTTGTGACATGGCTGTAGAGGCACTGATCCTCCTGTGACAGCGTCAAAATCTTTCTTTGTTATGACTGTTAGAGATGCTCCAGTGTCAAGTTGGAAGCTGATGCTCTTACCGTTGATATTAACTAGTACATTGATGGGAGCGTGACTTATTGATTTCACAGAGAACAGGTTGAAATCCGGCTGCGAATCAGTTTGAGAATTTTCACTGGTAGAGTGGTTCATTGGTTGGGTTAGGTAGTCTTGGTGAGAGTTAACATAGTGCTGCTTTTGGTTGCGGTACTGTCTTGACTGGCTAGATTTAGCAACAGACGAAGACTTTGCAAAGCAGGCCTTGGCAATGTGACCTTGCTTACTGCACTTATAACAAGTTGCAGACTTGAACTTGCACCGATGAGATGCATGGGGACCTTTGCATCGATGACATTTTTGATAATTATTACTAGATTTAGATCTAGGATTTGAACGAGCAGGCTGTTTAGCATAAGTTGGAATGCTCTGTTGGGGTTGATGTTTGTTGACTAACCTGCTGTTTACTGCATGGATCCCTGAAGGCGTTAGAGATTTCGCCGCATCTGATGACTGCTGGATTGAAGTTGCGAGTTGTATTGCTTTTTCTAATGTTAGATCTGACTCGAGCAGCAACTTTCTTTGAATATCAGGGCTGTTTACACCTGTCAGAAACTTTTCACATAGTCTGTCAGACAGCGTGTCTCCAAATTCACAGAATCTACTTAAATGACGTAAAGCAGCAACATATTCTGATATTGACTCGTTTGGTTGACGAGTCCTACTGTCAAATCTAGCTCGACATAGAAACTTTGATGGGGTAGGCGCATGGTGGTCTGTTAGCAATTTGCTCAGCTCGTTAAAGCTCTTGGTATCTGGACTAGCTGGTGCGCATAAGTCCTTTAGTAGCCTAAATTGTTGAGGCCCTATGACTGTTAACAAAACAGCTCTCTTTTTGGCTTCTATCGTCACGTCGTTAGCTTCAAGGTAAAAGCTTAACCTATCTAGGTAATCTTGAATGATTTCATCATTCGAATCAAATTCTTTTATTTGGCCATACAGCGCCATTATTCTAGAAATACTTAGCTAATAAGCTCTAGCAAACCTCTTTTTGCGTAATTAGGTGCTCTTTCTAGTGGATTATTTATCCTTCGTCGCCAATGTGATAGATTGGCAAACACTGACGAGGAGCCACATCGGTTGTTAACAGTCTTTATTTACAGCCATGAAGGGAAGAGGAAGAGGAAGTACGATACACAAGGGACATCACTCAAGATAACAATATAAATATAATACTAATACAGAAGAGTGAGTTCCCTTGACCTCACAATTATCTCAATCTATTACAAATATATAAATTGGAAACACATTACTTCAATCCAGCTTTCACAAATCTGCCACCAAACAATGTGACTGAAAAAGTTTGATGCTTTGGGGTCATTGTTTAACCAAAGAGTGGTGAGATACAATTGTTCTTGGTGTTTTCTTGAATAACTGGGTCTTGTTAACCTTGCTTTATTGTGTGCTAGTTTATTCTACAACTGAAGCCTCACTTTAAAAAAATATGTATTGTTTATTCAATGAAGTAAAGATTCTAAAATAAAAAGCAGTCTAAATATTATTTCTCTCCACTTTGTACCTTGTAAAACTAAAATGTATAAAAAATCTTTATCAAGCTCTTAACTACATTAAAAACAGGAAAATAAAACAAACAATTCTTTCTTTAGATGTATAGAAAAAGCAATACTCACTACAATGTGTTAAATAGACTTATATTAACTTATATTGGAAATTCAATTGTCTTCATAATTTGAAATAAATTGCTTGATTAGAAAAAAAGGGCAAAACTTTGGGACTGGATTAAACCACAAAGACAGATGGATCTAATTGTAAACTAAGAAAAAGTTTGTAAAATAAACTTACTTAGAGCCTGAGATGAAGAGAAATTACTTCGTGACAGATCTACCATGGCATTGTCTGGCTCTCTCTCAGTTCTCTCATTTATGATGTGTTTAATGTTAACATAATTGCTGAGTGCTTTGTTCCTGTTAGTCATATTAATCCCATTACTTTTGGCTGAGCTTTCATTTGTTCTGTCCTTGACCAAGAGCTCAGATTTACCATTTTTATTGAATGCCTTGTTCATGATTGTTGTGTGAGTTCCATTAATTGTGGCTGAGCTTTCCCTAGTTGTTAGAATAGCCTTTCTGTTATCATGAATCTGTGCTAGTCTTTCTTTACCATTGTTATCATCAGACTCTCCTACTCTATAGAAATAATTGTAATAAGTTATAAGACAGCAATTTAATACTGGCTAAAAATAGATATGGGATTATCTTATGCATTAACCATTTGATGTTCAACAATGCTTTTTTTTCTGTCTACAATTTTTTTTCTATATTTCTATAAAGTACAAATCAAATATATAAAAGACTGATTGGCCATACTAAAAGTAATAATTGGAATTCTAAGCTTTTACTGAAAAGAAAATGTTTTGTGGTGTCAGTAATTAACTTAAAGGAGAAAGAAAGTAACTCACTTTAAAAAGACCTCTTCCATTGTGGTGACTGAGGCACCAAAGCTGCTGATGCCCAGCTCCCTCTGTCTCTGTTCTAAATTTGAAAAAAGTGCCTCAAAGTTTTCCACGCAGTTTTGGGGGAGTATAAAGCTGAGCTCTGCTCCTACGTTGCTCTCTAACTCAGCTGTGGGGATGTGCTGCTTGACCACACATACAACATTGTTCACATCACAGGTGGGTTCCTTGACAACTACCATATGGTAGCCAGCTCCTGGTAAGGTAAACATCACATTCAAATTTTTAACTAAACATTGGTTATTTTGTATAATAGCAAATAAAAATATGCTAAATTGATGTTTAGACACTTAAGTTATAGGAAAGAAACAAAACTATGAAACCACATGAAGTAAACAGTTAATCAGAAAATGAAGACAATTATATTTTACAAAAAATCTTTCAACTTCTTTTTCTAGTTAAAATATGGTTTACTTTTAAAATCTGATGTTATTTTTTTAAAAATAATACTAGAGAGTTATTTCAAATTTAACCTAAATAAAAAAAAATATAGAAAACATTTACAGCAACAAACTTTTAAATGCACTGAAAATAAGAAAATAAAACTAATTTGATAGTAATTTGCTTTCTTCAATAAAAACTTTTGGTGCTAAAACAAGTCAAAGATCTCATGAGCTACCAAAGCTTTTATCAAAGAAAGCAAATTAGTTTTATTTTCTAATTTTCAGGGCATTTAAAAACTTGTTGCTATGAAGGTTTTTATATTTGTTTTCTTTTCCACTTTTTAGTGATTCCTACTTTATGAAGTCGGCATGACTAAAAATATTTGCTTTAAAACACCATCAGTAGCTCGTGATATCTGAAAGATGATTATCTGCCCCGTTAAAGCAGCCTTCCATGACTATATTTTACAGTAGACAGTCAGTTCTTAGTCTTGTTACCTCCACTCGGTTTCATATTTATTTTAAAATTTATTATCTGCCCCTAATAGCTTTCAATAGTTCAAACAGCTTGTCAACATTCCAGTGAACCACAGCTGACCAGATTATTAGGGTGGTCGCTTCTGTTATTGAATATAGTAATCTCACAAACAAATAAATGTTAACTAAATAAAAGCTTGTAAAAATAGATCAATTTAAGAAATAAAACCAGAAGCAACAATACAAATAATTATCATTAAAAAAAAATTAAAAACCCACGTTTTCTGATTGAACTAAAAAGTTTTTTGTTCATTCAATAGGAGGCCAGAAGAGGGAAAGTACCGAACCTTGTTTTTATCAAATTACAATTACTAGGTTATGTCCCTTTTTTGTACAAATCAATAGGAGTCTAAAATGATCAATACAATTTTTCCATGAATCAATTTAGTAATAATAATAATTGAATATTGTATTGTCATCGGAAACAAAGCTTCCCTGAAAATTTCAGCGCGCTAGCTAACTGGGAAGTGCCTGAAATTTTGATCGCAAGATTTGATGGAAAGACAAACATACGCGAAAGCAAGTTAAAGAAAACATGGGAAAAATGTCAACAACAAAACCCTAAATAACCCACCATATTTCTTTTTCAAGAAAAGAGAACTCCCACAGCACTTGACAACCCCATCTGCCATGATGGCAATCCTCTCACCAAGCAAATCAGCTTCATCCATGAAGTGAGTACTAAGTACCATAGTCCTTCCAGCTCGATTTTTTTGTAACACTGTCCATATGTTGCGCCTAGCATTAGGGTCAAGGCCAGAAGAAGGTTCATCCAAAAATACTACCTGATAAAATAATATGAGAAAATGTTTGGTTTGAAAAAAATGTTTGATCAACAGTTCTGTAGAATGTTATTGCAACAATGTTAACAGATTCAACCATACTTTAACAGCAGCATAAATTATGATAAATTGCTGATGAATAAGGAAGTACTGTTGAAATAAGTAAAAGTTAGAAAGCAAGTTTTGAAGCTACCTTTGAGTTTCCAATGAGTGCAATACAAACAGAAAGTTTCCTCTTCATCCCACCAGACAAGGTTTTTGACATGGCCTTAAGTTTGGGGTAAAGTTCCATGTCTTTCAACATTTCTGAACACTGTGGCATTATCTGGTTCCTGGGCACACCTTTAAGCTGATATAAAAAGCAAACATTTGTATGTAATAGGCTCTTGTTTGTTTGTTACTGTTTACATTGTATTTTTAATATGACAGTGGATAACTCTTCTACTAAAACGTTAAGTTTTGTCCAGACATACCAAACCAAAGAAAATCATATGCTCCTCCACTGTGAGGTTATCAAACAAAATGTCATGTTGGGGACAAAGGCCAAGGCTGCTGCGGACCTCACTAATCTCCCGACGGATATCAAATCCATTAATGAGAGCAGTGCCACTGGTTGGTGGGTAGAAACCTGGAGTTAAAAATATACACATCTTAACAAGTATAAATGTTTCAAACATGTTTAACACAAAATTTATTTAAGGGTAAAAATTGTGTTTCCAATTAAATAAAGGAATAAAATATCAGAATACTTTCAAATGCCAAATATCATTAGAAATTCAAATAAATTTATGTTATTCAACTGTTTGACAACTTAATTAATCAAACTTACCTGTCAGCATAGACATTGTAGTAGTTTTGCCAGCACCATTGTGACCCAGTAATGCAGTTATCTGCCCTTCATACATATTTAATGTCATCCCAGCGACAGCAACTTTTTTCTTCTTACCACTGCCATACACCTAAAACACAACTTAAACATTATTTTACTATTTTACTAATGGGACAGTGTGTGAGTTAAAAAAAAAACCACAAGAACACAGCAACCTTAAAAAAAAACTTTAAAAAAATATTGAGTATAAATCTTTAAATTGAGTTTATATATATATATATATATATATATATATATATATATATATATATATATATATATATATATATATATATATATAAAGAGAGAGAGAGAGAGTATATAGACCCTATATTTTCAATTTTTAAACTTCTAAATTTACCTTGCATAGATTTCTGATTTTAATTCCAGCCTTCTGATTTGGTTCTTTCTCAAACATGGATGGATCCTGCCCTATACTGACAGTATCATCAAGCTCAATATAATCTTGGGATGATGGACAACATCCCCAATATCTTCTCTGTTATAAATTTAAATAATTTTTCATTGAACAATTATTTAAATATAACAGCTAGAGCAGTTTCAAAACCATAGAACTACTAAATTTTATTTTTAGCATTATGCACATGGGTATTATTTTCTTTAAGAAAATTTTAAAAAATTACAGAACAACAAATAAGAAAAGTATTTCAATCATTGATGGGAGAGACAATTATCAGGCAAATAGTAATATGAAAGCTGGAAGATCCCATGGCTCCTCCTAGCAATGGCACTTGTCAGAACACAGGGAAACCAACTTTCTTCTTAGTGGAGAGGACTGGGTACATTTCCAAATTCATCATTCTATTATTTCTTTTCAGATGTAGAAATAGTGATGAGTCTTTACCAAGAAATTTTAGTGAGTTTCCCACACCTGAGCGAATCTGGGCAGGAATTTGAAGCAGGACACTTTAACAACTTCTGGTCCATTTGCAAGTAACCACAAAGCTATGGTCTATAGAGTTCTGGCCATTGATATGAACAAGTCCAAGATATGATGATGTGGAGCACTTGACTAGTAGAAGACTAGTGCCATCGCTGAAAAAATATCCACACTGTCCATTTGGACCATGTTAGAGAGGCATCTTTGTGGTCTGAACCACCCAGTGATATACCCAGAGGGTCAAAGGTCTAATAGGGGACAGCTTGTGGATGCCCGCCAAATTCTCTCTTGTAGTGGCACTTGGCCAAGTAAAATCTTTACCAGGTAAAGATCTCAATAGAGAGAATGAGTCATATGAAGGATTTTTTTGACAAGCTAACATTCTGTAGGTGGACTATGGGATTCCTACTGACTTGAGCTCATGAGTACATAAGACACAAAGTCATTTATTAAACATATCAAAGACAGGTTGTCTTATGAAAAAGGCAAGACCCCTGTACCAAGTCATGCTCACACATAATTTAGTGGTAAACAATGATAAGAAAACCTACCGAAATTGGGAAATACCAAGGTTGTGGGACACCATAGTCCCCAGGGAAAACAGCTTCAATGTACCAGGCAATCAGACAGTGAATGACTGAGTCTACAATCAACATGATGAGCACAAACATCATTGAGAAGTCATCATCCACAGACACACCAGAGTTAAGTGTTGACAACTGAATCCCTGAGCCTGCAAGTGTTACAGTTAATATGTGGATTAAAACACAGCTATATCAAGTTAGCAAGTTATCTAATGGCAGTATTTTAAAACATTAATTTAATAATATTAATAGCCTATATGATAATCAAGCTTAAAACTGCAAGACAAGCCTACAAAAGTTGCCTTACACCTCTACAATCCCACTACTTATAATACCCCCCCCCCCCACTCTATCTAATGACATGAATCTTGACTCACCCACTCCCTCAAACATGCCCAGCAATGTACCACCATATGCCACAGCTACCCCCCCCCCATCTAATGACATGAATCTTGACTCACCCGCCCCTCAAACATGCCCAGCAATGTACCACCATATGCCACAGCTCCCCCCCCCCCCCATCTAATGACATGAATCTTGACTCACCCGCCCCTCAAACATGCCCAGCAATGTACCACCATATGCCACAGCTACCCCCCCCCCCCCCACACTAATGACATGAATCTTGACTCACCCACTCCCTCAAACATGCCCAGCAATGTACCACCATATGCCATGGCCACCTGAAAGTCCAGACAGGAAACCAGCTTGGCAACAAAACTTAGAGTTGTGTATCTTTGTTGCAAGAAAAAATATGGGATATACATGCAAAAATACATGATCCCTGCTATGGCTGCTCCAGTGTTGGCTGAAATAGAGTACATTTAATCACCCTAATCAAAACAATGCTACACCAAAACTTTGTAAGAAACTTTAACTTGGTAAATGAAACAAGACTACCCATTATCCTTTATATGTAAGCCCTGCTAGGGGGGATACCTAAAATCTACCCTTCTAGGCTTAACTAACTAATCTGTCCGGTCAGTGCAACCGTGGTAGAACCCACAGTGGTTAAACCCTAACCTTAGTCTAAATAATAAGCTACTAAATAAAACAAAAACTTTTAACAATCTAATAAAATTTATTGCATGGAACCAAAAGTTAAAAAAAAGAATAGATTAAAAACTACCACAAAACAGAACCAAACGAAACAAACTTTTTACATCAAACAAAACACCCAATTTCGGACTACGTCCAGGACTATGACGAACACAAACACAAAATAAATATGGCTGGATGGTGCGAATTTGCTATTCTTTTCACTCGGATGACCAGAGAGACTGCCTGCTCTCTTCACCGCGGCTTTCCACACAAAAGACAGAGTTGAACAAACCGGAAACCGACTTCCACACACCTCACACACTACACGTAAACAAATAGTCCCTAATTCACGGATAACAAGCCAAACACGACGAAACATGCAACAGAATATTATAAAAAGACACTTAATATAAACAATGACAACAATATAAACGAAATATATATAAACTAGCTATAACCAGGGACATAAACAGTGAGACAGCGGCGCCATAATACGGGACTACACAACTAAAAACGACGAACCATTTACGACATGAAACGAAACGATACATTCGCCTTCTAAGTTACAAATAATAAAAATACACTCCAGCCGCTCACATACACGCCCCTTAAAGCTTGCGGTCACCGCAAGCTAACAAACTTGAAAAAAACAGCCCACAGGGCATAATCAAAAATGTAACAAAAAAAACAAAACTTTGCAGGAAGAACTTGCAAAAAAATCAGCCCACCGGGCACAATCATAAATTTTACAAAAAAAACAATTTTTGCCAGAAAATCAGCCCACAGGGCATAATCATATATGTAACAAAAAACAAAAAAACTTTGCAAAAGAACTTGCAAAAAAATCAGCCCACAGGGCACAATCATAAATTTTACAAAAAAACATTGTCAAAAAAATCAGCCCACAGGGCACAATCACAAGTCTAGCCTACTAGGGACTCTGCGCTCCCTGACCGACCTACGCAGAGGTATGTCAGGTACTGTGGGGTTACCGGCTGCTCTGGTCCCCGGCAATTGGACCTTATAAATTATGTGGCTGTAGCCTGGAGTAGCCGGCGGTATCACTTTGACCGGCCTTGGGGAGGGTGGTTGAGCCCTGGGAGGCACATATCTGGTAATCTGGGTGCTTGCCACCCGGCGGGTGCCAGAAGGGCCATCTTTCTTTTTAATGGCGTAACACCCGCCGGTGATCGGAGGTACTTCGACCACGACATAAACTGTCGGGTCGTCCAGGTCTGCCATTTTGCTTCTGCCTAGTGGGGGTTGTCTCAGAAGGACCAGATCGCCTATGGCCAGATCAGCTACATGTGCCTTTTTGACCTGCTTGTCCTTCTTGCTTAACTCTGTCTGGGGGCATTCCCCAGCACCACCACCCGGTGCCTTAATTAAGGATGGGTTAGGTGGAACCATTGCCTCTAGTTCCTCAGATTGGTCCACCTTTACACTGATTATGCTGGCGCGTAGACAGGATGTTGGGCCTGATACCACTGACGGATCTGGGTGAAAAGGTTGGTCTAATGGCTGTACCACCTTTTCGTCCTTCATTCTGTGGTCTCCTTTCGTCGCCTGAATGGTTGGTACACTCTTGGTAGGCACCAGAGTCCTTTCGTGGGGGCGGAGGACCTTGTCCCCTCGCCATACCTTCGGTGTCACCCCTGGAGGCTTGATCAGGTGGGCCAATGTGGTCAGGTCCTGGAGAACGTTCATGCCCAACAAGCAGGGTGGAGCTGAGCCACCCACTGGATCCTTTATCACAAGGAACCCCTTGTCGCGTATTTCTTCCTTATTGACCTCCAGGTCAGTAATAAAATAGCCATTGTATGGGATGGCCAACCCATTTGCTGCCCTCAGGGACAAGGGTGTGTCTGTTCTTAAGATAATGTTCTTGAGGCTACTGTAAAAAAATGTTTCAGTGACCGTGCTGACTTGCGAACCACTGTCTATAACGGCCGTCACCGGTACACCTTGTAAATAAACAGTCAGGGTGGGGCACTGTCCAGCCAGCTTGTGAATGGTGGAGCTTGGGCTCTGCCCACCAGCAGTAGTAAGACTCTGAATCACTGCGACCTCCTGCTTCTTTGAGTTTTGACAATGGCGGGCGAGGTGGCCTTGCTGGTTACAGTTGTAACACATTCTTGTTTCCGCCTCTGGACGTCGGCGAGGTACCCTTCGGCTAGATGCAACATGAGGGTTCTGTGCCAAACGAGTCAACAGAGCCGATAGCTGCTCTGCGAGCTTGTCCACCCTGTCTTCCAGCTTGGACCTGGGCAGGGTGGGTTCTTCCTTGGGGCGGGCATGTAGAGCTGCCACATAGGCAGGTTCTGTACCTGGGTCCTCGTCTCCAGACCATCGAATGGCCGCATCCCGTATGGCCAGGAAGGGGATCTTAGGGTCCCTGAAAACTAGTTCTTGCAACTGGCGTCTGACTGAGGACTGGCTCAGCTTTTCCATAAACTGGTCCCTTAGGAACTCAGCATTCGTCTGAGGGACCTGCAGGGTGCCCTGTCTGGCAACAAGGGCCTTGAAGGCCCTGTGCAGGCGGTGCGAGTAGGCCCTCACCGACTCGTGTTGGCCCTGCACAACCATTTGGAGTTGCGCCATTAGCTGGGAGACGCTCCTCTTCTCCCCATAGACTTCTCGGAGGAGCCTGATGGAGGCCTCTGGGTCACGTTGCAGGTCATCTCCCCTGCAGCTCAGTTCTTCTCTCACAGCTTCCCCCAGGTACTGCCAGAGAAGGTCCTTCCTCTCTTCTACTGAGACGTCTCTTCTGGCCCTCCAGAGAGACTGGACCTCGTCAATGAATCGTTCCACATCATAGCCGTGGCTGTCCCCATGAAACTTCCGGATGAGGATCTCCCTGGGAGGAACGATGATGATGGCTGGTGCCACCTCCGCCATCTCGTCCGAATTGGGTGTTTTAAACAACAAACGGTTCCTACACTAAACAAAAACTAAACACATATGGTTCCATAAAGGGCCTATCAAAAACAAAAAAATTTAACTAAGCTACACTAGCCCTAGTAAAAAACAAAAATTTAACTAGACTAAAGCACTGACCCCACTCGTGCTACCAATTTGTAAGCCCTGCTAGGGGGGGATACCTAAAATCTACCCTTCTAGGCTTAACTAACTAATCTGTCCGGTCAGTGCAACCGTGGTAGAACCCACAGTGGTTAAACCCTAACCTTAGTCTAAATAATAAGCTACTAAATAAAACAAAAACTTTTAACAATCTAATAAAATTTATTGCATGGAACCAAAAGTTAAAAAAAAGAATAGATTAAAAACTACCACAAAACAGAACCAAACGAAACAAACTTTTTACATCAAACAAAACACCCAATTTCGGACTACGTCCAGGACTATGACGAACACAAACACAAAATAAATATGGCTGGATGGTGCGAATTTGCTATTCTTTTCACTCGGATGACCAGAGAGACTGCCTGCTCTCTTCACCGCGGCTTTCCACACAAAAGACAGAGTTGAACAAACCGGAAACCGACTTCCACACACCTCACACACTACACGTAAACAAATAGTCCCTAATTCACGGATAACAAGCCAAACACGACGAAACATGCAACAGAATATTATAAAAAGACACTTAATATAAACAATGACAACAATATAAACGAAATATATATAAACTAGCTATAACCAGGGACATAAACAGTGAGACAGCGGCGCCATAATACGGGACTACACAACTAAAAACGACGAACCATTTACGACATGAAACGAAACGATACATTCGCCTTCTAAGTTACAAATAATAAAAATACACTCCAGCCGCTCACATATATAACTGTGGGTTTTGGGGGTCATCCATAAATTATGTCACATTTGACAGTTTTTATCTTTCCCCTCCCCTCCCCACTGTCACACATCATCACAAAAAGCCAGACCTCACATTTAAAAAGACTTCACATGTCAGATATGTTTTTGTCTTTTAAAAAACACTGACTTTGGTTGAGCATGGGTCTGACCACACTAACCCCTCATATGCTCAGGTCACAGAAACAGTTGAACTCTACTTCACCTGCCCCATCCCTCACCAAGTCCAAAAGGCAACTTTATCATTCACATCTAAAAAGAAGTCACATTTCAGTTTACATGTATTTGTCTTTCTATAAAATTTTCTGAGCTTGAACCTCATTTGAATAATAAATGAATTAAATATTAAAGCTAACACCAAAATAATAATAGTGAATTAGAACCAATCTAGTGGGTTGTAATTTCCACTGTGCATTTTCTATGAGGGAAAATTAAAATTAAAAAAAATTTAACAATGACATGATGTGTTTTGAACCCGTACCACCTACATGGTGACTATTACACAATCATTTCAGCAAGCTAGGCACATTCCATTAAGTAAAAATATTGAGTTATTTTACTTTAGCCAGAGTAAGAAAGTAAAATTATGCGAATGTTATTTTAAATTAAACTATATCCTAATTTAGTCAAATTCATTGCTGAAAAACAAAGGTTTATATAAAATATTTAAGGCCTGAAATAGTTTAGTAAAGAAACTAAATTATTCATTGTGTGTTTATTTTAGACCGGCCTAGAATCTAGTTCTCTACTTGCTCATGGACAGATGAAAAATGGCTTAAGTCTAGTTTATGGGTAGCTCTGGATAGATTCATTGTATTCTTGAATTAGATGATCTATAAAGCTAAAAACAAAGATTTATATCAAATATTTAAGGACTAAAATAGTTTAATAAAGAAACTCAATTATTTATTGTGTTTTTACACTTGTTTTTCTTTTTAACTAATTAATTTTATTAAAACTAAATCTAGTTTATCGGTATAAGTTTTGTTTCATATTGATAAACTCCTATTTGTTTTTAAGTGGCATCACTAAGTTCCCTGTGACAGTTTTTAATTTTTGTGAGAATAAAGTATTTCTACAAATAAATTTATCAATAAATTAATTATAATTTATAAATAAATTTGTGTAAAACATTTTAGGAAAAAAGAACATTATTCTCTACATAGTAAAGATGCTCTCATATAGCAGAACAGACAAACAAACAAATAAATTTTAAAAATTTAATTTAATTTAAAAAAAAAATACAAACTTTTCACTTTATATAGATAGATAACAAATTTGAAAACATTTTCCAAAATAAATCAATAGTACTATTTTATGTTATACTCCAAATATTTTTATATAGATCTAGTTGTCTATGAGAAAAAAGAAAATTAAAAAGCATTTTTAATATTGCGCTTATTTTCTCACAATAGTCTAAAATGTATTCTATAACAAAAATTTTACTACATCTTTTTAACTAAAATAGCATTAGGGTTTATATATAGAAATAAATTATATATTCACCTTTTGCAAAGAAGACGCTGATGGTAAAACAGTATGTGATGGTGGCAACGGCATAGCAGAAAAGATAGATAAAAACAATAAAAGGGTTGGTCTTTGCAATGACAGCTCCTTTCTCATGGTTTAGAACAATACAGTAGAACAAAGTCTTGATTGAGATGCAGATGAGCAGAAACAGGATGTATTTAGTGAACCAAGCAACCCAGTGCAGCCAGTTGTTGATTCCCATCATCTTCATACTCTCCTGCATTTGGAAACATTTTTTGTGTTATGTCATGTATTGGTCTAATTTTTTTTAGTTGCATTCATGTTCCAAGGTTCTATGAAAATGTACAAACTATTTAAGTAAAATAAATGTCTTAATGCAAGAATAACTTTAAGGCCATTTCTCAGAGACATTTCTTTCAAATTTTTTTATATAAATGCATTTCCAGTGACAATGCATGCAAATTTAAAATTGAATTTGTTATTAAATTGGTCACAAATGTTATCAAACTCACATACATATAAAATTTGACATATGGAAGCATAAAGTTTTAAAATGTTTGATCTAAAATCCTAAAAGCTTTCTACAAAGGAAAACAATATAAGGCTAATAAAATTAAACTTAAGTATGTAGAGTAGTCACACCTTTAGTTTCCTTTCCTTCTCTAACACAATGTCCCTTGTAATACTAAGGACAGTCACCACCAAACTCAGCATGATTGCCATAGGGAATTGTTGCTGGAGCACCAGTACATAGTTGTCTTTGACATATGGAGGATATAGTTGACGCTTGAGTTTCAGATTTGTAGATTTGTACTTAACAAAAGCTTTATCAGTCAGGAACTCCTTCATTAGTGAGTCATCTACAGCATGCTGAATGGCCAGAAATCCTTCCATTTCATATCCTGGGATTTAATGAGTGCCATAAAACTAGTAAGTTATGGTGTATATATATATATATATATATATATATATATATATATATATATATATATATATATATATATATATATATATATATATATATATATATATATATATATATATATATATATATATATATTTCTGTAGATTATATAGGCTTTCTGTAGATTGTCAGGTTTCTCACTTATAATAAGCATTCTTGAGAGGGGATAATTACCAAATGGGTCAATTCATCAGGAGGAGGGGGGGGGTATCAAAGAGGTAATTGGGGGGGGGTGATAATGTACTAGACATTTAACATTACTGGGAGAACTGTGTTTTAATAGTCACTTTAGAATGATGGCATGGTTGGGTGGTAGAATACACAACTGGCAACATGAAAGTCCGGAGTTTGAATTTCCCTGATTTCACCCATCTTTAATGAGTGCCTGACTCATGTTAGTAAATGTGGCTGGGCATTGAAGTGACCACACTATCTCTTCACGTGCCCAAGTCACACTCACAGGTGATCTCTACTTCATCTACCCTATTGACCATAAGGTCCAAAAGGGTAATTTTACTTTACTCAACAGACCACATCAAGAGCCCTGCCACCTATGAACAGACGAGCATTAACTGCTTGTATAAGAACTTACCAGGTTGTCCATCACAGCGATCCATGTTTTCTCGAGGCCCAACTATTTGGTACGGTGGAAACTTGAAGTTGGTTGACCATTCTGTATTGCTTTGGAAGCCGAATTTTCTATTCACTTTAGCAAGTCGAGGTGCATAGCTGAGGCGGATCTTGTACACCACATTTTTGTTGGGCACAACTGTGCCATTGACTTGGTTAAACTCACTGGTGAAAACTACTCCACCCAGGTAGATATTAGAGTTGTTGACTGTACTGTTGACTAAAGTGATGAACTTTACCATTTCATCCTCATTTGGAAAAGGAGCTGAAAATTTGGATGAATAAGCAGCATTGTTTGTAGACACTAAAACAATTCCATACACATGCTAATTAACAGGAAGTGGCCATGAAAGAAAATTAGGACAATTTTTTAAACAAGATTCAATATGCATTATGTATGTAGATATAATTTTTCTCAATAAAGCATTCTCATGTACTAATTAATTGCTTGATATTATGCATCGATTAATTTTATCTGTAGGACAGAGTAGCTTTTTCAAAGTCAGATGGCAACATTAAAATTACCAAGGGATCCACTTTCTCCTTGTTCTACACATCATTCAATATTAGATAACATATATTGGGAACCAGGTTATTTGAGAGTAGCCATAGTCTATTACTATACAAATAAACTATCATAAATCAGAAAAAAAATTAAAATTGACCATCAATAAAACTTCTATGGTCTCAACAGGAACCAGCAGTATAAGAGATCAGGATTTTATATTTGAAAAATTATAGTAAAATATTTCATAATAGACACAGTATCACCGTTTGATTTCTTGTCTTTGGAATACTTTAATTTTGAGTTATAAAATGTACAATTTAGACTACTTACCTATAGGTATGCCTAATGTTTTATTTACTCTGTCCATTATCCGATTTGTAGCCTCATTATATGGAGTGTAGGCAAGCGTGAATTTGGTAATATTATTAGGAACAAGCCTGGGATTTAAACTTTGGTAATAGCATGCATCCCAGTTTGTTGGAAAAGGGTGTGGGGTATTTTCCACCCTTAGTCGAACAGTCATCAGAATTATAGAGAACAGGGTAGGTAATCCAACTTCAAACAATGTCACTATTGGTTTTCCTTTTCTGATTAAAAAATTCTTCCATAAGAGAAGCCGAAACTTTAAGAAAGACCTCATGATTTTGTATTGAAATTAAAAGACTCTAAAAATTTAATTGTTGCTTGTGCCAAACTTTAGTTCCATTTAGGCCAAGCCTGAAATTGAAAGAACAGAATTATTAAATATCAGCTTACGGCTTTGTTAAAATATTCACAAAAAAATCAATCGCGCAACATGTTTTTCAATCACTCAAGAATGATAACATCCTAAACAAACCATGTGATCCCATACAGTGACTGGGTGGACTGATGTCATTCACTTATACAACAGGTCATGTGATAAGGTAGCTTTCGTGAACTACTCTTGTTCTCCGATTACTGACAACACAGCAATCCATTGTTTGAGCTGCAAATAAATTTAAAAAGAAATAGATAACAATGTGTTTGTCTTGTGAACAGTGTAAGACAGATAATCTGACTGAAAAGTGGGTCATACTAGCAAATGCAACAGAAGAAATTTTTATTAAGTTACAGAAAGATAACAACTATGACCTAAATAACCTAAATGTTCTTGTGAAATTTCACAGCTAGACACTCAGTAAAATTTTGATATCTTCTTAACTATAGACTTGGATTTGACTATAGTTAACTATACACATAGAATTTGAAATGATATCTAGATTTAGAAAAAAAAAGTTTTGTATTTAAAAAAAATGTAAGATTTAGTGTAGGTCTACATCTTTGCATTATATAAATCTGATTACAAGTTAGTTTTAAAAAATGAAACTGGTGATAAAAAAATCACTTCAAAGTTTAGCCTGTGATGTACAATCATAGAACTGAGCTGATATCCTACTTACTGATATCTCCCACTCCATTGTTTCTATATCTATATTCAGAGATACTTTTTTAATGATTGATTGAAAAGCACAGCTATCTATCTACCTACCTACCTACCTACCTACCTACCTACCTACGTACGTACGTACGTACGTACGTACGTACGTACGTACGTACGTACGTACGTACGTACGTATGTATGTATGTATGTATGTATGTATGTATGTATGTATGTATGTATGTATGTATGTATGTATGTATGTATGTATATAACAGTGCAACAAGGTGGACAGGTTGATATCAAACTGTTTTTAAAACAATATTAAATTACTACTACCAATGAAGTAAATTGTCAACATCTGATGCTACAAAACCACAATACCAATCCATTATTTAGATAAGAAAAAACTTGTACAGAAATAAACAGAGGAACAAAGGCAAATGGCATACCTTGATGAAACAGCAGAAACATTACTTTTCTTTTTCATACAAAATCTATAAAACATATAAATGTAATATTAACAAATTCAATGTGACCTATCCTGAAACAATCAAGGTGTCATTATGCACATGTGGCACTTTGCTATTAATGTAGAGCTGCCTTTTGGTAAGTTATGCTAAAATTAATGATAACTGCAACACATGCATTTCATTTAAAAAGTTTGAACAGCAACAAATCCCTATAAATAAACATTTGACTCAATATTTGCTGGCATAGGTTGTAGCCGTTCTGTAGTGTTAACCTTGAGCCTTTTTGGATGGACCTCAGTATCTTATACTGTAATGGCAGAACTGTAAACCAATGGTCTCAGTTTTACACCTTATGACATGGACCTCAGTATCTTACACTAATGGCAGAACTGTAAACCAATGGTCTCAATCTTACTTAAGCCTTATAGAATGGACTTCATAGCATCTTCCAATGGCAACCTTAGTAAGCCATGTATAGTAGGCCCTAATGTTGGTAATTTGGTATTTCTTATATTATAAAATAATAAACCAAATAAGTGTACTGAAACTCCACTTGCATAAAAACCATGTTACTACACACTATTTAAGAATGCTATGGACTGTCTAGCCTGTTTTATATTTCAATTTTAAAACAATCTGAATTAAGAGTCCAACCATTTTATAAAGTATATGTATTCTCTTACTACCACTTTATCATGGCTTAGATTTGAGGATCAATTTTCAAACAAATTTGATTAATCTATATTTGTATCTATCATGGTAAATAAACTTTTTTTTACACATGACTACCATGCTAAATAAAACCATTGGGGCATTAGAAATTGCATTCATTTTTTTATTTTCATTTATCTTTAAAGCACATATTTTAAAGCAGTGCAATATATTTATTTCTTTTCAAAAAAAGTATTTGAATAAAGTGAAAGATTGTCCAACATAACAATTGTATATGAAGGCTTATAATTATAACAAAATATTTTATTAAATAATGTATAGTTATAAAAAATAATCTAAAAATTGTATACTGTTTACTTTTACATTACGTACTAACAGAAAGCTATTTTGAATTAAAGAAGTTTAAACAATATTACTGAAAACTATTTTGAATGAAAAAAATGCATAACATATTAGAGAAAGCTATTTTGGATGAAAAAGTTATAAATAAAAGTAAATATACAGTGAAGTAATTCAACATTTCAACATTCAAAGTTGATTTATTAAAATAATAATAAATAATAATAAAACTATTAAAAAAGAGTTCCATTCTATTAAATAAACAACACTAAAAATAAAGAAGAGATTTTAAAAAGTAAACATATTAATTATGCACTACAAAACTGCTTTCAGTAGCCATGTTTTAATTTTTATTTAGCAACAATTTTAAATTACTATTTTACAATTATATATTAAGGTACATATAGCTATAAGCTATTTAAATAACATGGTAGTGACAAAGAATTCTTATATTGACAAAATACCATTTAACTGAAAATTTAATTTGTATAAGATAAATACATATGAAAAATATCAATGAGAAAAAGTCTTTCCATTACAGTTGAGCACCGGTGTGGCATGTAACAAATATCCTTTGTTCAAGTATCTTGTCCAGGAGATTAAATAAAGTTCTTTAAATCTATTTACATTTATTTTATTAACAGCCAAGATCACAAGTTTCATTAATTAATTTAAAAATATCATTATAGAAAACTAAAAAATAAGTGATGAACAAGATTTTTTTTAAACTGCTAGCAAAATTGTAAAAGAAAACAAAATTAGTTTAGTTCAATACTCCTAATTTGCAGCACACTGCCTCATAATTTTTTGTGCAATTCAAAAACCAGATGAATGTAAATATACACAATTGGATTGTCATGTTAGACAAGAGAAGTAAAATGTAAGAAGTAACTGGGTTGACCTAACGTTAAGGCTTAAATGAATATTATTTTTAAAAAAAATTCTTTAAACTTCAGCTTTTAAAATTTCAATTGGCTTTTAGTAGTTAGTAGGGGTAAGAGAAATATTTCCTTGTTATACCCAAATTTATATCATAGTTCAATTTAAACCATTTCTTTACTTGAGTTATTGTTAATTACAAAAAAACTCACAATACATATGATGAATAAATAAATAATATAAAATTTACTGTATATATAAATCTATATTTACCTATGTATATATTTCAACATAGTGGATCTTAGTAAAAAATATATCACAGTTTTCTGTGCTTGTTATGCAAGCAAGCCAAATTTGATAGTAAGCTCTTAGAAATAACAAGATGAAGTTGTTGTTACAAAAACAATTTTAAATAAAAAAATTATAAACTAGTGCATGAATTTTTTTTATAGTGTCAGTACTTTGTATGATTACACTTTCAAATAACTATACAATATATATTTAATGAAAAAGAAACTTGTTACATAAAGTAGGTGTAATGTTTTATCATTGTGATGTTGTGATTTTTTTGTTCAGAAGTTGTTAGTGTGCTGCTTGCTAATTCAAATTCAAACACAGGAAGTCAATGCTAAGCACAGTATCATCCACTAAAGCAAGTATCTTGAAAACTTTCAAGATCATCTTGAGATCAAAGAGCTACAACAATGGAATGTATATGCTAATTTCATGCATATCTGTGCAGTTTTATTTAATTAATATCTAGTAGGCTTTGGTGGGAAAATTGAACTATGCTCATTTTTATAACGTATTACAAGACATAACCAGACCAAATAAATTTTGGTATCACACTAAAGAGAGCAAAACGTCATCTAAGTCTAGTCCTCATGTTACACTGCGGTACAGGTTCATGGTTCACTGTGACGGCATGAACAGGGAAAACAACAGCATCCCTGTCTTTTTCTTTTGACATTGTCTTGGTCTTCTTGCATGCGAGCAAAGTAAATAAAAACTTGTTCCAGTGAGGTCTGACTGACCAGGTAATCTTCTATGCCAAGTCTTTCTCTGGCCCTCTCCATCTCCCCAAACATTTGAGACCAGGTCAGCTGGGTGTCAGTGATGTGGTAGTTGATCATGTTCTCATGAATGTCTGTCAGTTTACTTCTAGGAAAGGTGCTGTTTATAAACTCCATCAGTGGGGCCATGTTGGGTGGGCCCCCATCTGGAGGGTAGGCCACTTTGGCAGTAAATGTGTAGCCTTCCCCAAATTTGTTCTTCAGGTGTTGTATGCTGCCCAGACATTTGAACTGCCCATTTACCATGATGGCTAATCGCGTGCATAGGGCTTCACATTCTTCCATGCTGGGAGAAATGATAAAGAATTGTTAATGAACTTTAAAATGGAAAAAAAAAACATGAAAATATGAAGCCAATAATAAAAATAATTTCTGACTGACTATCCAAACAATCTGAAATTGTTTATATAGTTTGTACATCTCCTCATATCACCACATTCAATGCTGCATGATTTATTGATTGTTTAACATCAGACCCTGATGTGATTGTTTCCAATACTTTTGCTTTGCTTTATTTCGCATGATTTAAAAAAAATAATCTCCTCCCGAATATGTTACAAATGAAACAATTTTTGATACAAATCTCAAAAAATAGTAATTCATGAAAGAATGAACAGACCAACAGAGGGTATTGTTTTTCTTCTATAAGCTACCAGTTGGCACATCAGTATCACTCATGACAAAACAGCCCTGACTAAAAGGGCCCAGATAAAAATGACCCAGTTAAAATAGCCTTAACAAAAGAACTCCAGAATCAAGGACTCGTGACAAAAGACTTACAACCAAAATGTTCAACAGCATAACGGATCTAAAAAAAATAGCTGATAAAAGCATACATCTTAAATAAAATAATTAAATGTCAAAAAAAAAAACAACAGAAATTAAGCAGAACAAATGTGTTCATCAATTGCCTTATACAGGACAGAATAAGTAAAAAAAAAATAAAGCTTATAAGTCTAAAAGTCAAATAAAAGAAATAGCATATTAAGTATCTAGCTTAAATAAAATTCTAAGACTGATATTTTTGTAAGGTTTTGGATTTCATTTAATTAAAGAATTATTGGTTCGAAAGGCAAAAAAAAATTGATCTACCTATGTGAGGTGAGGACTAAAGTTCTCCCGCTGTCTCGAACATCAGACAAAACTTCCCACAACATTCTCCTGGCAACAGGATCCATCCCAGTGGTTGGCTCATCAAGGAAAACAACATCTGGGTCTCCTATCAAAGCTATGGCTGTGCTCAGCTTTCTTTTGTTGCCACCACTGTAACATCATACAATGGTTGATTCATTACACTGGCAAGTCATGCAAGAAACCAGATATAAGTAAACACTACATGTTGAATGAACAAGTACCTGTAGGTGTCACACTGCTTGTCTGCATACTGGGTCAGTGTCATAGCATTCATCAGACTGCTGACAGCTTCAGGTATATCTTGTTCTTTAATCCCACGCAGACGTGCAAATAAGGTCAAAATTTCCTTGCCAGTCAGCTGACCAATCAATGCATCAAATTGTGGACAATATCCTAAGCGCTTACGAGCCTGAGTATAGATTGATAAAATTTTCATCATTAGTACACAGCTTCCAATAGACAATAAAAAAAAAAACATTTAAAATAATGCTATTAGACAAAATCAATGCATAACTAATTAAAGGAAGAAACATAAGCTTACCAATTCCCTCTGTGTTTTAAGACTATAAGTGTCTAAGAAAGCTTCCCCACTACTTATTGAAGTGTCTCCTGTTAACATCATAAAGGTACTAGATTTTCCTGCTCCATTAATTCCAAGAAGACCAAAGCACTCCCCAGCTGGTATTCCTACACTCAGATGATCCACTGCCCGGAAGTCATCATAATACTTTGTCAGATTTTTTAGCACTAGTTTCTCTGAGCTGTAAACAAAAACACATACTTTTGATCAGTTGAAACATTTTGCTTATTGAACTAAGAATTTTTTATTCAAGAAATGTATTAAATCCTGTAAGGTCATATGATAAAGTATAATTTTATAGTTGTGCAGATTGTAAAATGTATTTTAATGAAATTTTTTAAAACATATCTATTACTTACTGGTACAGCATGAAGACTGCGCCACACTAAACAGAATACAATAAACCCAACCCACCTGATGAGAGTAGATTGGGGAGTGCTGTCAATTCTTTCTCTTTCTTTAGCCACATCTTCATCTTCTTGTATAACACTGTCTCTGCTCATTTGTGAGGTGTAGTTCTTTGATGATAGATTGATAGCTTTTTGACTTGGAAACATCATGTACTGAAGCTAAAAATAAAAAAGCTCACTTTCAGAACAGATATTCAGTTTGGCAGATGACAGAGTTTATCTGTTTCTCTGATCTTAGTATATGAACTGATAGAGTGTTCAGCACTACATCTAGGCTGCAATGTGAAGTTTAGATTTTTTGGGTTATTAAAAGTGCTCAACCATACAGTGAATATATTGCAGGTAAATTATCTGTTCTATTTTATCCATTTAAATAAGATAACATAGTTTAATGAAAATAAACATAAAATTTCTGTTTAGAACCTTTAGGTATAAGATTGTAATTTGTTGAAGAATGTATTTATTTTACCTTCTGTAAGATTCCATACTCTGAGAGAAAGATCAAAGTCCACATGACACAGCCTTGGATAACAAGAAAAACCAACATTCGACCAACGCCACTTTTTTCCCAACCAAAATAGTTTTGGTTGTAATAAAAACAATTATCACCGCAGATTCCTGTAAATTTGAATTGAAAAATTAAATTTAACAAACTTTTTAAAAAAGTACTGGCAATAGTTGTTATAAGGATAATTAAATAATAAGGAAGAACAAAAATGTTTAGGTTAAATATTCACATTTTAAACTGAACAAAACAGGTTTTTTACTTTCTTGTGTTTGAAGTATAGTAGAAGTATTGTAATCATGTTAAAATCAAAACCGAGATTTTCACAAATCTCAACATTTTACAACCTCCCTGAGTCGGAAAAACATAGTTTTGTGATTTTGTCCGTATATCTGTGAGTGTGTGTGTCTGTAAACATGATAATAACCTGAGTACCATTATAGCTAGGTTGATAAAAATTTCATGTATAAGTATTATATCAAATTTGTAGTTATGCATCAACTTTTCAGCAATTTCTGGTAACTGGAAGTGGAACTTATTCTACTTTTGGATTTTCAAAAACCTATAACTTAAGTAATGTTTCAGATAGAAATACAAAATTTCAACAGACCATATCGCTACCACCCCCACCCCACCAGTCTGGTAAGCTGTTTACAATCGAAGACTATTAAGGGCAGATAAGTTAGGTCTTAAATGATTTGAAACTTAGGGGAGGTAATAACAAGCTCTGCTTGATCTTTTCAATGTTGTCCTGTAAACTGTCATCACGGACGGCTGCTTTAACGAAAGGGGGGGGGGGTGGAAAGTGAGGGTGAGGATAATCGTCCTTCACGGGCTACTGATAGTGTTTTAAAGCAAAATATTTTCAGTCGCAGCATTGGTGGTGTCGAATTCACAAATTATGAATTGCAGATAAGCAGAAAATAAAACAACTAGATAGCGGCGTATGCTACGTCGTGGGTCAGCTCATCAATTAATAAAACACTGACATTCCGCTATATTAAACAAGCTGCATACCCGTGCTCCGCCACGGTAAATCTTTTTTAAATGCACCAACTTTGGAACAGAACAAAACTAAACACAACACAACACAAACACAATACAAACACAACAAAAAAAAACAACACAACATAAACACAACACAACATAAACACAACACAACACAAACACAACACAAACAAAAACACAAAATAATACACAAACACAACATAAACACAAATGCAAACAAACACAAATGCAAACAAACACAATGCAAACACAAGCGAAAAACAAACACAAAAGACAACACTCATAAATTTGCATTCACATTTTGCTAATTATATTATTGCAACAATAATTCCTTCTTGAAGGTCCGTAGATTTTACATTCACATTTTTTTTATTAGCCTAGAAATCACAAACACAAAAGAAAACACTCATAATATAAACACGACTTAAATGCAAAAATAAATGCATAATGCTCACAGTCTAGCCAATTGCACCAAATCCCGCCCTGTCCGAGCGCCGGTGGACGCGCCTGGCTCAGTGAACGACTATTATAGATACATTGTTTTTTGTTCATTTGACGCACAATTCTTTTTTCTATGAGATTCCATTCTTTCTTAAACAGTTTATGTAATTAAAAATTTATTAAAAATCATGTCTATATCCCGAACTGTCATCCCCCTATAAGAATATTAGAGAAAGTTTAGATCACTCCCACTTTATTAATTAACATTTAACTTAATTTTTTTTAAATAGCAACATAAAAAGATAAAAGCACATAGCTTAATGTCACACATATCTTATTAGCTATTATTTATGATTTCTAAGCCTTTAAAGTTTTTTAAAATGAATTTTGTTGTATAAATCTTACCTGGACAGCATGGATTTTGTAGATGCTTTAAGACATACAATGGACATGCAAATTTATTTTCATAGACAGGCCGACATATGTCTTGAAACTGGTAGTTTTCATAAAATTGCAACATTCCTTGAGATAAACAAAAGTTAGGGAATACAGCCAAGAAAATCCACTCTAGAACTATTGACACATCTTCCAAGCCTATTTGAGGAATGCTTAAAATAGCAACAACAAGGAGGGTGGCCACACCTGAAACAAACACATAAACCATGCATATATTGAACAAATAGTGTACAGTAAGATCTATATTATATTGGGATCTATATTATATTGGGATCTAAATTATTATTACACACTCATTGAAAAAAGAGTGTTGTTTAACAATTTTATAATGGTCATGCAGAAAAAGATAGCCCTCCTTTTCATTTATTTAAAAAAGCTGAGGGTGCATTTTAAGAATATATACCTCAGTTTTATTTTTCACAATATCTTTCTGTGCACAACAATGGGTGCTTAGTGATTATTGTACCCTTATCATTTATCTTTTTAATAAGCATAATTCATTTTGAGTATTATTGTTAAAATTTTGTTGAAATTTATCTTACAAGAAAGAATAATTAATTTTTAAGTAAAAAAAAAGTGTGAAATTAAAAATGATGGTAGACTAAAATAAAACTTACCAGTGAGAATATTGAACATGGTAATCCATACATAAGCTGTAGCTGGTACAGTAAAGGCAAATGAAAAGAAATACATGAAAGGCAACATGGCCCAGCCGTATAAAAGAAAAATTAATATCAACTGAAGCCAATGTAAGTCAACTGTATAATTGCTTATGGAAAAGGCGAAGTAGGACACGATGATAAACAGGCAAGGGATGAAGTAGTTGATGAGGTCCCAGAAGAAGGTTGACACCCAAAAGTTGACTGGGTGAACACCACTGACAAACTGAATGTGCTTGGCCTTCACTGTGCTTTCTCTCACAAGGAACACAACAAAGCTGCTGGCTAAGAAAGCCATGCCAAAACTTAAGTTGAAACTAAGTGTGAATCCTGTAAAGTCTTTTCCACTGGCTTCATCGTTAGCCTGTTATAAAGCAAGAAATTTTTATTAACGTTGCTCAATGAGTTGATTAAGAAGTGCTTTGACTATGACCAGTTAATACCAATGGTTTTATTTTAAAGCTCTGTTACTATAGTTATTAAAAACATCTATTATTACCACTTCATAATAACAAATATTTTAACAACTGTTTCTAATTCCAAAGTTTGAGAAAATAAATTTTATTTTATATTCTGTTACCTTATCAATAGTAAGCCTGGGCAAAGGATGGTTGGCAGTCTCAATGCTGTAATCAGAACTGTTGGTAAAATATTTGACAAGGCCATTAAACATGGCCGTCAGTGAGATAGCAATGCTGTGGTACCCTTGGTTGTTGAAATAAGATGTCACGGAAGAGTTGTTGAACTCCCAGGCAAGCATGTACCTCAGGTTATATAATCCAATATCTTTCATCCCCTTTTGTACTAAGTAGTCTTCAACATTGGAATTATTTTGAAAACCAGGTTCTTTAGAAATATCCACTGGTATGGAAGGGGATTTTGGCATAAACTGGTGGGCAAATGTTTGAGCCATGTCCTCATCAAACAAATCTGTGCTGTAAGGAATGTAGTTTTTCCCAAAGTCCTCTGGGACAAGGCGCAGAAGAGGCATGTCTATGAAGGATGGGAGAGTTTTAAGCACTGTTAAGCCCATGACAGTGAAGAAGAGAGGAATCACAAGCTGGCTGATGGTGACGAGTTTGTTGCGAAATGTGTGGATGGCACGTTTCATGAACATTGCCACAAACTGCTGCAAAAACAACTTCATGCCTGTGTTTTTTTCCAGCCTGTAGTTTAAAACTGGAATGAAATGGGCAAGGATTAAAACATATTTTAAAATTTACAGCACAACACTGTATTTAAACAGTAGGACAACAGCACACAAACATTTCCATTATATTTCTGAGAACAAGCTTTGACTAAAATGCCATCAGATAATTTGAGAAAAATAAGCTCAATGATTTTGATGTTTTGTTTAACCCTTTCCTTTTATTAGGTTCCAGTAAATATGGGACATACAATCGGTATAAGTTATTTAAAATTTCTCAGATTCACATTTGTGATAGGGTAAACAGTATACTCAGGGACAAAAAGATTCACAAATAGTTTTCACTGTTCAAAAATGGTGTAAAAATGCTTTAACCCTTTAGTGTCCGAATGCATAGGAGATTTTTCTTATGTATGGTACCTTTTATTCCATGTAGCTATTAATGTCTCAATGGAAAATACCAGTGAAAGAAGGAAATATTAAGTTTTAAAAAAATATTCTATATATTTTTTTTTTAAATAACAAAAGTGTGGGTTTTTTTTTTTGTAATACTTTGCTTGAGTTGATGTTATTTTTATTGATTATTTTTAAAATCATCGAACTTTTTAGGCTGAAATATAATAAATGAAGACTATTTTCAAGTGCAATGTTTTTTAAAAAACAAGATCTGTTTAAATAATTTTTTAAATACATGTAGTGGTTGAAAAATGTGTAGTCAGCCCTCAGCTGAAATAATTCAAGAGATTAAATTGAAATTTTTTTCCTGTAAAAGACAAGTTGTCACTTTGTTTCTTTAACCTAAAAGGAAGCAAATATTTTTTATTTTGGTCATTATAAAGTAACCTTGTTAAAAATATTAGGTAAAAAGTAACAGAAAGCAGCCTAAAAAAAAAGTAAAGTTTCCCTTTCAAACCTGACGGTCTATGGGGCAAGTGAAGTAGAGTTCACTTGTTTCTGTGACCTCTGCATATGAAGAGATAGTGTGGTCAGCACTAGGCCCAGCCGCCTTTACTTTCCCTAACGTGAGTTAGGTACCCATCAGAGTTGGGTGGACTTAGGGACGGTCTACTGACTTGAACCTGCAAAGCAGCCTGTATGTAGTTATTTGTCAATAGATGAAATTTTAAAAATATAAACTTACTCAGAGGTTGAGATGAGGGGGAATCATTCTGAGACAGATCTAGCAAGGCACTGTCTGGCTCTCTGTATATCCTATGATTGATGGGGTGTTCAAGGTTGCCATTATTGCTGTATGGGACTGTGCTGGTACTTGTGGTAGTTGGGCTGGTGCTCTTATCATTGAACCGTGATAATCTGTCTTTACCATTACTGGCAGCAGATTCCCCAACTCTACAGAAATCATTGCAATAAGAAAACAATTAAATACTGACTGACAATAGAGATTCAGGATTACTACATTCATGAGCCAACACATTATTTTTTTGGACTACAGATAATCACTGAGTAAATGTACAAATGAATTTCTAGGTGACAACATTTACTATTATAATAAACTATTTCTGTGCAATATAATAAGCTATATGAGGTTATACAAGAATAACTTTAAAAATATTAATCTCAAAAGAAAAATGAGTTATCGTTTCATTATATATGAAAACTATCAAATAAATTCTTTGTGTTTGCAGGAGTAAACTTAAAGGACATAGGGAATATTCTCACTTTAAAAAGACCTCTTCCATTGTGGTGACTGAGGCACCAAAGCTGCTGATGCCCAGCTCCCTCTGTCTCTGTTCTAAATTTGCAAAAAGTGCCTCAAAGTTTTCCACGCAGTTTTGGGGGAGAATAAAGCTGAGTTCTGCTCCTACGTTGCTCTCTAACTCAGCTGTTGGTATGTGCTGCTTGACCACACATATGATGTTCTTTACATCACAGGTGGGTTCCTTGACCACTACCATATGGTAGCCAGCTCCTGGTGAGGTAAACATCACATTAAAAGTTTTGGTGAACAATGATAATTTTAAGAATTAAAAAAATGCTAAATTTAATGTTAGGAACTATTAGCATAGAAAAGAAACAAAACTATGAAACCAAATAAAGTTAACAGATTAACAGAAAAATAATAGAAAATAACATTTATCAAAAAATAATATAAAAATATTTTATATCTTTATAAATATGTGGTTATGAGTATTTTTAAGCTTAATAATGCTCGAGAATTATTTAAAATTGAATCTAAAAAATTGATATATTCCTAAGTCAAAGCTCAATTAAAAAAAACTAAACTATAAGCAACAATACATAAAAATATTCATAATAATAAAACAAAAAACCCACCATATTTCTTTTTCAAGAAAAGAGAACTCCCGTAGCACTTGACAATCCCATCTGCCATGATGGCAATCCTGTCACCAAGCAAATCAGCTTCATCCATGAAGTGAGTACTGAGTACCATAGTCCTGCCAGCTCGATTTTTTTGTAAAACTGTCCATATGTTGCGCCTAGCATTGGGGTCAAGGCCAGAAGAAGGTTCATCCAAAAATACTACCTAGCATTTTAAAAAAACAAAAAAATATTTTGTTACAATAAGTTTGATCAAAACTATTATTGAAATAATATCTTAATGGATTTTTGAAAAAGTTATTTAAGAAATCTGAAAATAATTAAACCATACCTTAATAACAGCATTGATTCTCTTGTAATAAACATAATTAAGAAGAAAATATTATTTAAAAATGAAGTTAGAAAGCAACTTTCGCAGCTACCTTTGAGTTTCCAATGAGTGCAATACAAACAGAAAGTTTCCTCTTCATCCCACCAGACAAGGTTTTTGACTTGGCCTTAAGTTTGGGGAAAAGTTCCATGTCTTTCAACATCTCTGAGCACTGTGGCATTATCTGGTTCCTGGGTACACCTTTAAGCTGATATAAAAAGCATACATTTGCATGTAATAGGCTCTTGTTTGTTTGTTACTGTGTACATTGTATTTTTAATATGGTAGCTCTTCTACTAAAAAGTTTAGTTTTGTCCAGACATACCAAACCAAAGAAAATCATATGCTCCTCCACTGTGAGGTTATCAAACAAAATGTCATGTTGGGGACAAAGGCCAAGGCTGCTGCGGACCTCACTGATCTCCCGACGGATATCAAATCCATTAATGAGAGCAGTGCCACTGGTTGGTGGGTAGAAACCTGCAAGTTTACACATTATTTACACATTACATTTTTTAAAAACTATTAATGTAAATTTATCTGACTCAAGTGTTTAACCATGTTCCTCTTAAAACATAAACATAAATTATTCCTGACACAGGCAAATTCTATTTGATTAAAATAGTAACTAGTAACACCGTAGACAGAAAAATTTGTAACCAACGTACCGGTCAGCATAGACATTGTAGTAGTTTTGCCAGCACCATTGTGACCCAGTAATGCAGTTATCTGTCCTTCATACATATTTAATGTCATCCCAGCAACAGCAACTTTTTTCTTCTTACCACTGCCATACACCTGAAACACAACATAAACATCATCTTGCAACTAGGAAAATATTTTAGGTATAACAGCAAATTTAAAATAAGATCACAATATTTTGCAAATATCATTCAGGAAATTTTTACTTATATAAATAGTCATTACAAAGCTCGTACCTTTACAAAAAATATGGAATATAATGAAGCTTGTATATATGTTTAAATAGCCTTAAATTTACTTTGCGAAGATTTCTAATCCTAATCCCAGCATGCTCATTTGGTTCTTTCTCAAACAAAGATGGATCCTGCCCTACATTGACAGCGTCATCAAGTTCAGTATAGTCTAGAGGGGAATGGCAACATCCCCAATAGCTTTTCTGTTAAAAATTTTAATAGATTTTTCATCAGACAATTTTATTACACTGGTGGAGTTATAATTATTTTTCAAATAATAAGTGTATCCTGTGCTTTAAAAAGAGATGTAATGATAAACCTACCAAAACTGGGAAATACCAAGGTTGTGGGACACCATAGTCCCCAGGGAAAACAGCTTCAATGTACCAGGCAATCAGACAGTGAATGACTGAGTCTACAATCAACATGATGAGCACAAACATCATTGAGAAGTCATCATCCACAGACACACCAGAGTTAAGTGTTGACAACTGAATCCCTGAGCCTGCAAGTATTATAGTTAATACGTGGATTAAAACACAGTTATATCAAGTTAGCAAGTTCTCTAATGGCAGTATTTTAAAACATTAATATAATAATATTAATAGCCTATATGATAATCATGCTTAAAACTGCAACCCAAGCCTAAAAAAGTTGCCTTACACCTCTACAATCCCACTACTTATAATACCACCCCCCAACTCTATCTAATGACATGAATCTTGACTCACCCACTCCCTCAAACATGCCCAGCAATGTACCACCATATGCCACAGCCACCCCCCCCCCATCTAATGACAAGAATCTTGACTCACCCACTCCCTCAAACATTCCCAGCAATGTACCATCATATGACACAGTTACCCCCCCCCCCCTCACTCTATCTAATGACATGAATCTTGACTCACCCACTCCCTCAAACATGCCCAGCAATGTACCACCATATGCCACAGCCACCCCCCCCCCATCTAATGACAAGAATCTTGACTCACCCACTCCCTCAAACATGCCCAGCAATGTACCATCATATGACACAGTTACCCCCCCCCCCCAACTCTATCTAATGACATGAATCTTGACTCACCCACTCCCTCAAACATGCCCAGCAATGTACCACCATACGACACAGCTACCCCCCCCCCCCCCCACTCTACCTAATGACATGAATCTTGACTCACCCACTCCCTCAAACATGCCCAGCAATGTACCACCATATGCCACAGCTACCCCCCCCCCCCCCACCCTCTCTAATGACATGAATCTTGACTCACCCACTCCCTCAAACATGCCCAGCAATGTACCACCATATGCCATGGCCACCTGAAAGTCCAGACAGGAAACCAGCTTGGCAACAAAACTTAGAGTTGTGTATCTTTGTTGCAAGAAAAAATATGGGATGTACATGCAAAAATACATGATCCCTGCTATGGCTGCTCCAGTGTTGGCTGAAATGGAGTAAATCAAATCAATTTTCTTTTTAAAAAACTGTGTAAATAATGTAGAGTACCGTAAAATATTTGCAATAAAAATTTTACTTAGAACACAAAATTAGGAATCGCTCCAACACTGTTGATTTCTGAATTAAAACTTCATAGCTAAAAATATTTAAAATATTGTAATGCATTGAAACTTTTATAACATCTCCACTCTTTCTAATAAAAATTTAATATAGGCCTAATATTAAAGTTTTTTTCAACATTTTAAACAATAAAGTTGTTTTTAGAAAGTTTCTTACATATTGAAAATAATAATTGAAAATAATGGTCTATCACGTAATGGTAGGGCATGTATTAAATTATCTGGAAAAAAATGTGATTGCTTGCAGGAATCTATTAGAGGATCTATGGTAGTGGCTCATTTCCTAAAGGCTGCAAACTTCATATGTTCAAGTTATGCTACTTAAAAGTGCTTCCATTTTAGCACAAGTTTAGTGATATGGGTAGGTAAGTTACACCACTTATGCACTGTCCAACCCCCTCTTGTCTGATGGTTCAGTAATTAGTTAAAAAGAGCTAAGTTTTTATGTTAAACGAAGCTGTTGATGGTATTTCCCAGCATGTCTATTAACAGCTTTTGCAGGTGCAACTTTGAAGAGCATTTTTTACTGATGTCATATTATCAAACAGCCCGCTCAGATTTTCTTTCAAAATTATCTGCTGTCTTTTGCATAATTTTCCCATTGCTTTGCTTAAATTGCTCTTGTTTAGCAACTGTTTATTTCTGCATTTTAATTAGTCAGGGTTTCTGCTTAGAACCATTCTTCTACGACTAAGTATGCACACTCGAAGATATTTTTATGAGTACTATGTCTTCTTCATCCTATAATACCTCATATTTGATTTTTAACTTCCAGCTATACTCCTTTCTAATTTTATAGCTCAGGGAAAATAGCATGACATCATTTAAAGACTATCCGTAAATGTAAAGTTATTTTATTTTTCAAAAACAAAATAACAATTTTTTTGTTATTTTTACTACCTTTTACCTCTAAGAAAGAATTCATTTGTGTCAAACTATTGTTTATTTTATGAGAGTTTTTACAAATTTTTCCTTTTTTCCCCCCTTTTTTAAAAATTAATTGTACACTCACCTTTAGCAAAGAAGACACTGATGGCAAAACAGTATGTGATGGTAGCTATAGCATAGCAAAAAAAGTAGATAAATATGATGAAAGGATTTGTTTCTGCTATAACAGCTCCCTTCTCATGGTCAAGCTCTATACAGTAGAACAAGGTCATGATTGAGATGGAGATGAGCAGAAACAGGATGTGTTTAGTAAACCAAGCCACCCAGTGCAGCCAGTTGTTGATTCCCATCATCTTCATACTCTCCTACATATGGAAACACATTTTGGCATTGTCATAGATACGTTACCATCTTGAAGGTTCATTAAACTTTTTTTAAAAGTGAAATTCTAGAATTTCTCCAGACATTATTTAGAAAATTTCTATGTTAATAATGATAATGTTTAGCAACTGTTTATTAAACAATGCAAAAATAGTAGTTGAATTGCAATATAGAGGCAATAGAGCTAATGTTTATAATGATGTTTCTCAAATCAATTGTCAGAAAATTAGTCTGTCTACCCCTAAGACATTTTTCTCAGTAACAAAAGCATTGCTCATTGATCAATCATAAAATTTATTATCCCATTGATTGCTCCGATTAAATAAAGCTCCATGTCTGGTAAAAAAAATTAAAAACAAATAAATTGACTCAAAAAGTGCTACCTATGTAATTCTTACATGGAAAATTTTCCAAAATACATTCCGATTGTTTTGGATAATTTGTAAAAAGCTAGCCAGAACTTTAAAAAATTGCATGCTATGAAAATTTTAGAATGTTTCAAATCTGACCTTACTATACAGCAAAGAGTAATAAAAATGTTAAAACTTAAAAATTTAAATTCTATCACAATGTTACAGTTTTTCTTGCAACTACACAATTCTGTTAGAACACTCTTTGCCAAAGTTCAAGTACACTGAAAACACTTTGAAAACGTTCATGAAAGAGTAGCAAATATATATCATGGCATGTTCAAATTATTTATTTTAAAAATTTTGCTTAATACATACACCTATATTTTTATGTTGTTTAATGCAAGTATGTTCAAAATTGCCACTGTAAAAATTTGACAAGTGCATGTCTTATACTTTTTTTAATGAATTTTAAAAATGACTTCCCCCCTCCCAAACAAAATAGAAAAAAATATAGTAAATATATACTTTAACCAGTGTCTATCCCATTTATTCCCCCCCCCCCCCCCAGAGAAAAAATGTTTGAAAGAAAGAAAGATACTCTGTTTTCCTTTCAATGTTTCCAAACAAGTTTCTTTTTCTATAAAGAGCCATGCAGGAATAACAGAATAACTATACTTTACAGCCTAGCAACAGCCTGTAAATGATGTCACACTTATTTATCAGAACTTAATCTTTCAATTAATGACAACCTTTGGGATCAGTCTTTTGGTGAATAACAGACTTACTAAGCAGTGACATATTTAAAAGGGTCAGAGTGAGTTCACACACACCAAAAACTAAGGCCTAACTACCAGTTCTAGTCAGTACATGAGTGATTGGGTTTGGGTGAGTTGCGAGACAAATGTAAACCAAAAACTTTCAACAATGAAACCCACCAAGGAAACGAAAGTTACAACAAAGAAACTCTTAATTAGAGCTGTTCACAATTATTTATTTTTACATTTAAAATGGAAAACTTCTTGGCTTCTTCAAACTTCTTCAAATTATTTTTAAAAACTTTATATACAAAACAAACCAACAAGTATTTCAAAACAAATGTAACACCGTTACATGGGTTTCAATAAAAGTCATAAATTTTTTAAATAATATACATTTAGACTTCTACTAGATGCTCTTAAGTCAAAATGAAACAAAAACTAAAGAAAAGTTTACAGCTTATCTAGCTAGTAAAAATCAAACTTGAGTAGAGGGACCTACCTTTAGCTTCCTTTCCTTCTCCAAAACAATGTCCCTTGCAATGCCCAGGACAATTACAATTAAACTCAGCATGACCACCATAGGGAATTGTTGCTGGAGCACCAGTACGTAGTTGTCTTCCTTGTATGGAGGATATGGTTGACGCTTGAGTTTCAGATTTGTAGATTTGTACTTTACAAAAGCTTCATCAGTCAGGAACTCCTTCATTAGTGAGTCATCTACAGCATGCTGAATGGCTAGAAATCCTTCTCTTGAATATTCTTGGATTAGATTTAATGAGCGTTAAAAAAAAACTAAATTGTGTATATGTATATCACACAATAGAAAATAATAAATCTTGTTGTAAAGGACAATATTTTGTTTCCATTTTCTAAACATACTACTATTTCAATTTATTTTGATAGACTCAATGCTAATGAAATTAAGAAATCACACTTTAACTATTATGATGGAAAATAAAAGGAATATAATTCCAAAACTAATTTGTCAAACATGTTTCAACTTCAACATGAGAAGAAAAAAAAAATTCTAAGTAGGCTACTATCAGTATTAAAGAATGAGATGCCTTATGTGCAATGTATGGCTAGAAAAGAACTAAATAGACTAGACTCACCAGGATCTCCATCACATGGGTTTTTAGCTTCTCTTGGCCCAACTATTTGGTAAGGTGGAAACATGAAATTGGTTGACCATGCTATGTTGCTCTTGATACCAACTTTCTGTTTGCCCGTAGATAGCAATGGCCCATACCTGAGGCGGATCTTGTACACCACATTTTTGTCAGGCACTTGTGTACCACTGACATTTTTGAAGTCACTGGTGAAAACTACTCCACCCAGATAGGCATAAGACTCATTGTTAATGTTGTTGACTTGGGTGATGGTGTCAATCATTTCATCTTCACTTGTAAAATGATCTGCAGATTTGGATGTACTGAAGGGTTATTTGGTACAAAGATTTATATACTGTAAGCTCTTAAGGGTAAATTTTAAAAAATGTATGCAAAGAAAGGTGGTTTAATTGCTAGATTTCTGTAAGGTATGTCATTGTGCAGGTTAGAGAAGAATAATGACATTTTCACCAGTGTTTCTCCCAGTATCCATAAAAATTAAACTGACTTGGAAAATTAATAAATACTAAGGCAAAGTCTAACTTGTTTTAGAGTAACTTAAATATTGTTATGAGAAGAAATGGTGGTTGGGAAATATACAATATCTACATTTGCCAATGTAAACAAAATAGTAAACTATACTTCATCTACCTTCTAGAACTTTAGGTCGGACAGGGTAATTTTGACTTATAGTCATTTTGTTGTAGTTGTTTTTCTCAGTGGGATTTTCAGGAATTTTTATCTAAACTTTTGTAAAATTTGTAAAACTTTTTGTAAAATTTAGCAAAAATGACTATTATGAGGGCTGTTTTTATATTTGCAATTAAAAGCTAATAAAATACTTCGAAATAGTAATATATTAAATTTCTCTTTGCTTTTGGGATGATATCATAGATTAGTAAAATACACACACAACTTATTTACCCATGGGTAGGCGTAACGTCAGATTTGCTCTGTCCATTATCCGTTTTGTGGCATCATTAAATGGACTGTAGGCAAGTATTTTATCCGTAAGATTAGGGTTTAAGTTTCGATACTCGCAGGGGCTCCAGTATGTTGGCAAAGGGTGTGGTGTGCTTTCAACCCTCAGCCGAAGCGTCATCAGAATTAAAGAAAACAGTGTGGGTAATCCTATTTCAAAGATTGTTGCTATTGGTTTTCTTTTCTGTATTAAAAAATTCTTCCATAACAGAAGTCGAAACTTTAAAAAAGACCTCATAATTCCTGGTTTAAATACCAAAAGTTTTAAAAGTAGAAATTTTTTTCCTTCCGAATCAAAAAAGGTTACAAATCAAAACTTTATGGCTTTTTGTGTCAGAATGTACTTCCTTGGTCCAGTCTGAAATATAGAATAAAATGTGTACTGTTCAACAACAAGAGAGTCCCATATAAATAATAGAAAAAAAAACTTAAGCTACACGGCTTTACCACAACTGTGATGCTAACTTCCCAAACAAAACCATGTGATCCCATACAGTGACTGAGTGGACTGATGTCATTCACCAGTATAGCAGGTCATGTGATAAATGTAACTTTTATGTAACTACTCCCACACTCAGGTCACTGACAACACAATAATATATTTTCTAACCTGTCATACAGTTTAAAGAAGTAGATAACAATGGTCAATCTTATGAACAATCAAAAATAATTATCTGATTGTAAAGTGGGTCATAAACTGATGGTTATCAAGTTTCAAAAGATAATAATTTGTGTGCACTAAATAACCAGAATGTTTATGTTAAATACAATCTTCTAGTTACTTATAAACTTGCAAAGCATATAACTGAGGTTTTAGATTTTTTTAAATGTTACAAACTTTTTTTTTACAAACTTTTTTAGCGCAATTTCCATTCTGGAGAATTGCGTTTATTTTATCTATTTAAGCTGAAAAAAGTTGTAAAGTTTTTATTTCTTATTCATGCACTCACTGGCATTGTCTCAAGTCAATTGAGTTAGAGGGTTTGTAGCAAATCCTGTAAATCAATTTTGACCACTCCTAATGCAGTCACTTCATTCAAACTTTCACGTTTTTGTTTTTCAGATGAATGCAAAGGTAACTAATTCTTAATATAATTAAAATGTTATCTGGAAATAAGTTTCAGACCAAACAGCAAGGCACACTGCATTGCAAAATTTAATTAAAACAATTTGTATCTTAGGTTAACATCAAAACACAAAACTGCATCTGCATTAAACAAAACCAAAAATGTTATCTCAAAATAACCAATACAGACTTGCAAAAGCTTATACAATAAAAGAAAAATCAATTATGATGTCATAAAAAAAGAACATTTAATAATAGTGAAGTGGATTTTTATTTGAAGAGCAGTTTTAGATAATAATAAGAACATCACAAGTGCTCATGAGTCTAAAAATATAAAAGTGTTATCTTACAGGGGTGACTGTGTTAATAGTCTAGAATAGAAAATTTATATCATTACTGTATTTTGTTTTCATGTTAGCTAAGAAGCCAGTAATAAGCAATTACAGGGGCGTAGCAAGGGGGGGGGGCGGGGGTGCGGACCGCACCGGGTGACACCATTTAGGGGGGTGACACCAAGGCAAAAAATAGCAAAATATATGGAGAAAAAGTTGAGAGGGGGGTGCAAATCGAAAGTTTGAGGGGGGGGGGGTGCAAATCAAAAACTTGAGGGGGGGTGCAAATCGAAAGTTTGAGGGAGGGGTGCAAATCGAAAATTTGAAAGTTTGTCCCCGGGAAGGGTCGCTACGCCTCTGGGGGGGTGACACCATTAAGTGCCGCACCGGGTGACACCCGACCTCGCTACGCCACTGAGCAATTATCAATAATTTTATTTCAAAGTTTAGACGGTTTTTTTATATTTTGATTTTACATCATTTTGGAAGTTCAAAACATGAAACATCTATTGTCTCCAAATACAATGCAGATTCTATCTTAGTTATTGAATGATGTCAGTAGATTCACTCCCAGCATTGCCTTACTGTTTTGGGAATATATTAAATTAAATGTCTGTATGTAAATATTGATGTTTGAGAATATATATATATATATATATATATATATATATATATATATATATATATATATATATATATATAACCCTATATATATATAGGTGATATATATATAACCCTATATCTTACTGTAAAACTGACCCTGACCACAACCAACCACAATCACAAACAAACATAAAAAAACAACCACATAAACATAAACCCTAACCATCACTACAAACTCAACCAAAACATAAACACAAACCTAAACTCTAAAACTAACCCTAAACACAACCACAACTTCAAAAAAAAACAAATTTTAATTTATTCTAATGTAATTTTAATTTTTTAAATAATCATGTAAACGGGAGTAATTTGTATGATTTTTTTTTCAGATAAAATATTACTTTTTGTGAATGATAATAAACTTTTTTTATATTACACTTTACATTAATTAAAATGATAAATGATATTTATTGAGTTTTCCAGATACCAATTCAGATTTATGTACATCTAAATATTTAACATTTGCTCTGTCCATTTTGATTATGAATCATTACATATTGCACTAGCTGTTATCCACCACAGTATCATGTAAGAATATTTAGCTCTTTACACTACACCATCATAGCAAACAATTGTGAAGGGTAAGATTGACTTAAATGGAAAATAAACAATGAAAATATATAAGAAAATTTAACAGAACATTGCGCACACAACAAAAGACAACATACCTCATTTCCACTATAAAAATAAAAGCCACCAATAGTATTAAATACTAAATAATATTTGCAGCCCAGATCAATTACCTCCTCTAAATTACCACCCTGTGTAATTATCCTAATGTACACAATACATATTTTGACAATACCTATCACTGTTTTTCCCCATAGTCATCTCCCTGTCCCTAACCAAAATCATATGCTTATCCCTTCACTCTATCCCTATTCTGTATTATATTCTATCATTATCATTATGGTTGCCGTTACCAATATCACCCTAACCAGTGGGTTACCATTAATTACTGTTACCCTAATTGATGTGTTACTGTCTGATGGTAGGTAACTTTGGGAAAAAATTGAAGAAAAGCATCGCTATATCTCTATACCAACCCATATTAATCATGAAACAGCTACTTGCAAGTTTTAAATGGCTTACATAGTAGATATATAGATCAAGTACTAGTAGGCTTATATGACCGCACATTTTTAAGAAGAAAAAACAATTTTAAAAATAGTTTCGCCTATTAAAACTAGAGACATATAATTTTGGTACCAATAGAATGCTAAAGTCAAAAATGCTCCCTCCAATAAACTCATATGGTTTGGATAAAATAATCAAAAATTTAATTCTCATGCTGGGACATGCTACTACCTACCGACTACCTACTATAGTTATAGTTAAGTAGAGCAATTATTTATTCAATTAGTAGGCCTAGCCCTATAGACTATAGTCACACTATAGTGCCTATAGCCTATACTATTAATATTAATTATTAATAATTATTACTTTATTAGGTATAGATCTCTATCTGCTATTTAATATTTAATCTTTTTTACATTTTTTTATCACTCTCTGTTAATATTGCTATTACATTTTTTAGAGCAATTTTTACTACTAGATATAGATCTACTATTTAGGATTTTAGGCCTAATTACTAAAATTAGTAATTAGTAAGGCCTAATGCCTAATTAATACTAGGCCTAATTACAATTTTTTTTAATTAGGCCTATTTATTAGAAAATATTAAGGTAAGGGCCATTTTCTTAATAATTTTTTTGGCTTTTGTAATTTTGAAGGGCTAAAAAATAAAAAATAATTTCTAAAATCTAATATATAAAGCTCAGTTCTGTATGTAACGAATATGTTTGTCGTTGGTCTTGGATGGATTTAAGTGTTAGACAATTATCGTGCGCATTTGTCTAAATTTATGAGTTAAAAAATTACTATTGAAAGTGTTGGGAAATAATTTTCATTTTTCAAATTATAGTAATAATTGTCGGCATGTTCATTCAACACAAGTTTTTAAAAAATATCATCTTTTACAAAAATTCTAATTATGTCTTTATTTAGTCCTATAGCACTTACTTCCCTTTGATAAATTAGGAAAACACAATTACTTCCCTTTATAAAACCATTGCATTAGTGGAAAATAATTTACTTTTTATTACTTTGTTTTGGTGTTGGGAAAAAAAATAATTACATAATTAGTGGGGATTGATCAAGTGCAAATGTTGTAGGTATTTTACGGATAAGCTTGGAATATTAAAATTGTTCATTAAATTGAAACAGGCGCGTTCGTTTAAGTGAGTGCAAAAGACTATGAATAAGTTGGGGTACTATAGTCGTTCATTAAGCTAAAACAGGTGATTCCGCCCCGGGCGTTTATGTTCGCGTTAGTGTTTTCTTTGTGTTTAGGTGGGTTTGCGTTAGTGGTTGCGTTTTTATTTGGTTCGTTTTTGTTCTTTCTTTTTTCATTTTTGTTTGTGTTTTTTTTGTTTGGGTTTGTATTTGTGTTTTTGGTTGGTTTTACGTTTGGATTTGGTTTGTTTTCGTTTGCTTTTTCGTTGTTTTTTTTTTGTTGGTATTGGTGTTTGTGGTTGGGTTTGTTGTTAGGTTTTTGTTTTCTTTTGTATTTGTAATTGTGTTAGCGTTATCCGTTATGTTTGCGTTTTGTTGTTTTGGTTGGTTGTGGTTGGGGGGGGGGGGGGGGGGGGGTAATGCCGGTTTATGATGATTACTAAACACACAGGTAATGGTCTTTAACAGAAGGGTTTTTCACAGAAGCCAGAGCAGGGCCTGGCCGGGACGGCTAGTAAAATATAAAATTAAATTTTTTTTTTCGTTAGAATCGTTAGAATGAGTGAGAGTCAAGTGAGAGTGACTAACCACACACTTTGTGAAGAACAATTTCCCTGCGCTTATCTGCAGATACCCGATCTAATCGATGTGATTAGGCCTAACTGTGGACGGAACCAACTTTCTTTTATATAACATTAATAGAGATTAGATAACAACTTTGTTACAAATTTTACCGTTGTTATTAGTGCTAAAAATAAAATCGAAAGTAAAACATAAAGCGGAAGCTATTAATTTAAAACGTGGATTGGTTAAAATAATTAAGGTATTTTAAAAGACAAAAATATCAATAATTAAATAAACAAATAGGGCCTACTAGAAAGCAAAAAAAAAAAATAATATTTAAAAAGCATTCATTGATCTGTTAGATTGCCGAGTGTTTAAAGTAATTTAAGCTAGATTCTATAAATCATGTAGAAGTAGATAATAATATATACTTATTTCGACTAGAAATCTAGATATTATTTTATTATTTTATTATTACATCAAGATCTAGATCGCTAGATGCTAGATTTAAAAAAAAATTAGATCTAGATCTAGATAGATCTATATCTAATGTTAAAAACACCACCGTACGACCAGCGTTTCTTATTTCTCCGGGGAAGGGAGGCACTTGAAATTGTCTGGGGGGGGGGGGGGGACGACTAAAATTCCGGGCGGCGGACACTGTTAAAAGTATATATTTTCTATATAAATTCCATTTCGTGCGGGGGGGGGGGGGGGGGAGATGCCTGGAAGAAACTCTGCGTACGACGGTGGGTGGAATCCACCCTATTTCATTTGTAAATATCTGGGCACATTATCTGGACTGGCGTACTGGGTTTTCATATATGCTGCATCTACCCAGTCTACTATAATAAGGACACGAAAAACGCATCTTTAACCAATTTATTTAGCCTATTATAAGTTATGGGCCTTTATAAAAATCAGTACCCCTTTAAGTCGTCATGGGTGGGAAAAACCCGGTGACAAAATAAAGAAGTAAAAAAAAAGGTAAACAAGTACAGGAACTTTTTAAATTCTACCAATGACTAACAATGCTAAAACAACCGGGAAATCAAGCGGCAATGTTCTAATAGCTTTGGCCTTGCATAAGTTGAACTGTTCTTGAACTTTTGGAGGTCATTCAAGGACAGTGACCGTAACATCACACAAGACAACAAATTCGACTTGCTGTTAAATGAAAATTTTTATATCCTAAACACTCGCTATTTGACACCGGCAGCAGGAACACAAAGACAATTAAATTTTAATTGGTCCAATCATAGAACTTAAGAAAATTGTATCAGTTTACTTATATCTAGACAACCAGCCTGTTCAAAACAAAATTCCAATGAAATTATATGGCATTTACAATATTAGTGCTTTTGCCATCCACAAGTGTAGGCCTATATATATATATATATATATATATAATTATATATATATGGCTAAAGAGGAAGCAACTGTCAAACACAAATAGTTCCCTGAAAAATGTGATTGAACTATCCCAACAATGATTTAGGCCTACACTCCATATGTAACTGAAGAATGCACCTTAGTGTCGACACACGGTACAGCCATGTCTATTTTCTTTAACTCGACTCTGCAGTATAAATTTTTTTCCTACCCTATTTGACGCCCACCTTCCTTCCCTTAACTGCACCTCTGTATAAGTATAACGTTTTTTTCTATTTAAATATAATAGAACCCAACTCATTTTGTAAGCAGCTACCAAGTTAAAAACAAAACCATTTTGGCATTAGAAAATAGTCATTTTATTTTTAGAACAAATAATGAAACAATTAAATGTGTTTCTCCTTTAAAGGAAAAATCAAACTGTAAAATGTATACCTCTAAAAAAAAAACAACAACAAAATAAATGGAAAGAACAAGTGAGTATTGCTTCAAATATCCCATATAACTAATATCGGATTATGTAAAAACAATAAAAATATTAAGTAACTATACCAATAAAACTAATCTAATAATATTACATGGTTTCTTTTTTCTATTATCAAAGAAAACTGTACTTAAATAAGTTTAAATTATACAAATAAAAAGCAAAATCTTTCTAATGATAAGCAATAAAATTTTTGTTTTGTGTCTATCATTAGAAATAAACAAACACTGATAAGTGAAAGAATCATTCCTTTGTTGGTTTGTGTATAGGTTAAATAAAAAAATTAATTAATTAATGAGTTAGTAAATAAATATTACAAAACATACTCAATGTATAAGAATATACATACATCAGTACATATGTATACACACATAAATAAATACATATACAGTATGTATACACATGTAGAATGTGTGTATATATTCAAGGTAGTATTTTTCACATAATATAGTGTGATAATGTATAAATATCTATATATTTACACATGAATTATAAAAAATACACTAAACATACACTTGCAGAGGAGAAAAGAAATTACAAATAGAAAATGTGCAGTTCTAAATATTTTTTTGAATTTTTTTTTATAATGATAACATGAATGATCACAGTTTGAGGTAACAATCAGTAATAAATAACAATAAAACAAATATTCCATAAATTCAGGCAGCAATACAAGTAAAACTACTTCATTGATAGATCTAAATATGATTTCTACACTTTGGATGTTGTGACTTTTGGTTCCAAATTTATTGGAGAGCTGGTGGCTAAACAAATTAAAATTCAAACACAAGTCAATGCTAAGTATCATTGACTAAAGCAAGTATCTTGAAAACTTTCATGATGATCTTGAGATCAAAGAGCTACAACAATGGAATGTTTATGCTCAATATATGCATATCATATACAATTTAAATCAAGTAATATATATTAGGCTCCGTAAGAAAACATTAATGCAAGCTCGTTTTCAGAATGTCTTCAAAGATTAACCAACCTGTTCTAGAAATTAGATAACAGTTTTGCTATAAGATTTAGAAAAAAAGAAAACAACATCAAAGTCTGGTCCTCTGTTCAGGCTCATCTACATCATGATGGCTAATGCATGGAAAACAACAACTGCAGCATCCCTGTCTTTTTCTTTTCACATTGTCTTGACCCTCTTGCAAGCGAGCAAAGTAAATAAAAACTTGTTCCAGTGAGGTCTGACTGACCAGGTAATCTTCTATGCCAAGTCTTTCTCTGGCCCTCTCCATCTCCCCAAACATCTGAGACCAGGTCAACTGGGTGTCAGTGATGTGGTAGTTGATCATGTTCTCATGAATGTCTGTCAGTTTACTTCTAGGAAAGGTGCTGTTTATAAACTCCATCAGTGGGGCCATGTTGGGTGGGCCCCCATCTGGAGGGTAGGCCACTTTGGCAGTAAATGTGTAGCCTTCTCCAAATTTGTTCTTCAGGTGTTGTATGCTGCCCAGACATTTGAACTTCCCATTTACCATGATGGCTAATCGCGTGCATAGAGCTTCACATTCTTCCATGCTGTGAAAATTTAATAAAGAAATTTTTAAATATTTAAAAAATTAATATTTAGAAAACAATAGAATGAGAATTTAAAAAAAATGTCTTAAACAAATCTGGGTAGCCCCTTTAAAAATAATAATCACAGGAAGTAGGGCGTTAGTAGGGAATTAAGTGTATATTGTCTCAGAAAATATAAACATTCCTACCTATGCGAGGTGAGTACTAAAGTTCTCCCGCTGTCCCGAACTTTAGATAGAACATCCCACAACATTCTCCTGGCAACAGGATCCATCCCAGTGGTTGGCTCATCAAGGAAAACAACATCTGGGTCTCCTATCAAAGCTATGGCTGTGCTCAGCTTTCTTTTGTTGCCACCACTGTAACATCATACAATTGTTGATTCATTACACTGGACATGCCAGTAAAGTCATGCAAGAAACCAGATATAAGTAAACACTACATGTTGAATGAACAAGTACCTGTAGGTGTCACACTGCTTGTCTGCATACTGGGTCAGTGTCATAGCATTCATCAGACTGCTGACAGCTTCAGGTATATCTTGTTCTTTAATCCCACGCAGACATGCAAATAAGGTCAAAATTTCCTTGCCTGTCAGCTGACCAATCAATGCATCAAATTGAGGACAATATCCTAAGCGCTTACGAGCCTGTTTTCAAATTTACAAAATGTTATTAACAATAACACATATAATTTAACTTACATATTTAATACTTATTTATAATTGTACTTAGTAAGAGTGATAAAGAAAATTTACTATTAAGCTGTCAGATACAATGAATATGAAACAAACTAAAAATATGTACTAGTTATGTAACTACAGAAGCTTACCAATTCTTTCTGTGTTTTAAGACTATAAGTGTCTAAGAAAGCTTCCCCACTACTAATTGAAGTGTCTCCTGTTAACATCATAAAGGTACTAGATTTTCCTGCTCCATTTATTCCAAGAAGACCAAAGCACTCCCCAGCTGGTATTCCTACACTCAGATGATCCACTGCCCGGAAGTCATCATAATACTTTGTCAGATTTTTTAGCACAAGTTTATCTGATCTGTAAAACAATGATCAACATCATACACTGTTGGTCAAAACGTTTTTTCACAAAATCATCAGTAATTAAAACATACTAAATCTATTTATCTATTAGATTTTTACAACTAACACACTTAATATTTCAGAAAATAGTGTCCAAAAAGTAAAGACGGCTTCATGGCTAATGATATTTTAATATAAATGTTAGATGTGAAACAACTACTGAGTATTCTAAGATACTGGCCAGCACATTATGAAGACTGCACCACACTAAACAGAATACAATAAACCCAACCCACCTGATTAGAGTAGATTGGGGAGTGCTGTCAATTCTTTCTCTTTCTTTAGCTACATCTTCATCTTCTTGTACAACACTGTCTCTGCTCATTTGTGAGGTGTAGTTCTTTGATGACACATTGATAGCTTGTTGACTTGAAGACATCATGTACTGAAGCTAAAAATAATCCTTTGAAAATTGAGTGAAACAAGCACATTTAAAAACAAAACAATTCTCTAATTAAAACCCTTTAGCTACTAGGCGATGTTGAAGAAAGTATTTGTTTTACCTTCTGTAGGATTCCATACTCTGAGAGAAAGATCAAAGTCCACATGACACAGCCTTGGATAACAAGAAAAACCAACATTCGACCAACGCCGCTTTTTTCCCAACCTAAATAGTTTTGGTTGTAATAAAGACAAGTATCACCGCAATGCTCTGAAAGTTAAAAAGAAATTGTTAATGAACAAGAAAGCTTTTGTAGTAATTTTCAAGTTAATGAATGCAAGGTAAAATCACCGTTTAATATATTTTTATAATATTTGTATACAATTTTAGACAATTCCAAAGTTTTCAAATATTTTGATGCTTAGTATATTTTATTTATTAAATATTTGTATTTAGTTTAAAATTTTTATTTTCTATTTAAATTTTTTTATTTTCATCTTACCTGGGCAGCATATGTTGAACACAACAGAGTCAGAGTCACAATAGGTACCATTATTTCGTTCATAGACAGGCCTACAAATGTCCAAATTCTGATAGTTTTGATAAACTTGCAACAGTCCTTGTGATAAGCAGAAATTTGGGAACACAACCAAGAAAATCCACTCTAGAACTAATGCAATTTTGATCATGCCTATCTGAGGAACAGCTAGAATACCAACAAGAACAAGGGTAGCTACACCTGAAACAAGCATGCGAAAAATTCATTTATTTTGCATGTGTAGGATATATCTATACTAATTAAACGTTTAGTGCAAGTTTAAATGCATAAAATACTTCAAGCTATTTTGCCTTTCAGGCATTATTTTTAAATTATTAACTCGTTTTTTATTTTATTTTAAGTAAATTATATTAATAAGCCTATTGTGTCTTTATGGAAATGATAACTATTGTTTTTAAAAGAAATAACTGTGGTTCTCATCTTGTAAAGGCCACAAGATCAATATTGAATTTGTTGTGAAAATAGTACTTAATAAAATAAGATGAAGACAGAAATAAAACTTACCAGTGAGAATATTGAACATGGTAATCCATACATAAGCTGTAGCTGGTACAGTAAAGGCAAATGAAAAGAAATACATGAAAGGCAACATGGCCCAGCCGTATAAAAGAAAAATTAATATCAACTGAAGCCAATGCAGATCCTCAGTAAAGTTTTTTACAGAAAAGGCAAAGTAAGATGCAATGATTAACAGGCAAGGGATGAAGTAGTTGATGAGGTCCCAGCAGAAGGTTGACACCCAAAAGTTGACTGGGTGAACACCACTGACAAACTGAATGTGCTTGGCCTTCACTGTGCTTTCTCTCACAAGGAACACAACAAAGCTGCTGGCTAAGAAAGCCATCCCAAAGCCTATGTTAAAACTAACTGTGAATGCTGTGAAATCTTTTCCACTGGCTTCATCTTGAGCCTGTAATTAAATTAGAAATATTTTATGAATGCTTGTAAAGTTTATTAAAATTAGTACTGTAACAATTAATGTCTATTTTTTTTAAATGTCTTTTAAAAAAATTGTATTAGTCCACTTTTATATATGTATAAAAATGATGAAAATAACACAATCTTTTAAAACACAAAACTGTACCATGATAAACTCTAATCATGATTTAAATCGTTGGTTCTTAATTAAATTGAAAAGGTTGGTAGATGTGGAAGCTTATCTCAAATTATACAATTGTACAAGTAAATTTTTATTTACATTATATATTGTAATATGTCTATTGGATAGATCGACAGACTCTGTCCCAAATAGATTTCTTCCATAGATAAAATAAAAAGACTCAGCAGTGTCTTAAAAAAGTGTTCAGCTGAAACACAATTTTTTTTTTGTAGTAAGGGTTAAAAACATTACTGTAATTCTATAAAAATACTAGCACTGCTGTTTAAGGTTAGACACTTCTACATGTGATAATAAGTTTTTTTTGTGTGATAACTAACAAGAATATTGTATTAAGTATGAGATGATGGTTATTCACCTTATTTGCTGTGAGCCGGGGCAGAGGGTGGTTGGCGGTCTCAATGTTGTAATCAGAACTGTTGGTGAAATATTTGACAAGGCCATTAAACATTGCCGCCAGAGAAATGGCAATGGTGTGGTACCCTTGGTTGTTGAAATAAGATGTCACTGAAGCCAGGGAGAACTCCTGGGCAAGATTGTACCTCAGGTTGTAGATTCCAATCCCTTCCTTCCCTTTCTGTACAAGGTAATCTGTAATGTACAAACTACTCTGGGGAGGAGTAATTTGTTTAGAAATGTCCACTGGTATGGAAGGTGAATTTGGCATAAACTGGTGGGCAAATGTTTGAGCCATGTCTTCCCCAAACAAATCTGTGCTGTAAGGAATGTAGTTTTCTCCAAACTCATCTGGGACAAGCCGCAGAAGAGGCATGTCCGTTAAAGATGGGAGAACTTTCAGTGCACTTAAGCCCATGACGGTGAAGAAGAGAGGAATCACAAGCTGGCTGATGGTGACGAGTTTGTTGCGAAATGTGTGGATGGCACGTTTCATGAACATTGCCACAAACTGCTGCAAAAACAACTTCATGCCTGTGTTTTTTTCTAGCCTGCGGCTTAAAGCTGAAATATAGTTGGCTTGGATTAAAATATTTTAAAAGAATTTACAGGATAACAAAGCATTTATTCAATACAGCCATACAATAGGAGGACACACTGATTGCTTAAACATTACTTTAAAAGCTTTCAGAAACATACAATAAAATAATGTGAATAAATAAGGTTGATGTTAAGGGGGCTTTGTTTAACCAAAGAGTAAAGATATAAAAAAGAAGACAAATCATTATAATCATAACTGTTTTGAGTCTGTATTGATTTTAAACTAAAAAATACAATTTTACTCAGAGGTATATAATAAATGAAATTACTTAGCGACAGATCAATTGTTGCATTGGCTGGCTCGCCTTTATTTCTCTCACTGATGAAGTGCTCAAGGTTCCCATTTTTGCTAAATGCCTTGTTCCTGATTGTTATATGGATCCCATTACCTGGGGCTGAGCATTCACTAGTAGCTGATGGATTGGGCTTTCTTTTATCATTGACCTGTATTAGTCTTTCTTTACCATTGCTGCCAGCGGAGTCCCCCACTCTATAAAATTAATTGTAACAAGACAGCAATGAGGCACAGACTGGACAGTGTCATTTAGAATTAACCCATTATAGACCACAAAAGCCTTAAATATTTTATTATGCATATTTTATACAACTATTATTTACATTATGTTTCTTATAAAACAAATATATAGATAAAATTTTTTTTACATAGATAAAAGTACAGGCAAAATAATTTCTATTTAAATTTAAAGTGTTACTTTGATGATTAGGAAAAAAATTTAAATAAATGCTATGGCTACAGAAATAGACTTTAAAAAATTCTAAAAATCCTTACTTTAAAAAGACCTCTTCCATTGTGGTGACTGAGGCACCAAAGCTGCTGATGCCCAGCTCCCTCTGTCTCTGTTCTAAATTTGCAAAAAGTGCCTCAAAGTTCTCCACACAGTCTTGGGGGAGTATAAAGCTGAGTTCTGCTCCTACGTTGCTCTCTAACTCAGCTGTTGGTATGTGCTGCTTGACCACAGATACAACATTGTTCACATCACAGGTGGGTTCCTTGACCACTACCATATGGTAGCCAGCTCCTGGTGACATAAACATCACAGCTTTGATAAACACGGATAAACATAATGCAAGATTGAATGATAAAAGACAAGGAAAACTGAAAAAAAAAATAGCACCAAAATGAATCAAAGACATTTTAAAAGAGATTCACAGAAGCCAGTAATAATAAATTTCTACATAACAAAAAGTGGGAAATTTTTTTTTACACTTCGTTATGAATAAATTTAAAACAAAAAATTGCAATAAAATATGTGAAATTAGAACAAACTGAACTGCCTCTGGTGAAATAACATACATTTTTAAATTTATGTTGAAAATAATAAATAAGTAGGCATACTGAATAAATACATTAATATGTTATGGGAGTGACAAAATTTGATTCTTCTTAAAATAATGCTTGAGTTATTTAATATTTAAATAAAATGTAATTGTATTTGCTTTCGAATTTTTCATTTTATCTCATAGACTTAATTTGGCAATGAGAAAAAACAAATACAATTAAGCATGTAATATTTAATAAAAAAAAACCCACCATATTTCTTTTTCAAGAAAAGAGAACTCCCACAGCACTTGACAATCCCATCTGCCATGATGGCAATCCTGTCACCAAGCAAATCAGCTTCATCCATGAAGTGAGTACTGAGTACCATAGTCCTGCCAGCTCGATTTTTTTGTAACACTGTCCATATGTTGCGCCTAGCATTAGGGTCAAGGCCAGAAGAAGGTTCATCCAAAAATACAACCTGGAATTATAACAGCAAAAAATATTTTGTTGGAATAAGCTTGATCAACTTATTGCAATCTTATCTTGACTTACTTAATACAAATTATATATAAGAGGTTTGAAAATAACTAAACCATACCATAATAACAGCATTGATTCTCTTGTGTTAAATTAAATTAAGAAGAAAGTAATGCTTAAACATGATTTAACTTAGAAAGCAACTTTTGCAGCTACCTTTGAGTTTCCAATGAGTGCAATACAAACAGAAAGTTTCCTCTTCATCCCACCAGACAAGGTTTTTGACATGGCCTTAAGTTTGGGGAAAAGTTCCATGTCTTTCAACATCTCTGAGCACTGTGGCATTATCTGGTTCCTGGGCACACCTTTAAGCTGATATAAAAACAATACATTTGTATCTAATAGGCGCTTGTTGGTTTGTACATTGTATTTCTAATATGACTGTGAATAGCTCTTCTACTAAAAAGTTTAGTTTTGTCCTGACATACCAAACCAAAGAAAATCATATGCTCCTCCACTGTGAGGTTATCAAACAAAATGTCATGTTGGGGACAAAGGCCAAGGCTGCTGCGGACCTCACTGATCTCCCGACGGATATCAAATCCATTGATGAGAGCTGTGCCACTGGTTGGTGGGTAGAAACCTGCAAGTTAACACATTATTTACACAGTACATTTTTTAAAAATGCTGTTTTATTTGAAGAATACACTAAATCCATAAGTTCATAAAAGGAAATAATATACCTTTTAGACAATTATAACCAACTTACCGGTGAGCATAGACATTGTAGTAGTTTTGCCAGCACCATTGTGACCCAGCAACACAGTTATCTGCCCTTCATACATATTTAACGTCATCCCAGCGACAGCAACTTTTTTCTTCTTACCACTGCCATACACCTGAAACAAACCTGTCTCAATCAGGCATCTCTCCAAAGGGAGATTTAATAAAATATTTAATTGAAATGGAGAACTTACATTATAACCATTCTTGTAACTAGGGTAAAAAAGCTATGAGTGAGTGTAGTTACAATATTTTAAAACGGTTACTGCTTGTAAGGAGTATGTATGAGAAGGATGAGAGGTAGTCCAGAGTTCGTGTTCTTGAGAAAGTTGGACAGGATATTATAAAAGACAGATTTTTCAAAATTTGGTCTTTAGAATTTTTAAAATATTCAAGGTGGACAAGTGCTATAACAGGACAGGTTTATGTACCTGTGAGATATGATTACAAATTGATTAAACTTAGAAGGTCATTGCAAGATAATAGAGGCAAGACAATTTACACAGGGCAATAGTCATCATCATCATTCCTGTGGACCCCTTGGGGAGCATAGGGTCGCTACTACAGCTCTCCATCGTTCTCTGTTCTGGGCGACTCCTCCAAATTTGGCCCATGTCATTCTGACTGCTTCTGCTTAAATGACTTTTTTCCGTGTATGTTTTGGCTTACCCACTTTCCTCAGGGATTCCAGTCCAGTGCCTGTCTGGTGATGTTGCTTGACATTGGTGGTTTAAATAAATATATTTAATATTTTAAACTTTATAATAATATACCTTGCGGAGACTCCTAATCTTAATCCCAGCATTCTCGTTTGGTTCTTTCTCAAACATAGATGGATCCTGTTCTCCATGGGTCCCATCATCAAGCCCAATATAGTCTGAGGGAGAATGACAACATCCCCAGTAGCTTCTCTGTTACAAAATTTATTCAAGGGTTAATACATGTATATCATATGATTTGCTAAACTGCACAACTATTTTGATGTACAGAAAATTATGTAATTCTACTTAAAATAAACTTCCGCTATAATGTTAACAATCAGAAAACTATCTCCAGTCCTATGCAAGGGATATGATAAAAAAAACCCTACCAAAACTGGGAAATACCAAGGTTGAGGGACACCATAGTCCCCAGGGAAAACAGCTTCAATGTACCAGGCAATCAGACAGTGAATGACTGAGTCTACAATCAACATGATGAGCACAAACATCATTGAGAAGTCATCATCCACAGACACACCAGAGTTAAGTGTTGACAACTGAATCCCTGAGCCTGCAAGTATTATAGTTAATACGTGGATTAAAATACAACAACATCAAGTGAGCAAATTCTCTAAAGGCAGTATTTAAAAACATTAATATAATAACAATATTAATAGCCTATATGATAATCAAGCTTAAAAATACAACCCAAGCCTAAAAAAAGTTGCTTTACACCTCTACGATCCCACAACATATAATACCACCCTCCCCCCTTTATCTAATGACATGAACCTTGACTCACCCACTCCCTCAAACATGCCCAGCAATGTACCACCATACGACACAGGTACCCCCCCTCTATCTAATGATATGAATCTTGACTCACCCACTCCCTCAAACATGCCCCGCAATGTACCACCATATGCCACAGCTACCCCCCTCTATCTAATGATATGAATCTTGACTCACCCACTACCTCAAACATGCCCCGCAATGTACCACCATATGCCACAGCTACCCCCCTCTATCTAATGATATGAATCTTGACTCACCCACTACCTCAAACATGCCCCGCAATGTACCACCATATGCCACAGCTACCCCCACTCTATCTAATGATATGAATCTTGACTCACCCACTCCCTCAAACATGCCCAGCAATGTACCACCATATGCCACAGCTACCCCCACTCTATCTAATGATATGAATCTTGACTCACCCACTCCCTCAAACATGCCCAGCAATGTACCACCATATGCCACAGCTACCCCCACTCTATCTAATGATATGAATCTTGACTCACCCACTACCTCAAACATGCCCCGCAATGTACCACCATATGCCACAGCTACCCCCACTCTATCTAATGATATGAATCTTGACTCACCCACTCCCTCAAACATGCCCAGCAATGTACCACCATATGCCACAGCTACCCCCACTCTATCTAATGATATGAATCTTGACTCACCCACTCCCTCAAACATGCCCAGCAATGTACCACCATATGCCACAGCTACCCCCACTCTATCTAATGATATGAATCTTGACTCACCCACTACCTCAAACATGCCCAGCAATGTACCACCATATGCCACAGCTACCCCCACTCTATCTAATGATATGAATCTTGACTCACCCACTCCCTCAAACATGCCCAGCAATGTACCACCATACGACACAGGTACCCCCCCTCTATCTAATGATATGAATCTTGACTCACCCACTACCTCAAACATGCCCAGCAATGTACCACCATATGACACAGCTACCCCCCCCCTCTATCTAATGACATGAATCTTGACTCACCCACTACCTCAAACATGCCCCGCAATGTACCACCATATGCCACAGCTACCCCCACTCTATCTAATGACATGAATCTTGACTCACCCACTCCCTCAAACATGCCCAGCAATGTACCACCATATGCCACAGCCACCCCCCCCCCCCCCCTCTAATGACATGAATCTTGACTCACCCACTCCCTCAAACATGCCCAGCAATGTACCACCATATGCCATGGCCACCTGAAAGTCCAGACAGGAAACCAGCTTGGCAACAAAACTTAGAGTTGTGTATCTTTGTTGCAAGAAAAAATATGGGATGTACATGCAAAAATACATGATCCCTGCTATGGCTGCTCCAGTGTTGGCTGAAATAGAAATGAAGTAAACCTTTGCAATAAACTATTATTTAAAAAAAAAATGCTAATTTAATGGAATATACTTATTATACATTTTTGACAACACACAATTTTTATAATTTTTTTTTACTGACTAGATTTGTCCAAAAGTGATGATAGGCATGTATGTGAAGGGTTTTGACTTTTGTGTTGGGAGGTGAGGTAATAGAAATGTGACATTGCAAACATCATGTATTTCTTAAAACCACAAATATTGAAAATAATTGCACTTTAATGATAGTTATGAGAAACTTGTAATATTGGTTTTCCTATTTATTTTTCTGTGTTAATTTCAAGAAAGCCCTAAGGTGTTTTTTTTTCTTAAAATTAACTGTACTCACCTTTTACAAAGAAGATGCTGATGGCAAAGCAATATGTGATTGTGGCTATGGCAAAGCATAAAAGGTAGATAAAAACAATGAATGGGTTGGTCTCTGCGATGACAGCTCCTTTATCTGGAGCCAACACAACACAGTAGAACAAGGTCATGATTGAGATGGAGATGAGCAGAAACAGGATGTGTTTAGTAAACCAAGCCACCCAGTGCAGCCAGTTGTTGATTCCCATCATCTTCATACTCTCCTGCATTTGGAAACACATTTTCATATTTGTGTTACCTACTCTCCAAGATATGGAAATAAATTTGTGTCTTACATTTTTAACAACACCCAACATAATTTCTTGAAAGTTAACAAACATTGACATGTTACAAGATTTTTAGTTTAACTAGTTTTTTGTCTATTATCATAATAAGATTTTTGCAAAAATTAAAGGTGCTGGTCTATCTAGCAGGGAGTAAAAATAAATGTATTTTGTAGAGTGGACCCACCTTTAGCTTTCTTTCCTTCTCCAACACAATGTCCCTGACAATACTCAGGACATTCACAAGAAAACTCAACATGATCACCATGGGAAATTGTTCTTGGATCACCAACACATAGCCATCCTGCTTGTATGGAGGATATGGTTGACGCTTGAGTTTCAGATTTGTAGATTTGTACTTTATAAAAGCTTCATCAGTCAGGAACTCCTTCATTAGTGAGTCATCTACAGCATGCTGAATGGCTAGAAATCCTTCTATTTCATATCCTGGGATTAAAAAAATGCTAGATGATGTAGACTGTAGATATTTATACATCATGATCATAACACAAAATTTTTAAATAAAAAATAAAACAACTCAGCACAATACAAAATCAGTAACACTGATCATAAATGTAAATAGTACCAAGTTGGTGTTCAATAATTTTTTGCACATTATTTTTAGATTATAAGATATATAAATAATAATGCAAAACCTGAACATGGTAGGGAAAGTTAAACAGATGTCGAGAGAAAAATATAGATAAAAAAGGTGTCTTAAGTAGTTTTTATTAAAAATTAAATTAACATAAGTAAAAAAGTAGGCAAGTGAAGCAATCTTCCAAATCTGACAGTCTATGTGGCAAGGAAGTAGAGTTCACTTGTTTCTGTGACCTCTACATATGAAGAGATAGTGTGGTCAGCACTAGGCCCTGCCCTGCCGCCTTTACTTTCCCTAATGTGAGTTACATACCCATCAGAGCTGGGTGGACGGTTTACTCACTTGTACCCGGATTCGAACTCGAGACTTACAGGTTAGCTATCTAGCTCTCTACAGCAAGGCCACTCAGCCCCACAACATAAGTAAGCAACACCATTAATTGCTGACAAATTATTATAGAATTATTTGCAGAGACAAAGGTTCCTGCATTATGTGCACAATCTATGGCCAGAAAAATTGAACTAAACCTTGCCAAATAATACTATACTCACCAGGATCTCCATTACATGGGCTCTCAGCTTCTCTTGGCCCAACTATTTGGTATGGTGGGAACATGAAATTGGTTGACCATGCTGTATGGCTCTGGAAGGCTAGTTTTTTATCAACTTTAGCCAGTCTGGCAGCATAGCTAAGGCGGATCTTGTACACCACATTTTTGTTGGGCACAACTGTGCCATTGACTTGGTTAAACTCACTGGTGAAAACTACTCCACCCAGATAGATATCTGAGTTATTGACTGTACTGTTGTCTATAGTGATGAACTTTACCATTTCATCCTCATTTGGAAAAGGAGCTGAAAATAAAGTGTTCTTTGTTTACATGGAAAACATTCCTTATACAACCTGTTTTGACATTTATTTATAAAATGTTTGTACTGGCATGGCATCGTTAAGCTCTTACGGTAAAGAGAAATTCTTCAGCTGGATGGAAAGGTGGAACAGAAATAAAGGTTATTGTATGTCATGTAAAACACGAGACCTTGGGTTTCATCTGTATAAGCAGCTATCTAATGTCTCTTCATGTTCCTAAACTTTTACACAGTGACCATCAGAATTAAAGTTTACAGCCAGGCTAAAGACTTGTATAGTGACAACTATATTCATATCAGCAATACTCTTTGAAGTTGTGAACCTGCCCATCCCAACATTTTTGTAAATTCGCTTTGGTGTACTGTCACCCCCACACATTATATTAATTAAACTATTTTAGCAATTCTTTTATTTGATGTAAAAAAAAAGTTCCCTTTCAAACCTGATGGTCTATGAGGGAAGTGAAGTGAAGTAGAGTTCACTTGTTTCTGTGACCTTGACATATGAAAGGGTAGTGTTGTCAGCACTATACCCAGTAGCCTTTACTTTACTTTCCCTAACATAAGGTAGGTACCCATCAAAGCTGGGTGGACTCAGAGAAATTCTACTGACTTAGGATTTGAACTCTTAGACGAGTTAGCAGTCTAGCCCTCTACATCCAGGACACTCTATCCCTTTTTTATTTGCTGTGACCCAATTAAAAGGTGGCACCTGATGAAGACTGCATCCCCACCTTGTGATGCTACCAACTATGTGAGCGACATGGATCTGAATAGACACAGAACTGTAGTTATGTCACACCACTGAAGTTACTGGTAATAGGGAGGTTAATGGGAAATCAAGATGAAAATAAATTTAGGACAGGATTTTCTTAGCAAAGGATAACAGCCACCACAAATGAATGATTATGAACAAGTAGTTATGCATAACAGAGATGCTTCTAAAGACAGAGAGCAACACTGTAACAGCGAGGGGATCTACCTTCCCTGTTGTAGCCATAATTCAACAACAGATGACATGATTGAAAATGAGGCTCAGTGAATGATACATAATATGGAAATATAAAATATATGTACAGTTTACTTACCTATGGGTATGCCTAATGTTTTATTAGCCCTGTCCATTATCCGCTTTGTAGCCTCATTATAAGGAGTGTAGGCCAGTATTTTTTCAGTAAGATTTATTCGTAAAGTTTGATACTCGCAGACACTCCAGTATGTTGGGAAAGGGTGTGGGGTATTTTCCACAGACAGCCGAAGCACCATCAGAACTACAGAGAACAGAGTTGGTAATCCGAGCTCCAACAACGTTACTATTGGTTTTCCTCTCTGTGTTAAAAAATTCTTCCATAACAGAAGTCGAAACTTTAAGAAAGACCTCATGGTTTTTTAAATATATTTTTAATACATTTCTGCAAATGGGAAAATTTTTTCTCTTTAAATTTCTTCTTACACCAGCAATCAGCTCCTATTTCCAATCTGAAATGTAATGTACCATTTAGTTCAAGAATTCATAGTACTTGTAACAGTTTTAAAATGTTTTAAGAATTTTCTATCAGTGTTATATTAAAAACAGATGGTGGTAACAGAGGCAGACTCAAGTTAGGATCTCAGTTCAGACTTGTAGGACGTCCCTTTGTCCACCAGCTCTGATGAGTAGTAAGTAAAGTTCCCTTTCAAACCTGATGGTCTACAGGGCAAGTGAAGTAGAGTTCGCTTATTTCTCTCACCTCGGCATATGAAGGGATAATGTGGTCAGCACAATACCCAGCTGCCTACTTACCCTTACGTAAGTAAGGTACCCATCAGAGTTGGGTGGACTCAGGGAAGGTCTACTGACTTGAACCCGGATTCAAACTCGAGACTTACAGGTTAGCAATCCAGCTCTCTACTGCTAGGCCACTCCATCCCATAGCTCTGATGAGTAATGTGACTTAATAAATCAGACTAGAGACTTACGCCAAGAAACGCTCTACTTCATCTACCAGCTTGCTATTTGAAAATTTGCTGGGTCGAAAGAGAAACTTTATTTTATTAGGCCTCTGCCCTATAATTTATAAAATATATAGATCTCTATAGCTAAATATTAATAAGGCCTATTATTTATAATTAATATTTAAAAAATTAAAAGATATAGTCCTAGGCCTAGTTACTAGACCAGTATCTAAGTCTAAGATATTCAGAGTTTCTTCCAGGCATCTCTTCGGGGGGGCTTTGCCCCCCCGAAAAAATTTTACCGCCCCCCCGAACGAAATGAAATTTATATAATTTATATAGAAAATATATACTTTTAACAGTGTCCGCCCCCCCGAAGAAAGTTTACCGCCCCCCCGAAGATTTCAAGTGCCCCCCCCGGAGAAAAAAGTCTGGAAGAAACACTGAAGATATCTAGGCCTCCTATGACCTATGTCCAAAAAAAATACTTCTAGATTAAATTCTAGATCTAGCCCTAGCAGAAGACTAAAGACCTATTTTTATTTTTTTACAGTTAGCCTAATTAATACTTTACTAAAGGCCTCATTCTATACTGAGTCTATAGTCTCTATACTATTACTATATAATATATATATAATAATACTATAGGGCCTATATATACACTATAAATAATACACTGACAGTATAATACACTATACTATACATATATATATATTACTATACATTACTATTTACTATACATTACTATACAACATGATGATTATGCGGCTAAAAAAATATGCCTGATGATATTGATTGAATATTGATGCAGATTAATAACAGTGAACATTCACCACATGTCAAGTAACTAGATCTAGAGTCAGATTTATATTGTGAGAGTGAGATAAAAAACCCCACTACATAAGAGATACAGTGAGTGTCTAGCTATCTATCTAGACCGAAGTGTACTCAGGGTCGCATGTACTTGATGTACTATTAGGCCTACATGAATACGTAGGCCTATGGTCTTCAAAGAAAACAATAAGTTGTTTATGAAAAGTTCGGTTACTGGGTTTAAAAATGACACTTGCAACATTCATAACATGTATGGAGAACTTAACCTTCTGGTGTTAATAACATTGAATGACACAATGAATGAAGCTTTGATTTCTGTTTCTTATAATTATCAAGTTAGCTACAATAAATAAAAACAAATATTCGAGTTCTGAGATGGCGTTTATTTTTTTTTTACATATTTTTTTTATTATACTTTTTTTTTTTAAATTTTCATTAGGTGTTTACACGTTCCGTGGGGGAAAAGTTTAAAGATCAAATTAGCCTGCAGCGGGTCGCGTGTTCTAATCTTGTAAACATGTTGCAAATGTAAACCCGGTACAATACCTAATATCGATATTGTATTAAACTCGATTACCATATTTTATTTTGTTTACTAACACATTGCTTCCGGTTTAACTTGTTTATTTTCTCGTGGTCCATTGACTGAAAGTGGAAAGTGATAGAAGTCTAGATTTCTAGATCTAGTGGATCTAAGATCAAGATCTAATTGAATAGTCATAAATCTGCTAACTTACTGAATGTCGAATAATTTTTAAAGCTGCTATTCATTTAGGTTAGAATATTTAGTCTTATTAATATTAGACATTTAGATCTATCTAGATCAAAATCAAGCTGCGTTTTTAGTTTTTAGTAAAACGCCGAGTTACGGCAAGGATTTCATTTTCAAGCTTTGCCTTTACGGCTTACGCCGATATTGTAGTCGACCAGGGCGTGATAAGTCACATAGTCAGTAGCGTAGCGGGGGGGGGGACGGGACATATGTCCCCGGGTGCCGACCTTAGGGAGCGCCCGGGGGGGGGTGCAAATCAAAAAGTTTGTCGCTACACCTCTGTACATACACACTTAGTACATAGTGACTGCTGTCACTTCACTGACTCACATTCACAGTTCACACTCATCATCACACTCACTTTCACTTATTCAGGACTCACAGTGGAGTTTTGGGGATTTTTTATTATTTTATTTTATACCATTGTCCGATTTCCCTTGCATGTTCCTACCTATTGCCTACACTCCAGCATCAACATGCACATTTCAGATAATTGAAGATACGACTCTTCTGAAAATAGGTGTGTTAGGTTGTTAGTAGTATTGTAATTTCAAATAGTTTTATGGTTAGAAGTTCGAGTTGTGCATTTGGTAGGGATACGGTTATCATTGAAATTAGTAGGGTTGTTGGCATCAGCTAAGTTTGTGGTAAAAACATGACCTGAATCTCCCATTACTTTTTTATATTGACCACACGAGATTTGGTTTTGCATACTAATGAGTTTTTAATTTATGGTAATTAATTAAGCTTAAAAGGTCATTTCCCAATGTTAAATAAAAAGTAGAGTGGTTTTCCCGTTGTTTTGATGGTTTTGCAATCTGATTGCATGCTGTCTCTGCTTTGGTCTTACAGCTTTAAATGCATTGACACCATTGTTATATTTCTTCATCCCTATATGCCAGCTTTTAGTTTTGATACACTAACAACAGCATTCTTATGTAATGTACAAACTAATCTCGTAATTGTTGTTTTAAAAATATTTTAATATAGGCCCTAACTAGCTTTAATCTTTTCAACTCTAGAAATAGTTTTGCTTGAAGTAAAATTTTGCCAAATATGGTTTTCCTAAAATCTAATTTTGTCAGACTAGACATGAATCAGGCCTAGGTTACCTGTCTGTTGCTATACACTAGCTATGTGTAACTGTAATTTTAAGTATTCAAGTTCTACTTACCCTTTTTTATAGTTATATTCTGAAAATCAGAATTCATACACACATAAAAATATTGATCTGATAACTTCAGTTCACTTAGAACAAAATGGCTTAAAGATGGACTCTACTTCACCTGCCCAAAATAATAAGGCAGTTATATGCACATTACAGTGTTCTAGTCATTTACTTTAGATTTCTTGACTATGTAGTTATTTCATTCACCGTATTTATATAAAACATTGCTTAAGAAAGATTTTCATATTTGTGCAGCAAACAGTTTTTTTTGGGGTTACGGTTATGGGAGGAAGCCAACACAAAAATATACTTCTGTATTATTTTTATTCATTTCAACAGCATATACAAGTTCTGCAAATACGAACAAAATACAACTGCATGTAAAATAACTATGCTCAATTTATTCAGGTATACCATGACTTGTCACAATTGGCCAATGCAAAAACAAGGGGATTCCACCCCTCACAAAAAAATTCGCTAAAAAAAACTATTTGAGCTAGACAGAAAATCTTTTTTGTTTTGTTTTCATATAGTTGAGCTCTACAAGAATATGTAATTTTTATTTTATATGATGATTAGTGTTTTTTTTTTACCAAAATCCGTAACATTAGTAATTCAGTATCATGCCATGTGTGTATTTTAGTTAACTATCAGTAATCTAACACCCCAACATTTAAGAAGATCTATTATTGGACACTGGTAAAAAAAATCTTCCATTATGACCTTTTGTAATGGTAAAAAATTTAAGTTGGTGGAGGGTTAAGGTGAAGAGGAACATGCATGATGTTTGATAATGTATATTTGAGGATAAATATAAATGACATTTCAGGCTCAAAAAACAATGATTCAGGCTTTACGTCTACTGATTTCTAAAGTGAACATACCATGACCCCTTGATGATTTCCATTCTTTTTTGGCTTCTGGTTTTCTGGATATAAACTACACAAAAAATCACATGCTGAGTTTGGGAATCAGCATCTGTGACTATATGAACCCAGATCACAATAGGCCCTAATAATAGTTATATCATTAGCAATATAAATTATAATTAGACTTACCAGTTAACTCATATTCATATATTTTAAGTAATCTAACTTGACAGACAGACTCTATCAATTTTTTTATTATGTATTTCTTAAAATATGAATTTTTCTTTTTGGCCTACTAAGAACAATTAACTAAATACACTAAATTGTTAAAACTATCTCACAATGATAAAAATAAAAGTATCCAAAATCAATAACAATATAGTAAATATTAACATAATATTCTGTCCAATGTTATTATTACAGAAAAAAATAATAATACTTGCCTATAATTAATTTAAAAAATGCATGAGCTGGCAAATTTCATTACTCACTTTCAGAACTATTTTAATTTATAATTTTATTTTTAAATAACTTATTTTTGAATTGTAGAAACTTTTAAAACTTTGTATAATGGGAAGGTGTATTTATTTTATCACAATTGTTACTAAAAATAAATCTAAACCCAAGTGTTTTCCTGATGCTATTTTAATTTATTGTTATCTCTTAGCAATCAAACATACTTGGTTCTGATTGCTCCACTCTCAAAATGCATAAAAAAACAACTTCCAATTGCCCCTTTTTTATTATCTGACCATCTCAGTTTTGCTATGTTTATCAAGAGGAAAAGCTTTTTTAAAATCTTGTTAAATTTTAGTATCAGATAACATATAAATAATATAATGAGCAAAATGTATTTTTTCTATTAGAGAATGAATCACCTCTCATCAGTGAAGCATGTCATCATTGTTCTGTCTGGTAAAGGAGGAGTTGGGAAGAGCACAATGGCTGTACAAATAGCCCTAGGCTTGCATGCAGCTGGGAAGAAGGTATGTATTTTTCTGAATGGTGTCTCAGTTTAAAACCTGAAGACAAACTGCTACACAGAATTATTTCTCTCATAGCCTCAATATTGTCTTTATTAAATTATTTGCTTATCTGTATCTGAACAGAGCTTCAAAAATTGTATATTGTTCTTTATTTAAAAGTTATAAAAGAGTAGCAAGGTGGTATATTAAAAATTTCTTACCATGTGTACCGTAATATATTTTCAATTGTTTATTGTATAACAGGTTGGTCTGCTGGATGTTGATCTGTGTGGTCCAAGTATTCCTAAAATGTTTAATCTTGAGGGGAGAGACATTTACCAATGCCCTGAAGGGTGTGTTCTTTTTTTTTGTGTGTGTATTATTGGTATATAGTAAAATGGGCTCATTTTGTATTTTAATTTTTTGATACTTTTATACCTTATTTTAGTATAGTCTACATCAATGTGTAATTGTATGTTTTTGTCACTTTCAGCTGGTTACCTGTGTATGTGGATAAGGAGCAGAGAATTGGTGTCATGTCGATTGGGTTCTTGTTGCATGATTTAGATGATGCTGTAGTGTGGAGAGGCCCGAAAAAGAATGGTGGGTTTAGATTTGCATACATATTTAATTTAGTAGAATTTTTTAAAAATTAGAATTTAGTTGTTAAAATTTATCCATATATTTACTTCCTAAGAGTACAATAAATGAAATATTTCTAGTCATAGATGTTATTTATAATTCTAGCGATGATCAAGCAGTTTTTGAGTGATGTTTACTGGCGAGATGTTGACTATCTCATCATTGACACACCCCCTGGTACCTCAGATGAGCACATTACTGTAATGGAGGCTTTGCGGGCCTACAACCCTGACGGTGCCATCCTGGTCACAACTCCTCAGGTTTGAACTTAATGATATTTGTTTCTGTAGTGAATACTATAAAACTTTACTTATCTCCCTTGATATATTTTGGTTTGAATTCCACTTGGATACATAGGCTGTTGCAGTTGGGGACGTGAGAAGGGAGCTAACTTTCTGTCACAAAACTGGAATCCCTGTGGTTGGCATTGTTGAAAACATGAGTGGTTATGTGTGTCCTCATTGTACAGTAGGTCAACTTTTAATGTTTGTAATCAGCTCTGTAGTGATTTTAGTTTAAAAATAATTTACCTATTTAAATTTTTTAATCCCACAAATTAACAATCAAGATGGTCATTTTTTAGATAGCTACGTCATTTCCTTGCATGTTTGAATCTATGCATTTACCTTAATGTAAAAAATAAATCTAATATAATCTTTCTACAGGAGTGTACAAATATTTTTTCCAAAGGAGGTGGTAAAGCCTTGGCACAGCAAAACAATGTTCCCTTCCTTGGTTTGTAATTTTGACTTGTAAAATGGGAAAACTGATTTGTTTAATTTGGCAGTTTTCTTAATAATGTATTACACAGCACGTGTGTTATTAGTTTTCATTATTGTTTTATAATAATTATTTTTCAGGAAGTATTCCGATCGACAGACAACTGACCATTAGTTTGGACACCGGGACAAATTTTTTGGAGTCCAACCCAGATTCACCTGCTCTTGCGGCCATAAATCATATGATTAAAAAGCTGATGGCCATTGACAGAGACTTGCCATAACTGTTGACATTTTCTTGCTTTGATTTGTTTCAACACTAAAAACAAAGTATAACAGCTTTTTTGTTTAATGTTTATGATACAGTAAAAAAAAAAAGGTTAGTAAAATGTGGAGACTAACTTTTTCAAAACATTGAAAGTCAAGTATTTCAGTTGAGATTGATGTATCTTAAGCTCTGTTTGTGTACTTCATCCCAAAACTAGATGTACATATTTTTAAAAAAAATTAATTATCACTAAGTTACTCGCAAATCAGAATAATTTTGCGCATTTGTATTTGGTTAAAAACAATTAAATATTGACCTTGTACCCTTTGTTGCAATATTTTATTATTTTTGTTTTAGTATATGACATAGTCTTGTTAGAACACTTTATTTATGTTATTAATATTATGTGTAACATCATATCATTCGGGTAATTAAATTATTTTTTTTCAAGTAAAATAAGAGTGTCAGACTGTCAGTTCAGTTTTGTAAAATAATTTTTATGAAAAATACACATTGTTTAGAAACCACACCAATTGAACGCTATAATTGATTAAAAGTTTTTTTTTAGATAAATATAAAACTATCAAAGGAACTTTCTTCAAAATGTAGTAATTAATTCATCATAGTGGTTTAGCAACCCTTCCCGGTGCCCGGGGACAAACTTTCAATTTGACGCCCCCCTCGGGAGCAACCTTGCAATTTTCAATTTGCATCCCCCCTCAAACTTTAGATTTGCACCCTCCCCCCTCAAACTTTAGAATTGCTAACACCCCCCCCCCCCCCCAACATTCAATTGGCGCCTAAAATGAGATTTTAATTCCTTTTTACCAACCCATTTTGGCACCCCCTAAGGACGGCGCCCGAGGGACATATGTTACACCCCCCCCCCCCGCTACGCCTCTGATTGATCATTCAGTGCATTAATTTTCTGTATTTTAGTTTTATATTCTTGTTTTGGTAATAAACGTTTTTAGTGTAGTTTAAATTAAACTTTAATAACCTTATACTATAAACTTTATAGTTGCTTATATTGTTTTATTATTGATAACATTTATCATGCTATATGTTATTTGTTTGAAAAAAATATGTTTCATGAATAAAAATGGAAAAAGTATACAAAAATCGTTTATTTTGTATTTTACTGAACATTTTTTAGCAGAAGATAGAAGTTCTCTGGTTGTAGCTAGTTTGAAGAATTTCGTCTTTCACGGTGATATTTGAAAGACAACATTTAGGAATCTGTCAAAAATTTCATTCTAAGATCAGTAATAATATTTTACACTTTACACTATTAAATTTATAAGCAGCTGTGTGCTCTGTATAATTTTTTTTAGAACAATGAGCATCTAGATTTTCTTCATTGTTTATACTTGAATAAAAATAGCACTAAAGTTTATACAGAGTTTTAAAACTTACACAGAAATCAATACACCATTATATCAAAGACAGAAACATGCTGGTTGTTTTAACTGTTTATTTTATTCATATTTACACATTTAAAAAAAAAGTTATAAGATGGATGGAATCTTATGGTGTATATATAAAATGTTCAATGAACACAAAATAAGATGAAGTATAAAAACAGGTGATATATATATCACTGTCATACAAAAGGCTTAAAGAAATAGTAAAGTTGACATTTATTAACTATAGCAGCTTTGTATTTAGACAAGCTAATTCTAATCAGTTTAAAATCTTTGTAAGATTACATTGGAATGTTTTAATTAACGTACTTGCAGGTTTAAAAAAAAAACATTGATCACAAAAGATGAAGAAGAAAAATTACAAAACAAAAACATGTATTTGTTTAATTTTTGAGACACAAAAATTAATGTTTTTTGTCGAAAGTGCCAGCACCCTTGTAGTTCCCAACGTATCCAGTGTTTTCAGCCACGTCAGCCCTACCCTCCTTACCCTTCCCTTTCCCATCAGCAGTGAATCTTTCCTTGTGTGAGCCAGTGTACCCCGAGGCGTCTGTTAAACGGGCGGTTGTTGCGTCAACCTTTATGGCTTTCTGAAATCATTGAATGTCAAATTTTAAAACATTAGTTAAAAGGGAGGTAATTCTTTAACAAAACTATATTAGTTTAAAACTAGAGTTATTTCCCTTAGCAATAAAATCCTCTTACTTGTTCATCCCCAGCTTTAGCAGCAATCTTAGCCCTGATTTCATTGGCCAACGTTTGGACTTCAGGATCATCCACTGGTGCTCTCCCTTTGGTTTGCTTCCTCTTTTTGGCGATCACGTCTGCGGCTACCTCATTAATAAGATCGGTAGCTATTTTGTCGATGGCGACCTTTTTCCTGCAGATAGATATTGATTGGCTAACTTTGGCCGACATTTTATACGATTGGCATCACTAAGTTATTGGTCATCTCTAGGCTATGATACCAGATAATCTTAGCAAAATTTATTATTTTTAAAATAACAAAAATAAAAGTTTCTAATATCTTTGACCTAGCTGGTTTGAAGAAAAAAAAACCATTACTAGATTGATTTTTTTTAGTAGTATTTATAGTTATTATAGTTAATTGAGTGCTTCTCTGTGTGTCAACCATGTTCCTCTATTTAGGTGACGAGAGGCCATTTTCAGGTAGCTATTCTTTGATAGTTTATGTAAATTTAATTCAGACCTACTTCTATCCACTAAATCAATAGCTAAAGGTTTTCAAACAGTCCTTGCAGTTTAAAAATCATTTAAATTACACAGTTTTTCATTTTGCAAAACGTCGAAGCCCACGTTGATTTGATTAAAAGAAGCGTCTTTCATTGATAGTTTAAATGATTAAAGTTTATTAGGAGATGGTCAGTGAAGTAAGGAGTAAGTGATCAGTGTAGTAGGGATAAGTGGTCAGTGTGGTAGGGATAAGTGGTCAGTGTGGTAGGGGTTAGTGGGTAGATGGTCTGTGTGGATGGGGATAGATGTCAAGTGAGGGAGGTGGGTAGATGGTCAGTGTGGTAAGGGGCAGTGGCGTAGCGAGGTCGGGTGTCACCCGGTGCGGCACTTAATGGTGTCACCCCCCAGAAGCGTAGCAACCCTTCCCGGGGACAAACTTTCAATTTTCGATTTGCCCCCCTCCCCCGCTCAAACTTTTGATTTGCACTTCTTAAAAGAATATTTAACACTCAAATTAATCACTTCATTAAGTGGAATTATCATTTTTCTCTATATATTTTGCTATTTTTTGCCTTGGTGTCGCCCCCCTAAATGATGTCACCCGGTGCGGTCCGCACCCCCCCCCCTCTCTACGCCTCTAGCTAGGAGGTAGGGGGTAGACGGTCCATGGGGCAGTGGGTAGATGGTCAGTGTGGTAGGGGGTAGATAAGTCAGTGTTGAAGGGGGTATGTGGTCAGTGTGGTAGGGGGTAGATAAGTCAGTGTTGAAGGGGGTATGTGGTCAGTGTGGTAGGGGGTAGATGGTCAGTGTTCAAGGGGGTATGTGGGCAATGTGGTAGGGGATATGTGTGCAGTGTGGTAGGGGGTAGATGGTCAGTGGGGTAGGGGTATGTTGGCAGTGTGGTAGAAGTAGAAAATCAGTGTTGTAAGGTGTAAATGGTCAGTGTGATAGGTGGTATGTGGCCAGTGTGATAGGTGGTATGTGGTCAGTGTACTTGACTTACGCTTTATCCTGAAAGATGGCCCATATGGAGGCCTCGACTGTAGTCTTGTATTGCTTGCAGTCGCAGCTCTCCAGGCACTTGATGAAGTTGGTCAGCTTCAGGCACTCGGTGGTCTCTGACCTGTCCTTGAACTTGGACAAACATTTCTTCACATCGCCAACATTTCCTGATGCCATTTTGTCTGGTGAAACAGGGATTAGGGGGGGGGGGTGTAAAATAGGTCGTGTTGATGCAAACAAAACTGATTAGGATATCTAAAGATCATCATCGTTCCGTGAGACTCAAGTTCCTAAACTTAATTGATAGTGTGCGAATATTTACTAAGGGTCATGAGTCACACGTAAATAAAAAGGTATTTCAGCTGATTTCCCTACCTCTCATCACAAAATGCCCAAAGCTTATACCTACACCCCCACCCCCCACCCTCAACGACATCATAGATCTACCCCTTCCCTTTCTCATTGGGACTCGTACATTTTGAGAGTCCCTGGTTGCAGCCCATCCAACCCCTCTTCTCATCTACCACTGATAATTGCTGACGTTTTGTTTCGTTAAATGCGAATTTTTTAAAAATGTCTTTATTCCAAATAAATGAAAACTACTACACGCTACTGCACATTTCTTAGAGCTCGGTTCATTTTTTGCCAATGTTAGATACAGATGTCCTTTATGTACGATCGCTGTTGGTCTTAAAGAGTACCTCTGTAAGTTTAGTGCATGCTTATGAAGGCTCATACCTGCAATGCCATTGATGTATCACAAAGGGCCATAAAGCACCAAAACACAATGGCGCCTGTTTATTGCGATAAAAAATGTACTGCATTCGTTTGTATACGCCTATGGGTTGTTTGTGAAGATAAAAATAGACACAACCAGAATTCCCAATCAATAACCGGTACAAGAGCGGCCGGCAAGTGCTCGAATGAACTCTATTAGCAAGCTGGTTATACACGTTCCTCTTAATGGGATATGAATGTACGCTGTTTTTGGTACACAATCCTGTTAATGTGATATGAATGTACGCTGTTTTTTGGTACACAATCCTGTTATTGTGATATTCACTTACATTGTTGGGTTTTATACACGTTCCTCTTAATGTGATATAAATGTACGTTGTTTTTTTTGTACACATTCCTGTTAATGCGATATAAACGTACGCTGTTTTTGGTACACATTCCTGTTAATGCGATATAAACGTACGTTGTTTTTGGTACACATTCCTGTTAATGCGATATAAACGTACGTTGTTTTTGGTACACATTCCTGTTAATGTGATATAAATGTACGTAGTTTTTGGTACACATTCCTGTTAATGCGGTATACATATGCGTTGTTGGGTTTTATACACATTCGATTTCATGCAAATCCCATTGTGATGTAAACTTTTATTGTTTGTTATTCTTCTTCCTCTTCTTCGTCTATACAGGAGGTATCACATAAGACTAACACCACTGCCTCCCCACACATTTTTTTCTCTGTGTGTGGTGCTGAGATCAGAGGCTAGACCAGTCTGTTCGCAAAAGGTGCAGTCTTGTAAGACGTGTTCAGTGTTTTTATCTATGCTGAACTGTGTTGTACATACATTGTACTATAATATTTTGATACTAAATTTAACTCAGTAGTGTTGGAGATGAAGCGTCCATGCCGTTACCCTACAGGGTTTAGCCAACATCACCTTCTATATGGTGTTTGGGGCTCTCATAACACCTTCTGTCTGGTGTTTATGGCCCATAACACCTTCTGTCTAGTGTTGCAGTCACTCATAACACTGTCTATGGAAAGCAGTAGATGAAGCTAATTGCTGAGTTGATATTCGCACCAATAGGCCTGAATAATTTAAATTTTTGGTTTGTTTTTGTAAAGACGACTTCATTAGTCTGCTAGTTGAGGTTCCTCTCACCTTTTTCGCTTAATTGAAATTCCTTTTAATGGCAATATTTACATTTTTAAGACCATTGATTTAGCTGTCAGTACTGTTTTGAAAAAACGTGTTTGGGTTTAAAGTTTTTACGTTTTATCTAAAACGCAAGTACATAGAGGTTCTAACTTGTAAAACTAACTTGTTCTTTTATACACGTATAAAATTGTATTTGTATAAGAATTAAAAAAAAAACTTACTAAAATACGTTCAAATATAATTTTACTGTAGTTAGGTATAGCTTACGAGTGTAAGTGTATTTACCTGACCTACATTACACAACATAAAAGTACAGCTTTTCCGTGTAGACCTCCATTTTTATAAGAAAAATAAAGATAGATTCAACCCGTCTGGCAAGTTAGATTAATCTGTAGCTAGTTTTTAAAAAATCTGGTTACTTAAACGTGGAGTGTGACGTAGAACTCATTCTATTCAACTGTACGTTTCGGGGTAATTAGTCAACAGCTACCGAAAATAGATTATAGATCGGGATGTGAAACTTGAAACTCGATTATCGAACTGTATCGATTCATTTTTTTTATTTGAGTCCAGTTGAACTATAAACTCACGTGATCGCGAAATCGTTGGACCGTCACATGATTGAAGCGAGACCGCAAATTTTGGAGTCGGTCCAAAAGTGTTGGCTTATGCTAGGATATTAAAAGGGTGGAAGGGGGGGGGGGCTTGTTTGTCATAGCCGGGACCAACCTTAAACAGCTATTCAATTGTGTAAATAAACCTTGTCATGTTTCATTCAAGAAATTATTTAGAATTTCGACACAAGGTTAGAAGCAGAAAAACAAGAAAATGGCGTTTTAAAATGGTGGACCTACGACTTTTTTCTATCGAGCGATAAATAACTCTAAAGATCTTATTTAATGTCTTGTCAACATTTGTCAGCAGTAGAATATGATTGCAAGAAAAAGATTTTGTACTATTTACATCTTATTACAGCAATAAAAATGTGGGGCTCCTACATTCTGGTAGTCCCTGGTTGCAACCCATTCAGCATCCCTATTCACCCACCACTACCAATTGTTGACGTTTGTTTCAGTAATACAAACCCACTTTAAAATAAAATGTGTTTTTTCTTTGTAGTTACAGTGAGAAAAATTCGCTGCCCATGCAACTTAAGATTATTCATTGAAAGTGTATGCAGAAATGCTAATGTAAAAACGGTTAAGGGAAGGGGGAGAATACTGTGGACAAAAACCAGGTCGAACTAATTAACAACATAATAGTTGTGCAAATAGAAAGTAAATTAACAACACAATAGTTGTGTAAATAGAAAGTAAACAATACGTTTAGAGGGTGAAGTGTACAAGTTAAGACAGAGAATTCTTATTTATTCTTCTTTATATCTGACAACTTTGTGACAACATTCTGACACCACTGTGACACCTTTGTGACAACATTCTGACACCACTGTGACAACTTTGTGACAACATTCTGACACCACCGTGACGCCTTTGTGACAACATTCTGACACCACTGTGACACCTTTGTGACAACATTCTGACACCACCGTGACACCTTTGTGACAACATTCTGACACCACTGTGACACCTTTGTGACAACATTCTGACACCACTGTGACAACTTTGTGACAACATTCTGACACCACTGTGACAACTTTGTGACAACATTCTGACACCACTGAGACACCTTTGTGACAACTTTCTGACACCACTGTCACACCTTTGTGACAATACGTGTCATATCCGGAGTTGCACTCTAAGAGTGTCGCTTCTGGATGCGCCACTCCTATTAAGTATTAAGCTGTCACCATTAGGGGTGTCACTTCTGGGTTGTCATATCTAGGGGGTGTCATATTCTGGGTTTTCATAACTAGGGGTGTCACAACTGGGTTGTCATACCTAGGGGTGTCACAACTGGGTTGTCATACCTAGGGATGTCACAACTGGGTTGTCATAGCTAGGGGTGTCACAACTGGGTTGTCATATCTAGGGGTGTCACTTCTGGGTTGTCATAGCTAGGGGTGTCACAACTGGGTTGTCATATCTAGGGGTGTCATTTTCTGGGTTGTCATATCTAGGGGTGTCACAACTGGGTTGTCATATCTAGGGGTGTCACAACTGGGTTGTCATATCTAGGGGTGTCACAACTGGGTTGTCATATCTAGGGGTGTCACAACTGGGTTGTCATAGCTAGGGGTGTCACAACTGGGTTGTCATATCTAGGGGTGTCACTTCTGGGTTGCCTTATCAAATATTTAGAAACAAATATCATTCGATTTTTTTTAAAGATTAAAACGACGGTTATTTTATATAATCGGTAGTTTTCCGTTATCGTAAACCTCGACGTTTTTACCAGCAAGCGACAAGAGTTATATGCCCTTAGCCTGTAACTGATTTAAAACATATTTGTTCTCAAGACTGAAGAGCTTGCTCAAATTTCTATTTTAAGCCATCGGAAAGTTCAGCGGTAAGACAGGCCACGCCTTGGTCTATGTGGCTAAATGGGTGGCGAGTCAACATTAGGTGTTGTTGCTCGCAATTTTCTAGCACAAGTCTAAACAGTCAGCTAGTGGCGGCCATGTTTGTTTAGTCACTGACGTCACCGGGTTTTTATTGAAGTGGTTGGTCTTTGGCGAACTTTTTCAATTCGTGAATAAAATGAAGGTGGAAAGAAAACGTTTAAGAATAGGGTTGTCAGTTCAAGAATGGATATATACAATGAGAAAATAGTTATAACTCTGACAGTTAGGTGTGAAATGAGTTCAGTCCCTTGTGCTGGGGAACTAATTAAAACTTGAATTACCTAAAGTAGATTAATGTATGTCAAGACGGGGGTTGGGGATTGTGGGGGTAAGGGGGGAAGTAGTGCACTGATCGTCAGTGGTGAAGAGGCGTAGCGGGGGGGGGGGGGTGCAAATTGAAAATTGAAAGGTTGTTCTCGAGGGTGGCGCCAAATTGAAAGGGGGGGGGGAAGAGTATCCACTTTCAAACCCCATCGCCACTTTCTTGTGTGACGGCAACCTGCCATTCATTGTTTGCAGACATTTGATACCAAGATGACATCTAATGTACGTCATACTTCTGGCAGACGTTTGATAGTAATGTACGTCATACTTCTGCTAAAATTAGCTTGAATATGATCTATGTGGCGAAGACACACCAGACACGCCAAACACAGCAAACAGGCATAGTTTAATGCAAGGACACATCTTCCGGGTGCAATTTTTCTTTTGTGTCCTATTCAATGAAGTTTAACAACAGCTATACTTTACTGTCCGAGTTTTA